CAATGAGATCATATTAGTTGTATGTTCGGCCAATTCAGTGTCAGTATGTGAAGACGGTGCGTCTTGAATCTCTAGGCGTCCGGGGACATGGAATAAAAAAACATCAAGAATGTGGCCAAGGCTGCCACGCGATTGACCAAATATCGCACGAGTGTCTTGAAGTATGTCCGGACTTTTGCTTGATTATCCCATCTAGGAAACGATACTGCACTCTTGAACCTCAAGTCATCGAGAACTTCTCGATATTCCTTGAAGCTTTGCCAGTTCTCTTAACCCAAGCAGGATCATAAATACAAAAGTCTATCCCGCAAGGAACTATGCAAATTCGTGGTAAATTCTCTGATAAACCCTCCAATCCATGAAAGAATGCTGATAATATTGGTCGCATAGTGTCGTCGTTATTAATAAACTGGTATTTAGCCTCCCCTCCCCATATCCTGCGCCTCGTTCAAAACAACCAAAAACATAGAGTTGCTTTGATGCCGCTCCGAAAGGACCCTGATTAGATTGTCGAACCAATCTTGCAGGAGCTTGTCAAGGCAATTAAAGCCAACTCCACCAAGTAATTCTGCTACTTTTGTGAAGAACGCTAGGAATAAATCTGTCCTGGATGGAACCGAGTTTCCTCAATGAACTTCTCCAAGGACCTGTGGACACACTTGCAATAGCATCCATTGGCTAGGCGTCATTCTACCTTCGGACAAGTAAAAAGGGTAAATTGATGAGTATCAAATATAAAACATAAAGGCATTTTTGCCTACGTTCTTCAAGGGGTATACGAAAACCAAACTGCGATTAGCCGCCTATGAGCGCAAGACACAGAACATTTGGTGAGATTATAAACAAGCGTGGATATCCCAGACATCAAGGACCTTTTCCTCCTAATCTTTCATCCGTCCATGAATTGATGTGAGAGGGGATGATTCTGGCGAGATTGATGCCCTCAACAGCATGTAGCATTAATATACCGAGAACTATTAATATACTGACGACACAATCCAATATTGTATCACATTTTACCGGTCAAGCGCGTGGCAGCCTTGGCCAAATTCTTGATGTTTTTTTATTCCATGTCCCCGGACGCCTAGAGATTCAAGACGCGCCGCCTTCACATACTGATACTGAATTGGCCGAACATACAACTAATATGATCTCATTGGCCACAGGTTGCCATCCCGTGCACGCGCACCATGGGACATTTATGTCTTTAGAGTGGAGCTGTCATCCTAGCTCCCGGTAAACGTTTTGGCGCCCTGAATGATGATAATTGATAGGTCTTTCGCAAGTGGCAAGCATCCAGAAAGGATAATTTCCTAGGCCAGCTGTCCTGGTGATAATAATATGGTTTTGGGTCTCATCATCAGACTCTCACTGGGTTCTCCACAGGATTCTTCATCTCTATCCGTTTTTACAAAACTCTTTGATAATAGTATCACAAAATCCTGCCTTTTCTTGCACACAAGATCGCATAATGATCACAGCTTTATAAAGTTCTAAATGCCCCAAGTAGAAGGGAGGACGGATTAAACCGCTCTATTTATTCGTCTTGAAGGTAAGTGGATAATGATGGCTTCATTCATAAAGAATGACCCATTGTAAAAATTTCTCAAGGAACGGGTATAATGCTTTTTTTAAAAAAAGACAAAATTTCATCCACTTGATTGCTATTCGATTTAATTCTTCAGATTCGTACCGGCTGATCCTCCTGAATATGCAGCTTCGATGTCGATTTTTATGACACGCTGTCTTACATGTTTTAAGCATTTATATGGCTTCTTGACGACCGTATTTCTGGCGGTAAGAAAGTTCTGAACTTTAAAATCGTTATATACGTCTCCTGGCACCACAAAATAGAGGAAAATATCATCACTTCCCTTCGACTTTGATCGGTCTCCCTTCGACTTTGATCGGTCTCCCTTCAAGCAGGGTCCAGTAATACAATCAATCATCTCCTTGAATGGTGCTTGCTTGATCGGATGCCCCTCTGATACTGTGACCTGAAATAGCTCGTTGGGTCCCAATGCAAAATCAATGCACGGAAATTTAGAATGTTCTGGTACAAACAACTTGCCAGCTGCTTGAGTGAGCCCTGATAATCCCTCTGAAGTCCGGATAAACACCTCTTCTGGATTTGCTGGAAAATCAAGAAATCCTGTTTCGCCTGACTGGAGATCCCTAAAGGGAAATCTAATATCACCACGTCGAAATAAGCGATGAGCATAGATTTCAAACAGTGGGCCTTTATCTATATCCTCTCCGCCTATGACAAGTCTCGCCAACACATCGACCCAAGTGTTATCTTTTATTTTGTCCATAATCTGTGAATCTGTGATTCGACCCAACGAGATGCCCATACCAGGTGGAGGTGGAGGTGGTCAGAAGTAGGAACTCTATGGAGTAAACGACTAAATCCACTCGCATCTTTTCCTCGTGCAAAGAGCCTTAGAAGATCTGCTGGTTTCTTGAGTGTACTAATGGCATCATTGACGCGGAATAACGCAGCTTCTTTAGCACGCTCAGTATGTTTTTGATTATTGGATAGTACATTGGCTGGACACTGTAGAACCTGTCTTGGCACGCCCCCCAAGTAGTAAAAAAGCTCCTCCAAAAATGCTTCACTCATTACATGAAAAAACTTTACATTGGCTCTACATTCCTTAAGCTCATCCAGACTCCAGAGTGACATATGATAGTAGCTATCTGGTATATTTTCCTTGGTGAGTTCATCGTAATGCTCATAGAGAGTTCTTGGCGATGCTGAAAATATCGTCCTGGCTTTACCTGGTAGAGAATTTTCACCACTATCAACTAAATACCACGTTTCACGTTGGTCAAGGAAATCTTTGAAATCTACTCTCTCCCCATAACGTTGGCAAGTTGTTCCTCCATAAACATAACAACTGGTATGCTGCTCCTCTTGGAAAATAATAATCGGTGGATTTTCCTCATCGTGTTCGGCAAGGAGGCGGATGGCAAAATAGACCAAAAAGGCTGACTTCCCAATTCCAGGCGTTCCAGTGATAAAGAGTCGGTTCAAACGAGGTACTTCATGACGGGTACTTAATTCGGATGTAATATGGTCATAAAGCTCTTTATATTCATCTCTGATATAAAGATGCCTTGTTCCGGCAACAGGGAAGATACGACCCTCAGGGGCAGTCAATATTTTGGAATCCTTGATACCACCAGAATTTCGGAGCTCGCGAGCCACGCTAATAATGCTGTAGTAAATACTATCTACTGATGTCTTCCCCATGTACGAAAGCAGCTTGACCCTCTCTTTCGAGTTTAGACGCGAGATGGCAGGGCTACCATCACTATCCCTTTCGTTACAAGCCCTGCTTCTGTAATCGCATCCCTAAGAGCACCTCTGCTACTTATACTTGGACGAGCTTTTTTAGAGGGTGACTCTGATAAAGGAGATAGAGTGATCAAAGTCAATATTTTTGATTTATTGCACATCACTCTAAAATGATCAATAACCAGATTCTCGGCCAAAAGCACTCACCAGAATCTCCATCTTGTTTTCTTTTCTGAGCTAAGTATCAAAAGCGAATAATGAGAAAGAACGTTGAGTTATCAAGACACAAACCAAATGGTGATATTATGCACATGGCCGTTTAAGATACAAACCAAGCTTCATCAGCTGAAAATATCAACAATCAGTCCATCAAGAGCCAAGGATATACCTCGCTGTGGTGGCTTGACAAAAACATGGATAGTTTCCTTTGGAAGTTCAGAGTTGAATATGTCCCCAAGCTCCCTTGATGCGACTGTAAGAGCCTCTTTTGACTCGATTTCTGACTCGACGACGGTCTTGTCTTCGTCAGGGATGGAGACCTTGTAGAGGGTGAGCTGGTCAGCGTCAACATGATCAAGTTCTGGCTTCTTTGCTACCTTGATGGCTTGCTTGAGCATCCCGACCGATTTATCGCAGAAAATCTCTACTGGGAACGACGTTGCTTCTCCCTCGACAACGCAGTTCAGCTGCAGCAGCAGTGGGATGGCGCGCTTTTTTCGTTGTGGGTGTTGGTTTACTCTTTTTCGTTTATTGAGTGTGGAGGCATCCTCAGGCTTATTTGCAGCCATGTTTTTTTGTGTTGAGCTCCTTGTGGTGGCCATTGAAAATTAAGATGAGTGGGACTGAGTGTGGTTGAAATGCAGGGAGAATGATGCCTAAATAGGCAAAAGTATATTCTTACTCTTTCACCCGTGGTCACGGTATGAAAACTAAAATGAAAAATGTGTAAGGTAAAAAAAAAAAAAAAAAGGAAAGGAAAGGAAAAGAAAAGAAAGGCAATAAATGAAGGCTTGGAATGAATAAAAGAGGTAAGTGGTGAAATATGAAAAAGGTGGCGAAAATGAAGTGGAGCAAAGGAAAGAAAGGAGCAACTGATAAATTTGTTCCTTTATTTCAAGGTTAGGCTTTGCGTGAGAATTTTTTTTTTTTCAAATCAGCCACATGCATTTTCTGGGTCATTGTGACGTGACAATCTTTCTCAGTCTCGTCACCAGCCTGAGGACGAAGTTCATGTGCACATGCACAGGCTGGGACCACACTTGACATTTGGCTGGAGGTCTCTTTTTTTAAATTTGAAAAAGTTTCTAAGTCAGAACTCCACTCTGAGTTAATAGGAGGACCTAACTTATTAAAGGTGCCGTGTGCTCTTTAAGATCATAGTACCGGCATCATATGGAGCTACTATAGAAAATAAAACAAATAGAGATTGCTTCTATCTAACGCTCCTTTTCATTCATGGCTTAGTGCTCAAATAAAGTTGTGTGACATCCTTGCTTTTTCAACTGTGGATAAGGTCTTGACAAAGAGAGACAACGCAAAGAGCGTGGGCGAGTGAAGCAAATAAGGATTATGGCCCAAGCACAATAAGGGCCATAAAGTAACAAGGCAACAGCAGTATGATGAATCAATAAGCCAGCCAAAGGCTAAAGTAAGATAAATAGCGAAAGGTTTTGCGCCAGGATTCGATAGAAAGTAACAAGAGGTTCTGACTTCTCGTCAATCTGCAGCGACATGTTCTATTATTTTATTTCACTGCAGTAAACGATGCATCTTACAGTATTAGTTGCAGCTCTTATGTGTCATCCTGTCCCATGGATCGAACGACAAGCCCTTCCATAAAGCCTTCACTCTCGCCAGGTACATCAAACATATCGTCATTAATGATTCTTTGAGCATCATAATTTACAAAAGTAACATCTGCACTCAGTGAAGGGTATACAGGGATATTAGCGCGGATGGGGAAACCAGGCGGTAATTGGAACTCCAAAAACTCTTTGAGTTTGCCCACCAACCGGTTATTGTCCATCCCAATGACCTCAAGGAGCGGAATAATCCTTTCGATAGTCAGAGGGAATTGAGGTACTATTGTCTTGTTACTATTACTGCCCAATGATGTGATAGATGAAGCTGCAATCGATGCAGTCGATTTGTTGTCATGGAGTGTTCCCGAAGCTGAAGAAGACACATTGCTACTATTACTACCATCATACATCCACAAAGTTGCACCGAATGTCTTTCGTGACTCTTTCTGCTCCAATGGTCTACCTAGATGAAGTTCCCCTTGCTTTGATTGGTCAAAATACTCCTCGAACGTAATGGTTGGTGGTGGAGGCGGAGGTAATGATTTTCGATAGATTGCTTTTGGGTTGACAAACTCCATATCGTCTGCAGTATCGGGGTCGTCCTCATTCCCTAACTCTTCTTCGGCCTCTTCTAGTGCTGTCTCGAAAAATGCATCGTCTGAGATGGTCCCCGTACTTCTAGCATGCTTTTTAGGAGCCATAACTCGTTGATGTTTTGATTGATCAATCCCATTGACATCATTCTTTTCTACAGGCTCTGAAGAAGCGGTTATTGAGAGTGGCCCATTGCTAGGGTCTTCTAGAGCTGTTGTGTCACCTTTCGCGTCACTGTCTTTTATAGGCTCGGATTCCGTAAAGGTTGCAAGAAGTGGTTGAATTGGTCTCCTTGGCTGCTGTTTCTGCCTTCCTCCCCTATTTCCTATCAATGCAAGATCAGCCCTTCCATGTCCATGAGCCCCATGGTGATGGTGATGGTGATGTCCTTTGGTTGCTCTAACTGCTGGTGCTTTGTGCAATTCAAGGGGTTTCCCATACTCGTCCTTCAAGTGCTCAGTCCTGACTCTTGTTCGAAATTCGACTCCATCCATTTTCCACACCGCACATTCATATTCACCCACTTTTTCGACCTTGTCGGTACGGTATCCCCATAGTCCCGTCTTTGCTCGGTGAAATTTGATGGCAGACGTTGGTACATTTGTGGAGGTCTATATAATAATTGTGATGAAAATGCGTGAAAATGCGTCTGGTTAATATTTTAGAACGTTGTAGTCATTTAGCGCCGCAATGTGAAGAAGCGATATAGAAAAGAACAAGAAGCCGCTTACAATATCAGAATTGAAGCAAACCGACACTTCTCTCTCGATTTCCTCATCCGTTGGTTCTTGTGCTTGTTGTTGCTCATCGTCTGCAGATGTAGCGAGGCGCTGTGTGATCTTTTTTACGCGGTCGATGATGACTAGCTCTGGACCTATTTTAATTGGCTACATCAGCTGGCCGCTTTATTTTTAAGATGAAAAACAAAATCATATCAGATTAGGGCAAACAAAGCTTACCAGACATTGGATCTACTCGAAAGATGATAGAAATATGACCTCGCAACCATTTCATGTTTTCGAATCCAACTGAAAAAAAAAAAAAAAAAAAAAAAAAAAACTTTGTTAGTTAATGCATATAAGAGTCTTTTTGTTTTTTTAACCTTGAAGAAATCGCTATGACCAAATTCTCCTTACCAAGAGATGTATCCATGCGCACACAATTGCCCTTCTTCCAGATATGATATGTATCGTTTGGGCATAATCCACTTACGAATGGAACTAAAGGATGTGAAAAAATTATGTGGGCAAGAAATCAGTTGTATCTTATTAGCCTATGTCGCTAGTTCTCAGTGGAAAAAAAAAAAAAAAAAAAAAAGATGTCTCATTATTCTTGAGAAAGATTCTTTCGCATACCCCAACTTTGGAACTCCCTGATCATTATGAAGAATACAACGGATATAAAAATAGAGAAGAGTGGATTATTAATGTCAGCGTATATCTTATGATAGCATGAGGGCTCAGGTGATTCATAAGAGAGTTGATGAACTGCCTTGTTTTATTCTTACCATTGAAGCTGAAAGTAAAATTGATCAAGATCCTGTGGTTGTCCATGTGCCACATTTAGAAAAAAGCAAATAATAAAATGAGCAACTTGAAATTAATTAAAACAGCCTCTCAGCGAGTGACAAAAAAAATCTTGGTTGTGTTCCTTTTTTATGGCCAATACCTCGGATAGCTGCTTGACTAGGCTCATGGCTTTGGTTTTGAACGATCCTGAAAACTCTTTGCGCTGATACCGTGTTAAGATCTCAATCAACTCTCGGTCTCCCAGACTGGCAGCCTCCTGTCTTGGGGTCCAGCCAGATCCAGACCGAGCCACTGGATTTGCACCTGCCTCTAGAAGAATGGAGACCATGTCCTTGCGATTCAGCATGACAGCGAGATGCAATGGTGTGACCAGATGATTGTCCAGGGAGTTGATGGCGGGATGTCGATTCTGCTGAGTTGCATCTTTTTTATTGTAATGGCCCTTTTCCTCGAAGTTGTTCCCTGAATGTTGCTGTTGCTGTGGCGATTGTTTTTCGTCAATGGCCTGACGCTGTTTATAGGGTGTCAGATACATCTTCAAAGTTTGGACTTTATTAAGAAAGACCAGTTTATGAAGAGCCAGGGGGTCGGCAGGGTCAACTGCAACTGATGCCATAGATGCCATTTTTTCTTTTGACTTGCTTTATTGATTGACGTATGAATATATTATTATGTGAGCTAGAGAATAAATTCGGAGAGAATAGGAGTGGAGTGAAGTAGAAATAGGAGTAAAAGAGAAAGAGAGAGGGTTTGTTGAATGGAAGTACTTTTTGGCTGGCATTGCAATAGGGCCCAAGGTCATCTATTTCTGTATTTCTGTATTTCTGTATCTGTTTGTACTTCTATATTTCTGCACGTGTGTTTCTGCATCCTCTTCTCTTGTGAGGTGTGACATGTGTATGGGCTAATTTGTCGTCAATCAAGAAAATGTCTGGCGCACACGACCTGGCATGTCGCGTCTGTATTGACGCGTTAGAATTCCATACCTTCTTTGTGACCAGTATCTTTACTAATGTCAGTCCTTTCGTCAATTGCACCCCATTTATCAGCCATACACCGTCCTTTCTGTCTCCTTCTCTGCACCTTCATCTTTTTTTTTTTTTTTTTTTTTTTTTTTTTTGCAATGGCGCTTCTTCTAGCTCTTACCATGCAATTACTTATTATAGCATACCATTCTACCCTTTGCCTGTTAGCCACGCACCCATTCCAACCCCTCTTGCTCTTGGACTCTCTTTGTCAATAATCCTGTGTTACTTTGTCGATGATCGCTCACCCCCTTCAATGCAAAAAAAAAAAAAAAAAAAAAAAACTTATTCTCTCCTGCATACTCTCTCCCTCCTCTCTTCTCCTTCTATCGCCTTTTTCCCTTCCTGCTTGGTCGTTTTTGAGCCAGTGTTTACTTGCATCTACTTATGGAAGAGTCCTATTGTTTTTAATCCTCGCAATTTATCCTTTTTTTTTTCTTTTCTTTTTATTTACTTGCTTCTTCTATTCCTCCAAATTGTTTCTCGCTTGCTTTTTTCTATAATATTCAATGACTACAAGCGTTCACCAGGCTTCCCCCCGCGTTAGCAGCAGCAGCAACAGAAGCACCGCCACCATCACCTGTGATATGAATTTTGATGGCTGCTGTTGCTGTCATGATAGTACTGCGTCAGTTACTGACGCTCATATCAGACGGCCCCAAAAGCGTTACTTTTCCAATGACCCAAAAAGCAGTAATATTAACTTTGATCAACAAACTTCAGTATCTATCCTATCTGTTCCAATCATGGATCCGTTCTACCGTGATCTACAAGCCCTTCAATCCGACCATATGTTGCTTCAGACTAAATTCAAACTCTCACAACAGAATTTACAAAAATCTTATCAGGACCTATCAGTGGCCCAATACCAGACCAAATGTGCAAAGGTGGATGTCGATCGACTCAGAACACAGATGAATATAACCCTGTAAGTACTTTTTTTTTTTAAAAAAAAAAAAAAAAAAAAAAAAAAAAAAAAGACCCTGAAATGATCCATAAACCTACATCACCAAGCCTAAAAAATAAGGGGAGAACCACATCTAACCTTACATCAAACACATATTAAACCTTTCACATTTACATGACTTTTATAGTAAAAGCCATGTTGACCATCTTCCTGAAAGACATACTCTAGCTCAACAACTGGCAGAGCTTCAGACAAGGCTTGATGTAGAGATTGGGTCCAGGAAAGCTCTGGAACAGGAATATGATGCCCTACGCCGAGAAAACCTACAAATTAAATCCAAAGCACCACGATCCAAAAACACCACAGCTGCTACAGCCTCTTTTACAGACTCCGGTAAGGGTGATAGTCCTGGTAACTCTCCAACGACAGCTTGGTCGGCCATGTCATTTATTCCGTTCTGGAAGGACGATATGAGTAGTAATAGTCATTACAACGGCGGGGACAGTCATCAAAAGAGCATGAGTAATGGTACCAATGAAAACAATGCCAGTGCACTCTCCCCTATGAAAAACATTCACAAATTAAATTCACTGGAAAAGAAGGATGGGGAACAAAAGAAGGGAGGCTGCACGATACAACAAGGAGAGATTGAAACGAACATTCATGCAGAAAATACGACGACACTGTGGGATGCCGCCACGCCTACTTCAGAACAACTTGAATGCCAGAAAGTATTCTACGAAAAACTGCGGGAAGAGAACATCACAATGGAAAGAGAGCTGATTGATTTGAGGTATCGTTGCAAAGCGGAGAAAGATTCGGTAAGAGTATTAAAAGAAGATCTGTGTTCCCCCCATATTTTAAGTGCTCTCTCGTATCCAGTTTTATTAATCGTTTTCATTATCGAAAATTATATAGGTCAAGAGCTATATGTCTTTGTTCGAAAATCTTCAGAAGAAACAATTTAATGCTTTAGCAGTCTCTCGGTCTAAAATTGATCTCCTTCGCTCACAATCTCACGACCTCCAAGCCGCCCTTGCTGCCCGCGATTCACAGATCAAGACCCTCCATGACACAGTGCAATCCCAAATCGTAGAGCTCCAGGTGCTTACTTGTCAAGTTAGTCGAGCTCAGACCGCACGTGCCAAAATTGAACAAGAGATGGCGCTTTTAATTGAGGCTAGCCTTCTGATGCTTGAGCGTTGGTTTGAAACTATTCAACAGACCAGGGTTATGCTAAAAGGGCACCTTGATCCTGTGCGTCAAAGCATTCTACACTTAGAGGAGCCTAGTATCCTGGCGGAGTGGGACCAGTGCGTTAGAAATATGGAGTATATAATTGATCAACTGGCAAAGAGTTTACTCAAGCAGCAGGAGTTTCAGGAGATAGAGCTAGAAACCGGTGTCGTTCCCGCACAGGATCCAAAAGCAATCATACCCATCAATAATAGCAACATTAAAGGCCATGAATCCATGGACCAGGACGAGGACAAAAAGATGGGAGCATTGAGTCTTGACAACAATTATAGCCAGCAAATATTTGTTTGGCGAAAGTTTATGGCAGATACGTTTTTAGAGAATTGTGTCAAGACTGTGGAGAACCTTGCACAAGAGAAGAGGGATTTGCAGGTTCGACTGTTCGAGCAGACATGTAATATGGCTGATGGGGGACAGCAGCAAAGTTGTAACGCAGCGGAAGTAGATATATTCAATAGTCAAACTTCACAATCCGCACTGCCAGCGGAGGCATCATCAAAGCAAGAGCAGCAACAAAAAACACAGCAATATGAGCATATTGGCCGAGGTAAAGCGGATGAGGTGGCCTCAAATGAATACACGTTGGACCATGGAGCGAAGGATACGATTGGATGGGAAGGAGCACAAAATGGTGTTAAGAATGTCACAGCAGTACATGTACAGAGTACCATTGCTCCAGAAAAATTCGACGATGTGATGCATGCAAAAGTCCAGCGACTCGAAGCCATTTTGAGACGCATTCTGGGATGGGATAAATGTCGGGAAATGCGCAGGGGCGATAGTATTGAAGGCGAAATCCTCGGTTTAGGGATTCCTGGCTTTTTACCGCAGGATGCGCTCAACGGTGACCTATTACAGAGCCAAATGGAATCTGATATGGTTGCTATCAATATAAAGCCATTTGTCACTACAAACCTCTGCGAACTCAATTTCAAGCAATCACAGGAGGAAGAAGAGCTGAGCTCGATCATTCATTGTATTAGATCAGAGCTATCGGATTTGGGAACACAGTTACCTGCAGTGTCAAATATTGAGCAAGAGAAGATCAGGAAACCTCGTACCGACCAAAGCATTGTATACGAAAAGGCTAATGCTGGCTCAATATCGGCCATCATGGCACAGCACAATCTCCCTCCATTTCCTTCCTCCATATTTCTTAAAACCTCGCCTATGTCCTACGTCCCATCCCTCGGTTTATCGGATATGGATCGTGGCCATAGCTTCCCCCTCGGATATGTTAGCGTCAATGGACTGAAAACTCCTGTCACATCCCCGGGTTTAAGCGGGATTGGATCTGGACCTGATGGTGAGGCCTCCATCCTTGACATGGATGCCATTTGCCGCGATCTCAACTTTCGATCCTTTCCCAAGAGATATCGATGGTCCATATTCAAAGAAAAACATGCATAATGGCTTAGAAGGTTTCAAATCATAAAACAAATGATCCTATAACCAATATATTACTACTATCTTTACTATTTTTATGTGTATCGCATGTATCTATTTAATATTATAAGTATTGAAAGTCTTGCCTGAGCCTACGAGCCTATATGTCCGTCAAGCCTTGTAGGTCGTTTGAGCGTAAGAATACTAGCGATGGCTCAGGGTTTGGGCAGAATTGTTCCAAGATCTCCATGCATGTCTGGTTTTCTTCCGTCCTTTTTGTGGGATCTGCGCCAGCAGCGACCAATAAACGGATACACTCACTTGGCTCAGAGTTATACCGTGCTAATGAATGGAGTACTGTCCAGCCCATACCCCCTGTAGCTGTGACATCAGCCCCATAATTCAAAAGCATCTTGAGCAGCTCTAGTGTCTGGTGCCTGACTGCGTGAGCTACAATATGCAAGACCGACCATCCGTCGTCTGTTTTCGCGTTCACATCTGCTCCAGTTGGTTCGGCCTCAAGCAATAGACGCATGCTCTCCGCTGGGTCCAAGCAATAGTTGGCTAAGAAATGTAACGCATTCCAGCCGTTGTCGGCCTTCACTCTAGGATCTACGCCACTCTGTAGCAAGAACCGAATGGACTCAAAGGGTTTTGGAGTGCAACGTGCCACACAGTGCAATACAGACCAACCCTCTTTCCCAATAGCGTTTATATCTGCGCCATGCTCGACCAAGACCCTGAGAGCCTCTAATGACTCTTCTTTCGAGCTGACTAGAAGATGTAATGCCGACCAACCATCTTCAACCTTATTGTTGACAGCTGCACCGGCTTCCAATAACAGTTTCAGTACAATCGCGGGGCTCTTGTTACTATAGACCAGATAATGTAAGACTGTCCAGCCTTTGTTGCCTTCTTTGTTGACATCAGCGCCAGCGTTCAGCAATACCTTCATGGATTGATACAACTCTGAAGGATCCTGACAGTATTTCGCCAAAGTATGGATGGCTGCGGTGTGTCCTGCCTTTAGTACATTGACATCAGCACCTGCCTGGACCAATAGCTTAATTCCCTCTGTAGGCGAATTACTATTATAGCGAATCAAACAGTGTAATGCTGTCCAGCCGTCTGCACCAACTGCATTCGCATTTGCGCCCTTTTCTATCAGATATTGAATTGTCTCAATCGAGTTTGGATTGTTCTTGGCCACGTAATGAAGAGGCGTCCATTGCTTGATTGTCCTTGCGTTCACATCCGCTCCATATTCTACAATCAGCTTAATTGCCTTGAGCATATCCCTGCTTGCTCTGAAGCTTTTTCCGTTCCTAGGACTACATCTAGTCAGGGCATGCAGGGCCGTACAATGCTCATCTGTCCGAGAATCAACAGGGACCCCATGATCGAGAAGATATTGGATACAGTCATAAGGATCTGTATTGTATCGAGCAAATGTATTCAAAATACTCCATCTATTGACGCTAATAGCTTTAATATCTGCCCCATATGATACTAGCAGTTTCATAGCCTCGAGGCATGATCTCGGTGATCGATAAGAATGAGCCAGCGCGTGAAGGACTGTCAGACCCATCTTTGTGACATGATGGATATTTGTGCCATACTGTAAAAATAGCTTTATTACTTCCATCGCTTCCGGTTGCTCTTGAACTAGAACATGAAGCGGTGTTGAACCGTCTGGCCGGAGGGCCATAGGATTGAAACCTTCATGGAGAAGGATATCAATCACGTTCCACAGAACAGATGGGTCATCCTCATTAATGATGTGTTGGCAAGCTAGATGAAGGTAGGTTGATTCCTGCTCCAACAAAAGCGGTTCGTCACGCAAAAGTCGTTTAAATTGATTGGCCACAGCTAAGGGAGTGGGACATCCTTGCTGTTCACATGTTGTTGTTGTTGTTGCTGCCTTATTATTCGCCAGAGTTGCTTTGAATGAGAATGGGTGCCCTGAATTGTCAATGTATACTCTGTTATGACCATTACCACTATTGCTCTGATGCGTAGTGTTACTCTGTGGGGTTGCAATACTGACTAGTGGACTTTGGCTATTGGCGATGTCATTTAAATTGGATGACATGTCAGGCCTTAACGACGATGAGGAATTGGCATCAGTGACTGTATCAGCTACCTGTGCACTGGAGCGAGATCTTCGACGCTGAGCAAGGATGAATGCGACAGCATGATAGTCGCCAGCCCGGACAGAAGCCTCCATTGAATGTGGAGGCGGGTTTTCAGCAGAGTAAGGTCCAAAGCGTGCTTCAAGCCACTTCAAAGACATTTCCTTGGAAGGTTCTGTAAGAGAATCCTTCTCGCTGTCAGGTTGAGTTGTCATGGTTGATAAATAGAGATGGTTATTCCTGATGCGAAGGAAATAGATAGGCAAGATCTGTGTAAAAACTGGGCAGATATGTTGACGGGCAAAGATAGTAAAAACGGGTACTGAGTGGAAAAGAGTGGGAGAGAGGGTAGGGGGTGAATGGGGTGGGGAGAGGGAAAAGAGTGAAGGAGAAAGTTGGAAAGATTAAAAAAAAAAAAAAAAAAAGGCTGTGTTACTTTCGAGGAAGAGAAGGAATCCCGAGGATATAAATCATCACGTTCATGCTGCAGCATCAGTGAATATAAACATCACCATCTTCTTGAGTTTTGCCCCCTTGCTTGTACTTGTATCACAGAATCATTTTCCTCAAAATAAGATTGATGGACAAAGGAAAAAAAGAACAAAAATGTCGAGTACCCTCATCTTCGTGTAACCGCAGATTATATTTCTACTCTGTGTGTAAAAGGTAAGGAGGATATTGGATGGCAGATAGATGTGCACAGACCACAGGGGAGAAAGGACGTCCAAGGTGGCTGTGTCTATCGCACGTGCCAATTGAAAATCCCTGGTACTCTATTTCCATTATTCTGCTCGAGAAGGAGTATGAGTGAACAATTTTACAAAATAGAAAAATGAATGAGAAGCATCCCTTTATTGATCGCCTCAAACATGGGTGAGGGATATTCTATAATTGATAATTGAATGATCAAACATGTGACTGGCATGTCATGCTCAAGCCTAACGTCCTTAATAAAGTCGAGCGCTTCAAATACCATAACCAGGACAATAGGAGCACTGCTGCATCTAATGAAAGTGTTATACCTTGAGGCAAAAGTAGCAAGGAATTCCGAGGCGATTGGTTTTATTTATCAACAAGAAGTTACTAATAGATACGACGATATATTTGGCAACCTTTTTATATGAGAATGATGGCGACAAAGGAGGAAAGCGCAGCGACATCACCACTTCACAGCTAGACAGGGAAGGGTGAATCGAAGGAGCCAGCTGAGAGCTAACCTACCAAACAAATGGCACTGCAGCTCTTCATAATCTGCTCAACTCGCCAATCAGCTCAAGTCTCCAGTAACGCTACTGCCAAGCCTCACCTTCAGGACTGATGGGAAGATGTGCATGAATACATATCCCGCCCTGGCATTAGTTCTGATTCCTATGAGCTAATTGATATGTGGATCAAAATTTACATAGATCTTTGGGAACAACAGATGGTCGATCCAACTATCGACTGATTCAAATTCTACAGCCAACAGTAATATGGAAAAGGATGGGCATACCGTTTATAGAAGGATGGTACACAAAAGAAAGATGCATAATAGATGGTCAATGTAATTGAACTGCGACGATGGGCTGAATGATATTGAAGAACTGATTAGGATGGATTGAATGAGGTCGAAAGGTCATGATCGACTGTACTTTACGACCACCTTGATGCGCCTTGACCTCACTTTCTTATAGCTCATGGTGAGAAGTTGAGCAGCCACACCTACGACCAGAAATAGGTTATTAAAGGTGGATAAGGAGAGGGTATAGTGGAGTTGGTACACTAACAGGAAGCAATCGAGATAAAGGCGAAAGAGCAATGAGGTATTTGCTTTTAAAATAACCTGTAAACATGTGAACTTTCAGTTCAGCTTCTTGATACGATAACCATTAAGCTCAAGCAGTTGATATTTCTCAGAATCTAAAGTAGCGCTGACAATGTTGGTAAAATCTTACCGCATAGAATTGAAAAGTACCTTGTTCCATGGATACATGAAATAGTATTCTTGGGACTATACGGCGAGAAAAAAGATAGAGCAACTGTTGATGTAAAAATATTAATACATGATGTGATACAGAAGGCGGAAAGGCATAGAACCTTTTTCGCCCAATGTTGCGTATTTATTTTCTATTTTGAACTAATGGCTTTTTTTGAATCAGCGCATAACTTCGCAATCCGGTAACAGGTTTTTCTTACAGGAGTTTGCTCTCAGGAACGCCCAAACGATGTTAACCAGTACATGCCATCTTTTTTCAAACAGTAGTTGGCTGGGAAGAGGTAGAGTTGAAGTGAACTAAAAAATAAAATAAAATAAAAAGCTGTCGTACAAAACATGCATCTGTCCCGCCAGAGGCAGATTGGTGGCTAGTAATATTTTTTTTATCAAGAATTGGCAGTGTTCATCTCCTCTTAACGAGTTTGACAAGAAAAAAAAAAAATCAGAAATGAGACAAAAAATGCTAAATAAGGAGTATGTCCTCACATGGACTCATGTATCTGGACGTTTTTAATTTTTTAAAGATATGACAATTAAGGATCGCATATTCATTGACAAAGATAGTCAAATCCGACATTGGTCTCAGGCCCACCTGGACCCTTTGTCGATGTCAGGGTTACCGGCAAAATATGAGGGAAAAGGTAAAGCTAAAAATGGTGTGTTACTATGTCGAGATGGTCCATCAAGTCCATAATTAAGAGCATCGTTAGTCTAAATCAGAATACACAATGAAGCAAGCCTTTTTTTTTGTCCTTTTGGATAGTTTACCCACATTGAAATTATTTGTGCGCTGGATATGACTAGCTTGAGCTAAAAAGAGACAGAAAGGTTGTTTGGTAAATTCGCGCAATTCTATTTCCAGAACGGAGATGGTATGGAGACAGAAAAAAACAGTATTAAAGTGTCCAGCAGCATATTTTAAAGACGAATCAGGAACGGAGAGCACTTTGCTCTTAATCAAACCCAAATCAAGACAGAAAGGCACAGACCGAACCGTCGCCCCTTTTTTTTGACCATGCTTTTTTTGTCAATGGTGCTTATGTCAACCTTTTTTTTTAAAAAAAAAAAAGACTTGGCCAAACCTTGAATGGTTCTCATTTAAATACCGGTCTTGTTTGCTGCCCTTGACAGTCTCTTTGTCTTTCTTCGTACCTCATTCCCTCTTCACACACATCTGCCAAAAAACTATCCCCACTCTTCCTCATCGCGAGAACGTTAACATCCTACATTCCTTCACATTTCCCGCTTACTTGATTAAATACATTCACACTTTATCTCTTCCACCTCCTCAAAACACTTATACCTAGTATAATACATATCAACATCATGCGTGCTACTACACTCTTCTTGGCTTCGGCTGCTGTCCTCGCCATGGGTACACAGGCACAAATCAAGGGTCAGATCGCTGCTCTTGATTCAGCTGACAGTTACTGTTTCTTCTTGCCTCCCATGGTCGGGGGTGACATCGCCGCTAATGAAGACAGGGCTATTGCCTTCTGCAACAAGCCTAACCCTCGTGCCCCTGGTGCAAAAATCTTCCCTCCTGGTTTCGTTCTCTCTGCTCACTGGGCCACTGGTCCTAACTGGATTCAGATCACTGTATGTTGTCGATTGACTCCCTTTATTTTTTCACTCTCACTTTCTGTTCTATATTATTAAACAACTGCCTGTGTCTTCATTACTATCTCTTAATCCTTTTAAAATAGGGCCAAATTGATCCTGCTCAATATTCGCTCAACCCTTGCGATACCGGTGGGCAGTACGACATCAAAGCCCCTGTGGGCGCCACCTGCGTTGGTTATAATCACTTTGTGAATGTGATTGAGCCAGAGCTCGGTGTTTATGGCATGCGCTGCTGTAAGGAAAAACAAGACTGTGATGTCTATCATTCAACTTATGGTGTTAAGCGTGTCTATGGTGCTCAATACGACTTCTCAGGTCCTCGCCCAGATGGTCCTATGCCTTTATCGCTCAAGTGCGTTAATGGTGCTCTGCCTGATGGTATCCCTATCCCTGGCCCCTCTTCTTCTAATAATGCTGGTAGTAATTCTACTAATACCACTGCTACTACTACTGCCGTCGCAGGTGCTGGCGCTGGCGCTGGCACGTCTACTGGCACTGCTGCAACCAAAAAGACCTCTGCTCCTGCCTCAGTTGATAATGGATCTGACTCTTCCAAGCTCAGCGCCGATGGCAAGAATGCCCCTAGCTCCGCTTCAGGCAATAGCATTATGATGGCTACCACCGCTATCCTGGCTACCGCCGTTGGTATGCTCATGGCTTAGATCAACTTTATATAAATAAAACAACAACAACAATAATAATAATAATAATAATAAAGCGTGGAACGTGGTTTATGAGTAATATAGTTATATGTTATATTAGAAGAATGAATGCTATATGATTTGATTTGGGAGTGCTTGTAATGTCTACTAAGATTAAGTTCATTGATGCTTATTGAGTACTTTTAGATATTAGTGGTGTATGCAAGTACGAGAGCAACCATAACCAACGTTCCCATGAACATGCCAACAGTAAAAGTCCACACGCCTGCTTGAACAAATGGATATCTTGTAGAAATCCTCCTTATATTTCTATGGACACAATTACAGACGCAAAAAAAAAAAAATTAAAAATTAAAAATAAGAGAAAGTAGATTGTTAATATCGTTAATTTGGAGAATACTTTTGTTATCTTTTCTTGAAATGTTTGTTACCTCAGGTATTTGAGCATACTGTAGATGGCTGCAAAGAACGCTACAGTGAAACACGCATATCCAATGACTCGAGAAACTCGATTCTTGTGCTGAACTTCAGCTCTACCCTGGAGTTGCTCTGTAAAACTATCTAGACTGAACGCTCGAGTGATGAATGATAAAGAAATTAAGCAAAGGGCGCAAGTTGCGTTCAACCAGGAAAGGAATGTTCGTTCATTGGCTAATGTCAAAAAAAAAAGTGAAATAAAGAAGAAATAGTCAGAGATATGATGTCTCACATGCCTTGAATCGCTTTTGCAAATGGTGCTCTTTCATTCACTCTTAGCCTACCAAATCCATCGCGAGCCATGGTGTTACTGCAAATGACGCTTGTCCGGAAGAATTGGGATCGAGGTAAGAGAATTCCTGATAAACAATGATCCTTTTCGTTCTTCAGCTCTTCCTCGATTCGACGTTGTTGCTCCTCTTCATCTACAGATTCTTCTTCATCCTCATCTTGGTCCTCATCTTCGCTGTTATAAGCGGCTTCAAGATCGTGTGAAGAGCTCCCGAATCCAAGATTAAATATGGATATGGACCTGGATCTGGACCTAGATACATTTGACCCCGGGCTAGCTGCTGATGTAGAGGCCGCTGCACGGCTGAATCTAAGCGACCTGCGCCGATCAATAATGCCAGAACCAACTCTAGCAGCTCTAGCGGCTGCAAGTTCAGCTGCATAGTTTAATGCGGCTTCCTCTTCTTCAATTGCTGTGGGGCCATAATACAAAATACCCAGTTCATCGCAAGTCTGTTTAAGTTGGGTGTTGTTGACGATATAGCAACTGTTGCTCCGCGCACGGCTTATGCCAACAGTTCGAGCTGAAGGTTGCTCAGGGGAAGAATAAGAGCGAGCCCGTACTCGACTTTGTGGCAAGGAAATACGTCTAAGAATGCCTTGAGTAGTAGAGTGACAGTAGTGAACTTGAGGGCGGCTGCCTTTGCTGTTTAAGTTGGAATTGTCGAGCGTAGTGTCACCACTATCATCAAAAGAGATTGATTGATTATAAGAGTCTCGCTGTTGTTGTTGTTGTTGTTCATTCTGTTGCTCTATTTGCTGGCGTGCGATGGCATCATCACCTCCTGCATGAGCAATAAGCGGACTGAGTGGTATGCGGCACTCTTCATTTTCTTCCATTGTTATCTGCTTGCACGGATGTTGAAAGCTCTATTGATAGAATTCTTGGTGTGCCTGGTTGTTCTGACGAAGTCCCGGATGTTGTTATTAACTTATCTTGGGGAGCCAGGTTTATCTTTCTCACGAATTTTTTCGCCTTTCCTTTGTAACAGATACTGCTCTACTGGCTCATTCAATGAACAAGCGTATATTTGAGCCTTTTCCTTTTCTTTCTTGTGAATGACTTCTTTTCTAACGGAAAAAAAAAATGCTGGTATATTGATAATGGGCAAAAGTTACTCAAATAAAAATAAAAAAAAAAAAAAGTAAGGTACTGAAGCAGGAATGAAATTGTTTAATGAATCGAGTGAATCGAATGAATCGAATGAATATAAAAAAAAGGAAAGAAGCAAAAGAAAGAAATGGCCTTGCTTGAAAGTCAAATGGAGAAAATGAATTTCAATGACAACTTTTCATTCACATTCATACCTTTTCTATTATGACAACAATATGAGACGGGTCAACTTTGTGTCCGTTGAAATGTAAAGTTATCGATACATGAACATTGCATTGCATGGATGGTTACTCAAGACACCTTGTTTTTGTTATGCTGTTCTCCTTGCTTATTACTGTTTTTTTTTTTTTTTTTAGTGTTTTCCGTCGGGAATTACAGCAGGTTTATTCATAGTTCAGATTCCCCAACGGTGGTTGTCTGTGCGGGATCAGCTCATCATTGACGATATTTGTCGCTGTATACCTATTAACTGAAGTTGATTGCACAATACTCCAATAGGATATAGCACGTCCAGATGCCCTGTCTGTTTCTAACACGGCGCAGCAGATTGTGGTCCCTAAAGTATCAAGCAATAGGTTCTATACGGGCAAGGCAATGCACTTGTTGTCCATACCTAGACTCTGGGTTTCTCCTAATCTTCTTCTGCCTCCGCTCGGCGCACACCTTCTCCTCTACTCCCTCTTTCAGCTTTGACCTCTCATCCCAATCCACTCCTTAAAAAAAAAAGGAAAGGCTTTGATGCTATTGCTAAAAATTTATGACTCTGTTATCCTATTCTCGTAAGAATCTTCCTGCATTAACTTGAAAATAAGGAGTATTTCATTTTGTATCAGTATGCGAGTAGCTTCTGCCTACAGGAGCTGCTTTTGGTCAGATCTTTTAGCATGCTGGGAAGAGGTCTTGTCACTTGCACTCACTGACATTTCTAGAAATATTTTCTATAATAGGGTTTAGCATCAGTAAGTGATGCCAAAGTTCAATAGGAGCATGCAACAAAAAAAGTAGGAGACAGACGCGATCGCTACACACGTGACAAAGAATCCAAAAAAGAGAGAAACATGGTGTTCTCTTCCCATCTCTCGTGGTTCCTTTTTTTTTTTTTTTTTTTTTTTTTTTTTTCATCACACTCAAAAAAAAAAGAGAGAGAGCAAAGCATCAGTTTATCATAGGAACAAAGGAATAGACAAAACATCAGAGGAAATGGCAAAACAATACAAGAATGTTGGGGACGAAATCTGGAAGACCAAGGTCGAGAAAATTGTAAGAAAAAATAACCTGCAATCGCACAACTCCTCATCTCAACCCAAAACGAAATAAAACTGGGAGGAAAAAAAAAAAAGTAACCGAGGATTCAATGCGCCATCACATCGATTCTCCTTTTACTATAACCATAAAAAGTGTCTATCTAGTCTTTGAGCCCTGGGAGTGTTCTCATATGACTACCATTTGAAAGAACAAAGACCTTTGACTTGACTCATACTCTAACAGCATTTTTTTATATATTTGTTTCCCCACAATCATTCGTGCATTATAAAACATGGACACGTCTAGAACGCGGAACTTTTTACATTAACATACGGCTCCATTGTTGCTCAATTGGTCAAAGATTATGAGGATTTCACAGAGGTTAACAAACAATTGGAGAAGATGTAAGAAACATTGCCATAAATGAAAAGATAAATTTACCACAAAGAAAGAGAAAGAATAGTTACCCCCTAGCTGAAAAAAACTTGCCTTTCGACATATTTGGCTTTACTAAATATTTTGGTGTAATTGTTCTTATTTCGCTTTAGGGGATATAACATCGGAACGCGTTTGATTGAGGATTTTCTTGCACGATCTGGTGTAGGCAGATGTCAGGACTTCCGTGAGACGGCCGAGATGATTTCCAAAATCGGGTTCAAAATGTTTTTGAATATCACACCAGCCGTGACTAATATTTCTACAGATGGAAAAGAGTTTTCATTGGTATTGGAGGATAATCCCTTGGCAGAGTGTGTCGAGCTGCCTGATCAGGCGCTCATGGATGAATTTTGGTACTCAAATATTCTCTGTGGTGTCTTGCGCGGAGCTTTAGAAATGGTAAGAATGAAGGAGAGAGAGATGGATAGATAATATAACCAAAGAGATGTGTTTGCTTATATAGATTATTTTTCAAAAAGACTTTGACTTCCAGCAAGCACTGACATTTCTTTCTTTTTTCTTTCGATTTTTCTAGGTTCAAATGCAAGTGGATGCCTTCTTTGTGACAGATACGCTTCGTGGAGACGATGTAACAGAAATCCGAGTAAAGCTTATTCGTTACCTCGAGGAGGAAGTCCCCGCAGGCGAGGATTAAAAAGAATATTTGCTCAGGGAGTTTTGTGTATAGTCTGTTCCATTTGGTCGCGATCCCTTATATTTTTTGAATACTCTTAAATGTATTGGCAGCCAATTGACTCGCTTGTTATTGCAAGTGGTGTGACTGGTCATTAAAATTAATTTCAGTTTATTTTGTATCCACTAATCTGTCGAACCAGCTTAAAGGAATCTTTGCGCAAAGCCTCTGTAGTCATAGGCGGGTCCGCCTCACCTAGAAACTACCGAGTATAAAAGCCAAAGAAACTTCCTTCTTAATAAAGTCTTCAGTTTTCCCCACATGTCTTATTCTTCACCCGCAGTTCATCTTGCCATTTATCTTTTTCCCCTTTTCACAACAAGCATTTGTCTTCCGGTAACTCAGTTTGTGAGCTCACCTATAAAGCTCCCATCTTTTCTTTTGACATTCTATGGCGCTGTTTGTAGTCAAGGTTATTTGACTCTATTTTCTCTTGTCAATCTTGTTGACACTCTTTGTCCTGCCTTTTCCTGATTGTGTCTATCTTTCTATCCCTTAAGCAAAGATATTTTTTACAACAATGCCACCAAGCCAATTTATTAGGATTAAGATATGTGGGGTCTATATGTTGTCTAAATAGTCCTCCCCATAAAAAAAACACAATCTAGACCAAGCATAGAAATAAAGAGATTAGTCAAGAAAGCACTGTCAAGCGAATACTTACAACTTCTTCAAGACGAAGGCCTTTCCCGACCTAGTCATGTTTGTAGTAGCTCATGAAAAATTTTAGACAGACAAATAGTAACCAGGGAGCAGAAGTGAGAATAGGATGTGGATTCACACATCACATCCATGGGGCATTTATCCAAATTTGTATCAAAATAAAACTGCAAGGTTGTCTCGGGCACCACACCATGGGGCATAGAGCTGTTAGTATGTCTGTATTATAAATTTTCATGAAACACGTGTACTGTGAAATATGCAACTGATCATATCCTATTGTTGTTGCCGGCTTGGTGTCTTTCCTCCCCATGGATTCAAAGAAGGCTATTTTGGTATCTCGAATTTGGACTCAACCTGTCAGTGAGCATTGGTGCAACGCATATAAGGCACACAGGCTGTTGACGAGCCTACTTCTCACCTTCACCGCTTGACGCAGGTCAGGGTTGTGACGGTCTAGCGAAGAAAACGTAAGGGCATTAACAATACCAGGATCGCATTAGACGGTAGTTGTGGTATTTGCAGATGAGCATCGCCCTAGCTCATGGAATATGAGTCCAACGTTTTCAAGAAGTTTGGGGCTCCTCTTCCAGTTTATGTTTGCGTAGTCTTCATCTGTCAGGTCTTCACCGGCTGCCTTTAAAACACGCCGTGTTAAGGAATCCTTGAGAAAGTTTCAATTCCTGGCTGAGATCTTCTTCATCTACGTCAGACTGCTGGTGTCTCTTCGTCTGGACTGTGTCATAGGCAAGTGGATTCAGAACAAGGTCATTGGCAAAATCGTTCCTTTGAGTTTGAACCGAGTTATACCTTTGTCTTGTGCCTGTAGGGGTACCTTGTCTTGATAGCCATGAAACATGCGATCTCCTTCAATGTCACAAAGAGAGCCTGTATCTAGACCTCTTTTGTTCCCTGTACACATTCAAACACTGCAGCCTTGGAAGGATTGTCGAGAGGATGTCAGTTAGGACGTGTTCAGACAGATACACATACCGAGGGGGGACGTAAGGAAGTCTGTTTTTTTTATTTCTTGTTGATTGTCATGGCGAAGGCTTGATTTGGTAAATGTAGATGATTGGAGAAGAGCTGTAAACAATACTCGAAATCCAAAAAGTTAAAACTTGTCGCATCTTATTGTTTCGAGTTGTTCCAAATTCATCAGCCTTTTGTTTCGTTCTCTTTCATACACCTATAAATACGTCCTGCCTCCTTCTCTTTTCCCTCTCTCTCTCTCTCTCATTTTACAACGACATTGCTTTCGCGCTCTCACCCGTACTCTTACACCCTCATCCCCTCACAGATCATAACTTTTTGCTTTCTTAAAGGTAAACTATCTCTACTCTAACAACTTCAGCTTCAATCTTTAGCCGCTTAAACCAACGTTGCTTGCACTGTTTTACACTATACTTTCTCTAGATGGGTATTAAAGGACTCTATTCATACCTTTCAAGGAGGGACCTGCCACCAAAGGAGATTGATGTACATGAGCTTGCTGCTGAACCCCATTCATCTTTTGAGCTGGGTCTGCTTGGCACTTTCCACAGCGATATACATAATATCATCCTAAGGAGATTCAGCCGGCAGAGTTCTTTCACTGCCTGCGGCCATGCTATGGCTAGTATCATTCGAAAGATCTTTGGTCCTCTTGCCACAGTGACGATACACATTGATGGGCCTCGCTGCGAAGAAAAAACGCGTGCCTATAGGGACCGAGATGCTAAGCGTACAGCAGCGGATGCAAAACTCGATACGCTCATAGCCAACATGGAAACCAAGTCCAATGAAGGCAAATGGGAATCTCGAAGCCATATGATTGCCATTAAAAAGAATCTTCGACAGCTCTTCACATTCAGTCATAACGAGAAGAGGGAGCTCGCGGCGCCATTCGGTCGATACAATAACTTTGTGATTTGCCATTGTAGAAATGAGGCTGATGTGTGTATTGCCGCCAAATGTACACCAACCAGTATCGCTGTGTCTGGGGACTCTGACCTTCTCATCTATCCTTCTATAAAAAGAGTTCTTCGTCCAATCCCTCGTCGCCATCACATGTTTGCACTCTATGAGAAACAAGAGGTCCTGCAAGCCCTTGGGTTTTCAAGGAACAGTCAACTCCTGGTCTATGGCATTATATCCGATAACGATTACACCCCAAATATCCCAACCTTTGGTCTTGCTACAAATGCTGAGATTATCTCCGCGCTCACTGACACTGATGCCGAAAAGTTGACGGTATCATATGTTCGTGAGGTCCATGCCCGTAGCCGTCGAACTCCTGCAGAAGGCCAGTTTGACCATTCAATTAATGTTTTCTTTGGTGGGATCCAAACCCAGGCCTCGCAGCAACCAACCGCTGAAAGATTCCTTCATTACCATGATAGAATGAGGACTGCGATATCTGCTAGGTACCAGAATAAAAATAATCAACCTCAACCCAGGTAAGCTCCTTCAAATGAACATTTTCCAAAGCATATACAAAAAAAAAAAAAAAAAAAAAAAAAAAAAAAGTCATCTAACCCTTGACATTGTTGTTCCTAATTAGATTCTATATCCCTAAACGCGCAAAGCCGAATCGCTATCGGCCTTTTTTCCCTACCCAGAAAAAGGAACTTTCCCCTAAGAAATATGACCTGACCAACTGCAAACAACACGACCGTCCCGTCAGCTCCAGCCGTCAAAGAAAGTCCCCCAAAAAAAGGAAAAGGAAAAAAAAGAGGATGACAAAGAAGAGGAGGTTAAGGAGGAAAAGAAGAAAAAAAAGAAGAACAAAGGGAAGGCCAAGTATATCAGAAAGACTGATAAGACCAGGAAAGTGAAGGAGGCTACTGCCGAGGACCGACGGTTGAAGAGGGCCCACCCCACTGTTGCATTAACTCTGGGCACGTTAAAGACATGTGTAGTTGCCAAGCTGGACTCTACTTCCGATCCCAATCTCAATCCCGAGCAACTTGCTGCAACAATTCAAGGGCTCATTCAATCATTTATTAAAATGTTGAATGAGGCACGGATTTGAGCTTTCTGGGCCTGCGCCTTGTGGATCGATAACCTGCTTACCACTGGGCCATCCAATCCAGCTGATCTCCCACAACTCCTAGATGAAGTTCTTGATAGCAGGGACTTTATTTACGGCCTTGCTGCGTTGTTGTATCACGGAGTGATGAGTCCATTATCTAGGTATAGCAGGGAAGTGAAGAAAAAAGGCGAAGGGAACGTAGCCAAGCCGTCCCAGCTCAAAGCATACGAAAACTTCTATGCAAAGACAGGACTTGGTCCTTTAAACCAGATCTATCCCGATTTGGTGATCAGCAGGTCGTCTCGGATGGTCATGGTCCCTGTTCAAGCAGCGCTAAGGTCTCACTATCGGAATGCGCAGGTAAATATAATATTATAATATTTTGAGGTTATCTTATAATATGTTTATAGAAATGTTCCTAATCATTTCTTCAATATAATGTCTAGTTTGACATAGATATTCCAGGCGATGGAAGAAGTTCCATCCAATTCTTTTTTGAGCAAAATGCAACTGCCAAAAAATATCTGGATTTCCCTACGTCTGCTTTCTTGCCTCGGTCTCTCTGCTTAACGGAAGTCTGTCTCCTGGATATATTATGGTCTAATCCAACAGTTCGAGAGGAAATAGTCCAATTGTTGGAACTAAACATGAGTACCAAGGGGGCTGCGGAGGACAAGATCCTTAACTACAAGGGGATATTGTTGCAGGAGCTGTTTTCCTTGAAAGGATACAAGGACGTTGGACTGCAATCTGATGATGGCCCTAGAAGGAAACTACGGACATCGTTCTTTACAAACGGCCATGCCCTAACACTTCTTGCCTTTGACACATCGAAGCAAAAAAGAGGTAGAGGTTCGCAAGCTGCCCAACCTTCGGATACTCAAAGATCTCAAGCAGTCCAGGCTTCTTCAAGTGCTCAGCAGGGATCCTCGTCTTCAGGCCATGGTGCAGGTGATGGTGGTGATGATGGAGACGACGACGGAAATGAAGATGACGATATCTTGCTGGGTATCAGCGATATTGACTTGCTCGAAGTTGATGAACCATTCTTAGATGGCGAAGAGGGAGAAGAAGCAGCTGAAGAAGGTACATCGAGCACAAATCCACTGTTCCCGGTGAGTCCCAGTCCCCGGCGTGAGATCAACTGGAAGCAGAGATCCCGTCTCCTCGAGAATGTAGAAGTTAAATATGACACCCAGGCAGCATGCCCTCCCCCCGAAAGTACCATTATCATTGGGATCGATCCAGGCGAGAGGTACTCGATGACAATTGCAAAGTTGGATCCAAGGGAACCTAACGAACGTGAGATCCTCCGGATTTCTAGAGCGTACCTTTACAAACCATCCAAGAAGTTTCAGGGCGAGCTAGAGAGGCGAAAGCTTAGAAGAGGAATTACAGAGATTGAAAGCAATATTCCGTCATTCTCAAGGCCTACTTTAACACAGTATTCCGCTTATATGAGCTTGCGCTAAATCAAGCTCCATCAAGTACTGGAGGTAGTTTCTCTGGTAGTGGGGTTGGGGCCAGTAGAGCAGGGACCGGTAGTAGCAGTGGAGTTGAGGCCAGTAGTAGCAGTGGATCTGGGACCAGTGACGACAATAGGGAGACTATATATAGGGCGCTTGTCGATTTCTATAATGACGGGTGGTTTGTTCGGAATAGCTGGGATATTAGAAAAGCACAGAACGGATGCGTTGATTATGTGATCAAGGCAATTCTGAAGCTTGCGGGCGGAAGCAATGGAAGAAGAAGAGATGCCAATACGAATGCGGTGATCTGTATTGGACTAGGATCATTCAAGACAAACCGAGGACAAGTATCGAAGCATGGGATATTGATGAAGAAGCTTGTTGAAAAGGTAAAAAAAAAATCCCTTGATCAATGACATTCAATTTTTGAGTCTCTTTTTTAACGAGTATTAAATCTGGCTCGAACAGGCAAAATCTCTAGACTACCCCATTGTAGGTTGTCATGAATACTACACATCTGCCAAGTGTCCACGGCCTCACTGTGACAGTATATTGGAGAATGTTCCTTTTCGATCCAAGTACTGCCGAAATTGTAAAGCATACTTTGATCGAGATGCTGTTGGTGCTGAGAACATCGCAAGGGTCTGTGAGTCGCAGATAAGAGAGCAAAAACGACCTGCAAAATATATATATGCCGCCGGACGGAGGAACTCAAGGCCAAGCTTCTAGCGGTAGTGGCGGCGGTGGAGGTAGTGGTGGCAGTGGTGGCAGTGGTGGTGGTAGTAGCAGATCCACAAAAAGGAAATTTTCAGATGAAGGAGGAGGAGGAGTAGAGGGATCAAGACCACCGAAAGGGCCTTTGCTGGGTCCAGGAGGAGGGGGAGAGACAAGCCGACAACAACAGTAGGACACAATCTACTACAAACATGACTAGGTCCAGAAAGGCCTTCGTCTTAAAAAAATTGGTTTGATAGTACTTTTTTTTCTTGGTTAATTTATTTATTTATTTATTTATTTCTGTGTTCTAATACATTTCTTCTTTTTACAATAGATGGAATGTTTCGTGTATATCTTATCTTGCATGGGAATGGGGCTGTGCCTTGACCAGCGTGGCTTTTCTCTCTCTTTTTTTTTTTTGTGACTGGCTGAATTCCTCCACAATAACCACAATAACAACCGCAGTTGGATTTTGCCATCTCCTCGTCTACACTAACCTCGATCACCCATTTACTCCATTTTCCTTGGACTACTCCAAACTCAATTCGTCTTTCCTTCTTCTTATTTCCCATTTATATAAAGTATATATTTAACAATGCCAGAGGGTGTCTATGATCCCAAAAAGGTGTCCACCCGGAAGGGTAACAACAAGAAGAGTGCTCAAGCCCATAAGAACGCTTATGCTTTCCATGCCAATAAAGGTTCAAAGATCACCAAGAAGATTGCTGCTATGCCTGTGGGCGGTCTCTGTGAAAAATGCTATGAAGTTATCATGTGGCGAAAGAAGTTTAAGAAATATAAGCCTTTGACAACAATGAAGAAATGGTAAAGGAATTTTTTATTTTTACGTCTACATATCTACATCTCGATAGATCATATCGCAGGAGATGAGGAAAAAGAAGTATACATGGTTAATAAAAGGAATACCTGGAAATTGACGAATTTTTTTTTTTTTTTTTTTTTTTTTTTTTTTGGTTTAATAGTGTCAGTTGCGAACAAAAGGCTATCAAGGACGCATATCATGTCATGTGTAACAAGTGTGCAGGAGAGAAAAATGTTTGCGCAAAGTGCTTAGAATCTCGGGATATTGTTCCTACCAGCATCAAAACAGAGAAAGAGGTAATCCAAGAACAGGTGGAGCTCGAGAGATTATTGAGTGGCATGACAGAGCGTGAGCGGAGGAGTTATCTTCGCAAATTGGAGCATAAAAAGAAAGGAGGCGATGATAATGATATCGATGCTAAAGATACTGAAGAGGGTGATTCTGAAGATGAATCTGGATCAGAGGATGACAGTGATGAGGATGATGACGATGATGACGATGAAGAGAGTGAAGATGAGAAATAGGCTTTATTTTTAAGTTGCCGCACGAGCTGATTATGGATACTCCAATACCAATTTTATAGCATTCATTTACATTCACCTCCAACATCCTAAAAAAAAATGGAGAGCTTGTAAAGCATATGCATTGTACTTTAGTAGCAATCATCACATTTATAAAACAAATAAACAAGTAGAGTACGCTCATCTATCCACAACTGGGCTCTACAACGCTAGCAAGGACTTCCTGTAAGTCAGCTCCAGAACTGGACATAGTCTGGGCATCGTCCATCAATGCTGCATAGCTACCATCATCATACTGGAGTTTGGGCAATCGTGGATTCTCAGCTTTGATCTTGAGAATCTTCTCTTTCGCCTCCTTGGCGTTTTTCATTCTCTTGGGGATAAAGGTTGGACTTTCGCCTAACCGAAGTAATGGGTTCATCGCAAATGCGCCTCCTCTTCCACCATGTCTATCGCCCCCACTTATACTGGATGATTTCGCCTGATCAATTATATTCACTGGCTCGGGGACAGTATCGTCCTCTTCTTTGTCCACATGAGCTCCCGAATTTGCCTCGACAACCACGCGGCGATTGACGACGTCAATGGTCATGACCTTGGCGCGTTGATATCCACTTGCAGCTGCCGTTGCCTTTTCTAGATTTTCTTTTGCCTTCGCCGCTTGCCTTTGTCTTTCCTCTTCTGTTAACCACAAGTTTGGCCGATCGCCTGGGAGCACAAAGTCTGTTGCCTGATCAATAACATGGGATCGACGGGCACTTGTCCGATCGTACTCCAGCAATCTTTCCTTGTGAGCCTCCGCTAATGAAGCCTTCTTGGCTTCTTCCATTTCCTCATCTGATGTCATACCACTGCTGCTATGCATCCCATGATCCAAGTCTACCCATCCTCCTGCGGCTCCTGTGGAAGAAGTGAGGCCGCCTCCAACCTTACTAGCATAGCCTGCTGTGCTGATGACAGCCGCTTTGGCCTTCCGTTTAGAGGTCAGCATGGCTTTTTCTTTGGCAAGAGCTGCTTTTTCCCTTTTGAGCTCAAGAATCATGGCTTGTTGTTGTTCAATTGACACGACGGGACTGCCGCAGTAGGTACAAGGGCCTGGTCCTTCAAGAGCACATATGATTTTGCCGCAGTTTAAGCAATTTGGTGCAAACACGTTCAACTTGTGTTTCGTAGCTGAAAAAAAAAAAAAAAAAAAAAAAAAAAATTACTTTATTGCAATAAAAAAGAATCTTGATGATTTACATGAAAATGCAATCTCTTGTTTTATCTTACCTAAACAATAGCATGGCTTGCGTTCTTTGTTTGCATTAGCAGACTCTGTAGCGAGATCGATGGCGCGAATAGCCTTTTCAAGCTCTGTGAGAGGTTCTGCTGCGACCTTCTTGGCGAGTTTGCGAGCACGGTTGTTGGACATGATGAGATAAAGTTCCTTAATATATACTCCTATTACGATTGTTTATGAACTTTGTATATCGAGTAAAAGGGGGAATGATAAAGGGTTGGAAAGTCTCTTAGCAAAAAAAAAAAAAAAAAAAAAAAAAGGATTCGAATGCAAGTGCTTTTTTTGCTCCACATTCTCCAGTCAAGTCCAGTGGCTTTGTGGCGCAGTTTAATTAACGGCCCGATCAGTCTCGCTCACACATCAAGACCACAACGTCCCCTTCCATTAATGCTGACAACCTGCTTTTACCCTAATTTAATGGGGCTGTTGAAGCGCAGAGCGACCTCTGAGACCATTCTCGTTGATAAACACAAAAGAAAAACGCTTTTTTTTTTTTATTTTTCTTCTTTTAATACAATGTGAAATAATGTAATTCTGTTTTCTTTTCTACGAGGCAAGAGCTGAAGAATTCCAAGGAATGTGCAATGAGAATGCAGAATGGAATGAGAATGTTTTAAATTTGTGACTTCATGATCACTTTTTTAAGTGCCTTACTATTCAATTTGATAATAACGGTATTGAAGCGCCGGCCTTTGATGAGTGTTCAGATTTTAGCATTTCAGGACAACCATGGTACATGACTGGTACCGATGGAGTCTGATACTAAATTTGGAGAAATTTATCGCTGCAGATTTCGAACTCCAGGTATATTCCATGAAGAACAAATATGCGCTGATACTGGTACAGAAATTGACACTCGCAAATAAAAAATTGATCCACACAAATCCCATGTAAAGTGTTACTAAAATCGTTTTCCATGATACTAAAATTTGCCTCGTACAACAGTCTGCAGAAATTGCATGTAAAAGAAAGCTTGTCCTCTCTGTAATGCTAGCCTGAGCGCAGCATGCGGATTATACTCTTGACATACTTGACATAATGATGCTAATTCTTGTATACCTCGGCTGAAGCACTTTTAGTATTACGATGTTGTTCTCATCCCAGCATTGCAAAGATGCGCAATAAAATATTCAGCTTTATTTTAAGTAGGATTTGTATGGCCCAAAATGTTAGTATCATGAAAAACGATTTTAGTATTACTTTATGCAGGATTTGTGCGAGCCAGTTTTAGTGTAAGAATCAGCGCCCACCTAGTTACACATAAATAGGGTAGAAGAAATGAGATCGACTTCATATTTTATGTGAGGTTTCATGAAGAAACCCAAGTGACAGTTTTAAACCCCTTCTAGTCAATATATGCGGAAATAGTTTGCATGATTGAGCTCTACCCCAATGTATCTTTATGTGGGGCACGGTTTCAACAAAAAATCCTATATATACTTCCCCGACACTATACGTGAAGTAAAAAAAAATTAACAGATGATCTCTATCGACCTTGCTGTACTTGATCAAGGCTCTTCATAAAGTTGGTCATGGTCTCCACTTGTGCTCGGTTATCTTCTTTTGCAGAGGCCAGCTCCTCTTGAAGATGCTGATTCTTGGCCTTAAGTTGCTCTACTTCATTCTTGACCGTCTCTCGTTCTTGTACAGTCTCCATTAGCAATTCCTTCAGCAACTCGAACTCCCTATGCAATCTTACATATCGCCCGTCGGAGAGCTGAAGTTGCTCTATGATATTCTGAATCTTGGTCTCGTAATGTTTTTTGATCAGATACTCCCGGTTCATCTGGGATTGACTGATGTTGATATTAGCTGCCGCCGCTGCTGTAGATGGGATCACAGCATCAGTCGCAGTACCTTCGTCACCAATCATTGAGTTCCGCGATGACTTATTATCCATTAATTTACCAGTTTTGACGGTGGTAAATGTGCTGTCTTTACTATCTTTAGTTTTTTCAGTGTCGTTGGCTTCCTCTATTACTGAGGTGGCTTCCGTTCCTACGGCTACAGATGACTTCTGGATAACATCAACTTGCGTGCTCTCATCCACATGCTCTATAGCCTCTGATTGGACTGCTTTATCCAAAGCATCAGCCTTCTCAACTTGTGTAGATTCATCCTTGGCATCCACGACAATTTTTTTGAGATCTACTCCAGCTGTCCCTGTTGGTACAGGAGTGGAAGCTCGTTGCGGTGTCTGGCTCCCCCCTTCTTTTGTATCTAGGATGTTCTTCTGTTGCCGTACCCTCATTTGCGGCTGATCCTCAGATGCATGAGCCTCTTCTCTTCCTGCAGTTGACCCATTCACGCCATGGTGTTTTTGTTTCTTACTCTAATATATTTGGCCAATATAAAAAAGTTTGTAAAGAATTAACGTATAAATGAAAAAATTAAAATTAAAATAAAACTTAGCAAGATATTTGGTATAAAACTATTACCAGCTTGCTCTTCAGATCCTCAATCTCTTCCTGCAACTGCTTTGCCAAATCAACATGGAACTCTAATGAGCTCGATAAGGAAATCTTCTCATCCTTGATAGATTCCAATGCAGCTATAGACAAAGAACATGTGATTAGGGTCCTTTTTCTGTTATGCCAGATATATAAAAATAAAAAATAAAAGTTGATTCAATGATTTTTTTACCTTTTGCAGCATTTAGCTCTTCCTGTGTACTCACATTAGACTGTTGGGATTGCTCGATTTGCTTCTGAAGACTGTCGATCTCTATTCTTAACGAATCTTCCAATGCTTTTCGCATCTGATTCTCCTCTCTGTGGGTCTGCTCTTCTGATTCTGCCTTCGTCTTCAATGTATCCTTTTTTTCTATATCCTTAGTATCCTGTACAACTTTGTCCTTTTGTCCATCACTTTCGTCATGCTTTCCATCAATTTGCGAAGAACCTGTTTTTGATTCGGTTTCCGCAACTGCAGCGGCAGCAGCAGCAGCAGCAGCAGCTTTTCCTTTTTTCTTTTTTGCCTTCTTAGACAATGGAGGCTTTTCCTTCTCTGCAGCATCATCTTCCGGTATATGGCTCTCCTCATGTTCTGGTTTCGGTTTACTTTCCTCCCCTGCCTCTTGTTCCTGCTCTTTTTTCTTTTTTCCCTCTTTTTCAAGCATATTATTATCACTCTCCGATACTGTCGCTACTGGTTTTTCAGTATTATTTGACCTTGTCCCCTGCTCGTTCTTAAGAACCATTTGGGTCCCCTCTAATGCCCTCTTGGTATCTGATAACTCTGTTTCCAGCGTCCTCTTAAGTTGCTCAAGCTCCTCAATTCTCGCTTCTGCACCTGCCAAACTTGACTTCAAATTTGCAAGATCAGCTGAAAAACTAGCTTTGGTACGAGACTCATCCTCCTTAGCAGATTGCTCTGCAATCCTCAAATCTTCATACTGCTCTCGTATTTTCTTCTGTTCCTGATAAGCATTCTCCAGCTCAGACTGCAATTGCTCGATCTTGGCAACATGTCCTTTTTCACGATTCGCTGCCTCTGAACGAGTTATTTCTAGATCTCTTTTCAAATGCTGTGCCTGTTCCTGTACAGATCGTACATTTTGTTGCTCTTGTGCTAATGCCCTCCTAAGGCCTTCCTCCGCTTGCTTCAGTGCTGTATACTGACTTGAGAGTTGAGCATGAGCCTTCTCAATCTGAATTTTGTCCCGCTCTAAATTACTATACGATTCTTGGAGTTGTGAGAGTTCAGATGAAATCCATTTATGAGTTTCGAGCTCGTCTCGAAGTTTGGTGTGTTCTAGTTTTAATGATTCATATTCAAGTTCCACCTTGGAGAGTCGCTCGATCTCGTTTTCAAGTCGTTGAACGTTGCCTCTTAAAGATTGGTTTGCACGTTGCTCATCCTGAAGTTGGCCCGCAAGAGCATCACGAATTATGCCAAGTTCCTTCTCTGTCTCTTCCTTCTCTTTACGAATTAAATTGATTGTGTCTTCGTTGGCGACTCCTGCGCGCTCCACGTCAAGCTTTTTTTTTTTTTTTAAAAAAAAAAAAAAAAAAAAAAAAAAAAAAAAAGAAAAAGTTAAATACATGCTTTGTTGTTCTTTAAGATTATCCATCTACTGGACGTTGGATCAATTACCTGCAACTCTTGATTTTGTTTCTCTAGCTCCTGGATCTTGCCCTTGAGCTCTGTGACATGTCTAGGGTATAATGCATTAATATCATACAGCTGTTGATGTAGTTTCTCTATCAAAAAGTTATTTGAAAATAAATAAATAAAAACAAAGAGCTTGATATATGAGAGTCCGTTAAAGATATAGAGGTTTGTAGGATAACCTGATTTAAGCATAGCAACAGAGCATTGATGTACCATTTTCTTCAATCTTGGCCTCTAAATCGATCGTTAAGGCCTCCAGAGTTACTTGTGACTTTTCCAGCTCCTTCTTGATATTACCACCGCCCATCAACCATGATCCTCCTGATTTCTATCCGAAACAGTAGGCAAGGAAAGATTCGAATAACATTGCTTCTTTAATCCTTTATCGTAAAAATGACCGTCAGTTGACTCTAAAAAAAAAAAAAAAAAAAAAAAAACATACAGCTGAGGCTTGGCTCTGTAGACTTTCAATTCGTCTGGTTAGACGTTGGTTATGATAGGTGAGTAAATCCAGATCTTGAAGTGACTATAAAAAGAAAGAGAAAAGAAGGCTATATTGTATTAAAAACTTGTATTTACATGGGAAAGCATAAATGGTTCTCTTCATCTTCAAATAGAATGCTACTCGCATCTTACCTTCCTAACTTCTTGCTCCTTTTCTTTGAGTGAATTTTGAATGGCTGCATTCTTTGTTTGCTCCTTTTTTTTTTTTTTTTTTTTTATGGAAGTTGAGATATGATGTTGAGTACATTGATTTTGATGAAGTCCCGGTACCAGGACATAAAGCACCAAATAAAAAAAAAAAAGTACCTCTAAAACCGCTTTCTTTAAAACAGCATGCTGTGCTTTAATGCTGAATATAGAATTGGTAATTATTGATAACGAATAAAAAATATAATTAGCAAATATACCACAGCTAATAAGGTTATTGGAAAGGTCATCGTATGTCCTCGATTGTTTTCTTAAAGTTAGCTACCGAATGAATTCCTGGTGAAGCTTGCGATACTTCTCTGCAAGTTCTTCCGAGTCGTTCATGGCTCTGTCTCACGCTTTTGTCTTCTGAATGCAATTACAATGCGAAGTGAATGTCAAAAAGCGGTGGGAGCTATCCAGGAAATCTCAAATGAATTGCAATAAATGCGATAGAAACCCTAAACGTCATATTTCCGATCGCGTGTTGAGGGCGTACTGTAAATTTTTATGGGTTTGATTGTCTTTGATCTTATTTGTCTCTTTTTGGACCACATGAAAGACAAAATAGTCGTGTTCAAAACCACTCTTTCCCGCCACAATTGATTTTTTTTCTTTTTTTTCTTTTTTTTTTTTTTTTTTTTATTTTTTTTTTTTCGAATAAAAAAAAAAGCTGTTCGGACTCCATATGATACTGTATAAACACCTGAACACTACCACATGTCATTGACTACTCTACGTCCCTTAAACAATATTCCTAGCATACATCTGAACTTTTGCAAGGGATGTGCTAATGCTTCGACAAACATGTAACATTTAATGGCTGCATCACAGCCCTTGGATTGTGGAAGCGCTGAAAGTATGCGGAAAACGGGAACCATTTGTGTTTTTACTAGCAACAAGCGTGGTTTCAAAAAAGTGTGCCTCCAAGGAACAAATCCTATATCCTTCATTGCTCAAAAGAGACAATCTTGTCTTTTCTGCACCCCAAAAGCTCGCCACAATCCTATTGAAGCGTTCAGAGGCATTATTTGCCTCATAGTTTGAGGATTAGCAGACTTTCAGTCGTTTTATTGTTTTGAACAACACAGTAAATCTTGTCCATTCGAAGTTAGTCCCTTCGGATGGCAGCTATTCAGGGGATGCTAATCAATTCCGCTAAATTATGGTGAAATCAAAGCAGATTTGGAAAACCAACAAGCATCGAACAGTCGCCTTAACAAGCGAGTGACCTCTCTGTGGCGCGCACGGAGCATGGAGGGCGACTTTTCAAATTCTTTTATAGAGATGAAATCCAAAGTCGCCCCCAGTTAAATATTTTAGCCGTGATACATCTCAAAAATAAAGAACCGTGTTATTAAATTTCTATGACAAGCCTTTTTATAGGATTAAGAACTATATTATTACTGTAACTGTGACGAAAATTCTAAGATGGTTTCTCTTTGAGCTCGTTGAAGCTGACATGAAGAAGATCTTTGTACTTGCTGATTAATCCAGTGTGGTTTGGTGCACCAGGGGAACCACGCATGTAAACTATTTTAAATCCAGTTACTGGCTCTCCATCCTTTTTGACAACAAAATGTCCATCGTCAATTAAGGCGGAATGATTACCTCCAAATACTTCGTCCAAATATCTTTCAATCTGATTTTTGCCGTCGGGATCTCTCTTATCAAAAGCGTTCTGGATCTGCTTAGTTTGTGTCTTCTCGTGTTCGCAGAAATCACTTATGGACACCTGGATAAACATTGCGTCGAGTATGAAATCAAAGCGAGAATAACTCGAATGACAATGGCTCAGTACATGTCCATAGCCACGTCCAAGAGAAGTCATGTTTTGATGGATTGTCCCATGATCCTTAAAGTTCATTATAATCTCCGTTGGATTCTCGCCGACAAGGTTTGTTGCTCTGAGAACGATTGGCTTGGTTAAAGTCAAAAACTGGACCAACAGTGTCAACTTGAAATCATCACCTACCTCTCCAAGACTAACTTGCCTCAGAATATGCTCATGATGAGGTATGTTTGTAAACGCCTGAAAGAGTGCTTTCTGCGCTGGGAGGCACAAGACATAGTTTATGGCTCCGCGGTTCTTGTTGAGACGATAGATAAGCTCTAGGTCACGGAAATCCCATTCAAAATCACCACTCTGCGAGTTGTTGCCAAGGAAGACTGTTGCAAGGCTTTTAGCGAACATCTTCTTCGAGACCTCGCTGAGAGCTTTGTAGTAATTCCAAACTACATGGCGAAGCTTGTTTGTTCTCCAAGCTACATACTCATCAATGCTATCTCTTGTGAGTGGTGTTTCCTCCTCAATTGACCGGATGAGAGACATAAACTCTCGTGGCACACGGTTTGTAATCCTCATTATATCCTGGACAATATCGGGTTGGTTCAGGTGGACCTCCAACCATTTTGAAAACACTGTCTCGGATAGTGGGCCAACAAAGTACAATAAGGTAACTCGAGCGCTGTCTTCCATAATCTGCAATTCATATTCGGCATGGGCTGTTCCTGTAAATATCACTCTAGATCCTTTGGATTTAGCTTCCCATCGAGTGAGGTCCTTTAGATGGTGCAAGAACAGGTATCTATCCGGCACGTACGGTTTTTCTTGGAATAACTTTCCATGTTCGTCGATAATGAACAGTGTTTTGCGCTCCTTCTGTTTGAATAGGTCGAATACTGCGCGAGCAGCCACAATTGAGCAATCTATAACTTCAGAAAAGTCGAGGAGACTTTCCAGATCAGATGCCGTCAAGATATCCCTGTTGAAAGCGAAGAAGCGCCTTAACAGTGCCTTTGCCGATTTTTCCTCCGTACCTTGATCTAATATCGCGGCATCTGGTATATAAAGGGTAAGCCACCCTTCCGCATATCCTTTTGCAGCAAGGAAATAGGATAGATATGACTTGCCAACCCCCATAGGGCCAGAAAGGACTCGCCGAAATGAAAACCTTTGTTCAGCACTAATCTCCTTCCACAATTCCAGCATCTGATCCGTAATCATAAATTCCGAATTGTATTCCTTAAATTCTTTCGGTGTGAGGCCCAAGGATGGAATGTCAACTTGATCACCAGGCTGATTATCGCTTTTCAGATGATTAAACTTATTACGTGGATCGGGTGGGCGTTTAGGATTCTCCAGCATTGCGATCCAAAGGGGTGGTAACGTGACCATTTTGCCATCAGAAGCCCTGTATTCTCTCCACCCTTTCTCAATGCGCATCTTCTTTGAAGGTGGAATATACTGTGGATCTAATTATGATCATCGTACACATAGACAGTTGGTTAGTACCATAACATATAGTCAGTCACCAAGTCAATCTATTTATACAGCAAAAAACAAATTATTACCTTCATCAATTTTTCTCTTGAGAATCTGTTCCGATGACTCTAGAAAGATAAGAGAGCGCGGCAATGGCAGAAATGTTAGTATTTTGATCAGATCAAAGAATATATTGCTGTCAATGAGATATAAACGCCAGCTAATGGTGTGCGAAACGCGAAACAGATTCAATCAGAAAAACTAACAAATGCATCAATGTAAACAGGTCAAATAAAAATAAAAATAAAAATGAAAACTGTGTTCTCAGACAACAGTGAGAGTCAGAGCATGCGCATGGACCATGGGGGCGACTTTTCAAATTCTTTTATAGAGATGAAATCCAAAGTCGCCCCCAGTTAAATAGTGTTGCCGAGATTCATCTCAACAACATAAAAAAGGGAGAGATACACGTGACCGTGATGAGATAGCTTCATCAATTGAAATATCATCAGTCCATCAAGAGCTAATACATACCTCGCTGCGGTGGCTTGACAAAAACATGGATCGTTTTCCTTGGAAGTTCAGAAGTAAATATCTCCCAAAGCTCCATTGACGCGGATACGAGAGTCTCTTTCGACACAATTTCTGACTCAACAACAGTCTTGTCTTCGTCAGGAATGGAGACTTTGTAGAGAGTTAGCTTATCTGCGGCAACATGATCAAGTTCTGGCTTCTTCGCTACCTTGATGGCTTGCTTGAGTTCACCGACCGATTTATCGCAGAAAATCTCTACTGGGAACGACGTTGCTTCTCCCTCAACAACGCAGTTCAGCTGCAGCAGCAGTGGGATGGCGCGCTTTTTTCGTTGTGGGTGTTGGTTTTCTCTTTTTCGTTTATTGAGTGTGGAGGCATCCTCAGGCTTATTTGCAGCCATGTTTTTTTGTGCTTGGCTCTCTGTGGAATCATTTGCAGCCATGTTTTTTTGTGTTGAGCTCCTTGTGGTGGCCATTGAAAATTAAGATGAGTGGGACTGAGTGTGGTTGAAATGCAGGGAGAATGATGGCTAAATAGGCAAAAGTATATTCTTACTCTTTCACCCGTGGTCACGGTATGGAAACAATAATGAAAAATGTGTAAGGCAAAAAAAAAAGAAGGAAAGGAAAAGAAAGGCAATAAATGAAGGCTTGGAATGAATAAAAGAGGTAAGTGGTGAAATATGAAAAAGGTGGCGAAAATGAAGTGGAGCAAAGGAAAGAAAGGAGCAACTGATAAATTTGTTCCTTTATTTCAAGGTTAGGCTTTGCGTGAGAAAATATTTTTTTCAAATCAGCCACGTGCCATTTTCTGGGTCATTGTGACGTGACAATCTTTAGTGCGCAAAGAACTCATTTCTCAGTCTCGTCACCAGCCTGAGGTCTCTTTGAAAAAGTTTCTAAGTCAAACACACCGCTAGGAAAGGCTCTTTTTTTTTCTTAGTCATTTACACCATAGGGAATAGCTTTTTTTTATTTCTTTTAATTTTTCTATATTTTTTTAAAGGTGAGAATGATGAGAGGTAAATTTCGTAGTGATAATCGGATGAATAAATGAGATTGTGAAGAAAAACAGTAGCATGCTTCACACGTAGGCCATTTTCCTCTGATCTGTAGGACTTTGCTTGAAAAAAAAGGATTTTAAAAAAAAAAAAAAAAAAGCTGTCCCCTGTGGTGAAAATGACAGAAAAAAAAGAGCGGTGTGTTTGACTTAGAAACTTTTTCAATTTTAAAAAAGAGACCTCCAGCCAAAATGTCAAGTTTGGTCCCAGCCTGAGAGAGAAGTGTCTGCAAGAGCAAGCCAGATTTGCCTTTCAGTACGTGCATGTGCACATGAACTTCGTCACCAGAGGTCGAAGCCACTTGCAGCGAATGAACGTGCTGCAAGGCAAATTGTCCGCTCTTAGTGACGAGCCTATCGTCAAATGGCAATTCATTTGAGAGAGGATTCCTATTCCGCCACTCATAGAAACAACTTGCCACTTGCTTGAGAAAATTCTGATGATGCAGCTGCGGCAATCCGCTTGGTGTGCTCACTTCTCCTTGCTCAGGTTTATTGAATAGCGATATTTTAATTTATCTATTAGTGCTATATTACAAAATTGTGTCTGTGCCATTGTCATAAACAATGGCGAGTAAAAAGAAGTAAAAGAAGCGATCGCTACTTTTTCCTTGGTCCCTTATCCCTGCTTGGCCTATTGGACTTGTCGTCCTCCGCTTGAGTCGACTCACTTTTTCTTTTATTTGATCCGCTGGGTTTGCGCAGTTCTTCCCTATTTTCATCTGCAAATACCACAACTACCGTCTAATGCGATCCTGGTATTGTTAATGCCCTTACGTTTTCTTCGCTAGACCGTCACAACCCTGACCTGCGTCAAGCGGTGAAGGTGAGAAGTAGGCTCGTCAACAGCCTGTGTGCCTTATATGCGTTGCACCAATGCTCACTGACAGGTTGAGTCCAAATTCGAGATACCAAAATAGCCTTCTTTGAATCCATGGGGAGGAAAGACACCAAGCCGGCAACAACAATAGGATATGATCAGTTGCATATTTCACAGTACACGTGTTTCATGAAAATTTATAATACAGACATACTAACAGCTCTATGCCCCATGGTGTGGTGCCCGAGACAACCTTGCAGTTTTATTTTGATACAAATTTGGATAAATGCCCCATGGATGTGATGTGTGAATCCACATCCTATTCTCACTTCTGCTCCCTGGTTACTATTTGTCTGTCTAAAATTTTTCATGAGCTACTACAAACATGACTAGGTCGGGAAAGGCCTTCGTCTTGAAGAAGTTGTAAGTATTCGCTTGACAGTGCTTTCTTGACTAATCTCTTTATTTCTATGCTTGGTCTAGATTGTGTTTTTTTTATGGGGAGGACTATTTAGACAACATATAGACCCCACATATCTTAATCCTAATAAATTGGCTTGGTGGCATTGTTGTAAAAAATATCTTTGCTTAAGGGATAGAAAGATAGACACAATCAGGAAAAGGCAGGACAAAGAGTGTCAACAAGATTGACAAGAGAAAATAGAGTCAAATAACCTTGACTACAAACAGCGCCATAGAATGTCAAAAGAAAAGATGGGAGCTTTATAGGTGAGCTCACAAACTGAGTTACCGGAAGACAAATGCTTGTTGTGAAAAGGGGAAAAAGATAAATGGCAAGATGAACTGCGGGTGAAGAATAAGACATGTGGGGAAAACTGAAGACTTTATTAAGAAGGAAGTTTCTTTGGCTTTTATACTCGGTAGTTTCTAGGTGAGGCGGACCCGCCTATGACTACAGAGGCTTTGCGCAAAGATTCCTTTAAGCTGGTTCGACAGATTAGTGGATACAAAATAAACTGAAATTAATTTTAATGACCAGTCACACCACTTGCAATAACAAGCGAGTCAATTGGCTGCCAATACATTTAAGAGTATTCAAAAAATATAAGGGATCGCGACCAAATGGAACGGGCTATACTTTCTGGAGATAGCCTCGGTCTCTTGTGGCCAAGGATAATGAGTGGAAAATGTAGGATTACTAGATACATCCAAGGCAGTCAATTACTATAATTGTTGGGTGACTGGCCTTTTCCGGTAATTTCTCTCACTTACAAATATCATGAGATCTATTCAACCCGAAGTGGCCTAGACTTAGAAACTATAGCATCCGGCAATGTTTATGATATAGCTTAAATGAGTCAACATTAATAAACTTGTGTGACAACAACATTGACAAATATAAGAATAAGTGTAATTTCTAGTAAAAGTAGACACTACGGTTAGAGAGCCAGCAGTAATAGTAGTGATAATGGTGATGGTGGGTAAGCATGCTGGCAAGATCATTGATTGACAGCGCACTGAGAGTCACGATTACAGAGGGTGTTTTTATATGAGGACTTGGAAACTAGTCGCGCCACAAACCTGGAATTTAATGAAACGGTCACTTTTGTTTATTAAATTAAAAAATTAAAAAAAGATCTTTTCTCATTGAATTAAAAAAACATCAAACAGCAACCATGGTGCTAATTGAAGAAATATTTGAAAAAGCTTGCGAAGAGACTAATCTCTTGAATCCCGATGGTCCCACTTCAACCCCATTAGGCAAGCAAGGGAGCCTCAAACCTTTTATGAACCTTTCTCGTGAGCAGTGTCAAATTCTGCTTGCCCTCTATCATGTGGTCGATCCGTCGATCGAGGCGAAGGTTCCCATTCTTTTCCCAGAGATGGCTCGCAAGTTTATAGAGGATCGCAAAGAACGCAACTCTAACCTTTCTAAACTCAAACGAGGACCTGAAGTTTTCACACAGGAGGTTCTCAATCTGCAGGAAATTCAAAAAGCGGTCTCAGCAGCCTATATTGCAAATGATATGGATCTTGGAAAGGCACAAAAATATCTCAACATGAAGCCTCGTGAGACGCCTATGGATCAATTGACTGTTCAGGAAGTGTTGACTCAGGGCTTACTCTTGGCCGGCTTCCGTGATAATGGTGTTAACGGAGGCGAAGCACCAAAGTCACCACTGGCTGCGCCCAACTTTAGAGAAGCCAAGGCCTACTACGACTATGCGTTCGATAAATTCAATTTTTCGTTGGCTGCTGTTCAGTTGGGATCGTTTTATTTCCACGAGCATAAGGAATGTCAGGGTCGACACTGTTTGGAGGGCGAAGATCCAGAACAGATTTCATTTGATTACTACCTCAAAGCTGCTGAGGTCGGTAATCCCATGGCTATGCATAAAGTGGGATGGTACTATGACCAGAAAGGTCAATGGCACAAGGCTATCGAGTGGTATAACAAGACTGCTGATGATGGTAAGTGGGTATTAGCTGCTATTAACAAAAACTGAACCCGTGTATAATTTATAAAGATAGGATGTTGAGTTTTTTTTTTTTTTTTTTTTTTTTTTTTTTTTGACGACTCATTTGGATCTTGATAGGTTATCCGGATTCGGCGCACAACCTGGGTATGATCTATCAGGAGGGCAACGCTAATGTGACTCCTAAGCTAGAGGTTGATTTGGACAAGGCGATTGAATACTACACTCGTGGATTGCAGTATGGCTATGGCCCATCTGGAACACAACTAGGACGATTGTTCTTCCAGTTAGCAACTGATAGGGAGTTCCGTCAAAAGTTGCCCTCGAGCAGTCAGTACCATAGTTCCGAGCCTCAGGAATATTTCCAGACAGCGATTTCATATTTCAACCAGGCGAACCATTTACTTGAGGTTGAGTCGCTTCAATTCTTGGGAATGATTTATGGCAGCAAGGACTTTGGTCTGTACAACATTGATAGTGCACAGAATTTGTTTGAATTGGCCTTTATGGCCTCGAATGGAAGTCAACGGTCGTTTGAACTCTTATGCAAGGTTCTCAGTGCCAAGAGAACAATAATTTCTGGTAGAGTTGGAGAGCCTCAGAAAGTGGATTCAGAAGGACTGAAGACTTGTGCAGCCAAGGATTGTGAAAACAAAGAGACTAAGAAGGATCAATTTCAGCGATGTGGAGGATGCAAAAAGAAATATTATTGCTCGCGCTTGTGTCAGATTGAGGACTGGAAAGCACGCCATAAAAAGCAATGCAAGAAATGAAAAACCTTATATTTTAGAGTCACCCCACCCCTCCTGAAAAAAAAAAAAAAAAAAAAAAAAACTATTCATATAGGACAGTCATCATGACAAGCATTATAGCAATATACAATAAAACTAAGAGCCTATGAAGGTTTTATGTTGGCTGCTGATAACTGGAAGCAACGTAGTTTCCAAGTGAGTCATTTGCTAGGTTAGTTTTCTAATCGGCCACAACAATGTCTTAGCCACAACAACGAGATCACAAACTTCCAGCAACAATGCGGGGAATCCTCCTGCTCTTCTCTTCCTTTTTTTTTATTTTTCCAGCGTTCACCCCTGGTTTTGATATATTTATACCAGGCATGTTACCATGTTCACGCTTTGTACAACAACTTGGAATACGAATGCACATTTGTGCTCTCCTGCAGGAAATGTAAATATTCGAGAGCCAAGTGGCGGCGGAAACAAACTGAAACAACGCATGTGTACACGTCAACACCAAGCTTGGTAAAAAAAAAACTTGTTTTCTCATCTTCCACTTTTTTATTTTCTTATCTCTTTATCTTCTTTCCGCTTTCTTGGATTATTCAAGGGTCGCTTATCATCAAGCGAACAAGTTCATCAGTATTACCAACAAGAACATCAGCAATCATATCGACAATAACGAAAACATAACTATGTCTGGAGTAAGCGATCCAAATAGACAAAACATGAGTGAGTTTGTTCAAGTCAATCGTAAGGTCTTTTACGCCGCAGCGGATAGAAACAAGGATGTAATCCTGGAACAGCTAAAGCCCATCCTGGATAAATCACGCCTTGGTAATAACAATATGCATATTAAGGTGACAGTTCACTATCACCGAAAAAAAAAAAAAAAAAAAAAAAGGGCTATAATTTTCTCACTTTCGTTTTTTTCTTTTCCTTCCTTTTGTCAACTATAGTTCTTGAAGTTGGGTCTGGTTCAGGACAGCATATCTATCGCTTCTCAAAAGACTATCCAAATGTTGTGTTTCAACCAACAGAGTATGATTCGAATCTCCTTACCAGCATTGATGCCTATGCAGATGAACTCAACAAGGAAGGGTATCACATCAATCCAGCATTGGAGCTTGATGCAACTAACTCAGAGCACTGGGAGCGAGTTCAAAAAGTTGGTCTTCAATCACAGGACCAACAGCATCAGCAAAAGCAAGTGAACTCCGCAGCAACGCCAACGATTCACGGTGTTTACGATCTATTGATCACAACAAATGTTTTCCATATCTCACCATGGATTGTCGGCCAGTCTATTGTGCGTGGAGCAGGGAAAGTGCTTAGGAATGGTGGAAGATTGGCTATCTACGGTCCATTCAAGAAGGACGGTAAATTCAATACCGAAAGTAACCGTCAGGTGTGTTTTATGATTGAACAGGTTGACACTTCACATCACACATGACAAATCTGTTCACTATGTTACTGTCTTTTTTGCTGACGACACTCCTTTGTTTTTTTTTTGAAAAAAAAAAAAAAAAAAAAAAAAAAAGTTTGATGAAACTCTGCGGGGCCGTAACCCATCTTGGGGCGTACGAGACATTGAGGAGATCGAGGCCGTAGCAAAGAATGAAGCAGACTTGAAACTAGACCGAATTATAGATATGCCATCCAACAATTACATGTTGTTATTTTCCAAAGTCGCGAACTGAGGAATTTGGAAGGCTTAGTAGGTGTTACGTAGGCAGAGCCAAGTGACTTTGACGCGTGTGTGAGGAAGAGAAAGGGCAGTCTAATTCGAGTAATTTGTCCTGTCCTCTTGCAAACAACAATATTCTCAAGTTAAAGATAGTTTATATTATATAAAACGGAAAAAAAAAAAAAAAAAAAGGTTTTGATTGGTAATGTTGGTTTGGGGTGTTTACGAATAGTATCAAATACGAAGGAGAAGAGGCAGCACAAGTGTAACAGCCTCAATTGAAACGGCAAATACTGAGAACAAGGAAAAGACACACTCCTCAAATGCTTCATGGATGGAATATATTGAAACCTTTCATGGTTTCATATTTTGTTTACACGGACAAAAAAAAAGCTTTTACGGTATATATAATAATTCAGATTTGGGTATTGATGTAAAAAGATCAGGATTCAGTTCCCCTTCACAGGAAAGTGCATTCTATTTGGTTGGAGGAAGGTCATGAGACAAAACTCGCAGAATAATTGCATGAACCCAGCAACCTTTAGCGTGATCTAGGCTCTTAAACAAAGTTAGATAGTGTGGACCATTTTCGGCTATGAGGAAAATGGATAAGGGAATGACAACATTCCCGACCTTGCAGATCCTTCAGTTCAAAAAAAAAAAAAACAGAAAGTCAAACGGATTCAATCAATCCTCCATTGCATGGAGGCAGAACTATTGCCCGTTGTTATTAGTCATCTTCCCACATGCAAAAGAAGTCTCACTCCCCTTAGATAGACCGGGCTTAGCAAATGAGCAAGTAGAGTTGTGTCTATTTGGCTAGAAAATTGTCTTGTCAAAAAAGCGTTCAGAGGAACACTCAGGTAGTTGTTGGATATTGGCCGTTGGCGAATGAAGGATGAGAGAAGAGTTATGCAGCCTGAACTCGGATAATTATTCCTATTTTGCATCTGATGTTTCTCTGCTGTGCTAAAATCCATGACCTGATAAACAAATGTCATTTTGTACTGCCTACAGGTCCTATCCTCCAACTCGTTGGTCAGTGATTCATATATTTTCTATTCAAAAAACGATGATTGAATTGATTTGGTGGCTGATTTTGACATTTCACCCTCTGTGACGAACTGGTGCCAAGGAATATAATTGGCTCCCAATTCAATCAAGATTATTCAAAAAATATATGAATCACTGACCAAATGGGACGGAGTATACTATATAAACGTGTATACATACTGTGTATATTTATTTCCATTTTGATTTAAAATAACAACTTTAGAGTTCCTATTAAGTTGAGATCCCGAATAGCTCGATCGACGCTTAAATTATCATAAAAATTAAAAAGAGCGATGAAGACGAGCAAGATGTTTCATCTCCGATCTGGCTACCCCTACAAAAGCTTGATAGAGAGAAGTGATGTCCTTGCTTTTTAGTGTATCTCCACCTTTTTTTTTTTTTTTTCTAATTCCTACGCTCTTCAGGTTCATTGTTCCTTGCTTTCCTTATCTTTTACAAAAGAGGCTTTTTAAGAAATGGGTAATCTGTAGTCCACTGTGCTGAGAGGAGTTTGTGTCTGCATGGGCTGATGTGTTCGGCCCCAGCGTTTGACACCTGAGTCTACGTGGGTGCCTGATATCAATTAAGTATATCAGGCTATACCATACTGTCAATTAAATTTATGCTGTCCTAGAATGTTCACATGTATAAACTAACTAAACTAACTAATCTTTGACTATGAGACCAATCTTGTATCTGGATAAGATTTTTTTTTTTCCTGCAATGTGGCTGAAATACGAGAGCAAGAGAATCTACTGGTTCCTCAGCAGATAATTGGTCTGTGCTTGCATGTCTCCATTGGAAAATCAACTTGGCTTCTTAGCGTGGATTTCCTAACCAATAATTCAATGTTTTTTTGCATTCATTATCCATCCCTTTTCCAACAGGAAAATGAAAAAGAAAAATGAAACCACAGAGAAGGACGATGAGGTTGTTTTAGCAATTTTACTAATATTCCAAGCCTCATTGTATTTTCTTTTTCTCCATCTATTCACGCCATAGCGGAGAATGACAAACCCAAAATATTAATAATAAAGAAATAAAACATTCCATTTGTAGAAGCCAAGCAGTTTTTTTTAATCGTAAAAGAGTTGGAGATAACGGAGTCTTTGGCGTCCATGATAGAGCAAAAAAAAAAAAAAAAAAAAAAAAAAAAAAAGCTCTGAGGTGATACCTCATTCTATTCAAATTCTTATGCTTCCAATACAAAGACCAAATTGATAGAGCAGAAGATGGATAGTGCCGTTTAGACAAAAAGAGTGCTCGTATGGTATCATGGAGCGTTATAGAAGACAAAGACGATAAGGAGATCAACAGATGATGGTAGTAAGAGAAAGAGGACCAGGTGGAGTATAAAAATAGTCCACATCTGCGAGAACCGCACAGTAAAGGACAAGACTCAGAGGAGTGGCAAAGGATGTGAGAGTGAGATAGGGAATCTTCGTTCTTTTTCCAGTCTAGAGATAAGCAGGCTGACAAGGTCAAGAAGTTCTATTCAATTGAATGCATTTTTAATCTTTCATATTTATTCAAGCTTCTTCCATTCCTTCAACTCGTTTTCAGCTTGAAGAAAATAAAAGCGGCTTTTTTTCCCCTTCTTCGCCCTTTTATTGTGCCTTTTTCATTCCTCTGCGTCTCTCTATTCTTTACATATTCACCCATCTTATATTCCGAAAAAGTCGGCTTTTCATCCTCTTTCTGCTCTCTCTCTTAATCTCTCCATCCTTGTAACGCACCACCACGCACACTTGTTCTTTACTGTCCACGCACACGTTTATTTTCTTCCTTTCAAAAAAAAAAAAAAAAAAAAAAAAAAAGCTTCAGGTAGGGCTTTAATTCCTCTACACATTCTCTCAACCTTTCCACCTTCACATAGTTATTGTAGTCATCTTATTTTGTGCCTAGCATTAATACAGGATTAGTATCAAATGGTAGATTAGTTGCATTCCTTTCCCAGCGATACGTCTACAGTCTGCATGTATCTGTCCCGTCCAGCAGTCGTATTTTTATCATGGGAATAGGTGTCTTTTTTTGTTACTTTTGGTGTTCCCGCAAACTTTCTCTCCCTTTTTTTTTGTGCACCTCTCTTTTGCTCTGGCTGGCATGCCAACGTCCAAAGTTCATTGGCTTCTACTCCCAAGGCAGTTATGATCCTGTACCATATTCTCTCTTTTTCTGCCAATTTGGCTAGTAATGATCTGTGAGATTTGTTTGTATTCATCTATCACGATTATCCTTAAGGCAAGCCTTTTTTGGCTTGCCTGTGAAGGCCATTGACAAGGAGAAATATTAGTTTGTTTTGTTTGTTTATTTGGCTTTTTGTGTTGTAAAATGAAAAAAGCTTCGCAACAAAAACAAACAAGCGCCTGCAAAAAGGATTTTGATCATAGTGTTATCATTTTTTTCAGTCTTAAAAGACTATACTTTTTGTGGCCTCGGCCACTGTGCATAGACATCGGGGTGATCGCCACAGATGAAAGTCTGTGTCCCGTGCATATCCTATGCATGCACAATCGACAGCTTGCTCATCCCGTTCTCACTTGGAACTTCTTTTTACTTTCTTTCTATTTATCTCATGCATATCATGCAAACCACTATCCCCCTTTTTTTTTCTTCAACAGCTTTGTTTGTTGCCCGTTTTCTGTTCATTCCAAATGGTCTGGATAGATTCCCAACAACTTTGCCTGCTTATTTGTGTGTATTATCGCCTTCTTTTATGTCCACATCCTCATCTTTTCCCCCACAACTTTCCCTGGATCAGGCAAGCCGTGCGCAAAGGAGGAACTTGGTCAGACAATTATCATTTTGGGCTTTGACAGAAAGTTGATTTCTCCCCCTACTTCTGCACAATTCGCAGTCTAGTAGTTTACGCGTTTGCTAGTTTGCTCCATGAGTTTTATTTTTTCCTGAATTATTGTGTGCATTGGATGAACTTGTTTATAATCAAACAATGACTTGATGAACGGACCTCTCCTCTGGTCATGGGATTGTGGGATGTGTCTATCTTTTGTACGCATAAATATGTCTTTGACCATCCATTTGTCAAGATGGCAAAGAGAAAACCACTTCAACCTTTCCCAGTCCATGGCACGAAGAACTGACGTCTCGTTTGTTTTAATTGTTATTTTTATTTTTATAGAACAATCCTAATAGGCAGCCTAATTGGATCACAGCAGTCTAGTCTTAAAAGTCAAGAAACTACACAGAACATTTTCAGGTAGGAAACAAACGCACTATTTCAAATTTGAAATATTTAATTGCCAAACACGCGGAGGGGGGGAATCAAAAATAATTGGGGAACTGTATGGGTAAAAGGATGATACATGTGTATTTCCATTTACTTTTTTTCAATGTCACCTCATCCCTCTTTCGTAAAAGAATAAGGAATGATGTGTGCTTACTTTTGTCTTATGTAAGACCCATTCCATGGACTCGTATCAGAATCGTTTTTCTAACCATTTCTCTTTCTCTCTCTCCCAACCTAATCTGTCTTTCTATTTGCCTGTATTTTTTGCTTTTGCTTTTGCTTTTTCCCGTTTTCTTATCTCTTGCTCGACATATTCAACTGCGGTCCATGCCCTATCATAATTTTTTTTTTTTTGCCGCCGAACTTTTTTTGACCTCCGTCCCCCCTGTATTCGCTGGTATTTTTTTTCTTTATCTCTATCATTCACCCTGCATTTTTTTTATCTCCTATTGTCTGCCTTTATCATATCTTTTGTTCTCTGTTTCTCCTTTTTAAAACCGTGGTCTTTTCTTTTTAAACCTGTCCTCTCTCTTTTTTTTTTCTTCTTTCTTCTTTTCCTCATTCCTATTTTGTCTATCTTGACACATATACCCTTAGTTTCTCATATCTTGTACTTTTACTATTCTTACTCTTGTTCTCATTCCTTCCATCCCTTCTCGCTCCTCTTTTTCTCTATCTTTCTCATTCCTTTACCTCTTTTTCTCTTTCTCTTTCTCTTTCTCTCCTCATATCTTACATCCTGTATTCTTCGGCATACAACCAGGCCCTTTTTTTTATTGATTGCTTCATCCATCCATCAGTAAACAAGCTCAACGAGAGCATATCCTCCCTCGTTACCATATCTTTCTTTTCCTTTGCTTTTCGTACCAAATGTCTCTCTCATCCTCTCCTACACAACCCATCGTCCTTGCCAGCCCCGACCGGGTTGTTTTCAGGACCTTGCCTCATCCTCTCGCTGCCACCAACAAGAGAGTGACCCTCTCTTTGAGACGAACAACCTCTGTACCTTCTGGTCAGCGCCTCTTTACTTATGCTTCTGAAGACAGCCTTGCAGTGTCTGAGCCTGGATCAGCACCACTCAATGCTCAAAGCCCAAATATACCTCGACTTGATTCAACTTCGTTCCAGTCTTCTAATGCTATCAGAGATTCCAATACCTCTCCAACTACCCCTGTCCCCTCTCCCGCCACTATCATCACTAAGAATAGCGATGACCATCCAGCACCAAAAATCAGCACCACCCCCCCTACCCCAACCTCTCCCACTCACAAGCAGGCTGTTCCTTTGCTTAAAAGCGGACTTCCCATCAAGTCTGCTTTGAAGAGTTCTGTCGTGGCAGATTCAAACAACAATAGTTTAGCGAGACCCTCGCCTATTCGCTTCCATTCCACACCTAATATGTCTAGTCCAAAGTTCGTGCATTTTAACACCCAGCTCGAACATGTTCGTCTGTTCTTGCAAGGCGAAACACCCTCCTGCATTGCTGACCGCGAGACTATCATTGATGCTGGTCAAGAGGAACAGTCTACCAGCGATATTAAGCTTACCTTGACTAACTGGAGTCCTGTTGCTAAGGGTGCCTTCAAACCTGGCAATATTGATGCTGGTGCCACTCCTCTATGTGTTGAAAATGTGGAGCTCTCTGAGGACCAATCAGAACTCGTTGGCACCATCCTAATTCAAAACATTGCTTTCCACAAGCATGTTTCTGTACGTTACACGGCTGACTTTTGGCAGACTCAATCAGAAGTCAATGCAGAATACAAGGAGTCCATTCCTGGTGTAGCTGTTGACCGGTTTACATTCAAAATTGCCCTGGCTATGGAGAAATCCATAGTGGAGAAGACCTTCTGCTTTGCAGTACGGTACCAAGTAATTGGTCGGGAATTTTGGGACAGTAACAATGGAATGAACTATCAAGTTGAATGCAAGCGCGTCGTCGTGACCGCACCCAAGCCCACATCATCTGATCTCTCCAAGCAGATGAATAGCATCCTCCTGGCTTCACAAATCTCTGATTATAACAAGCCGGTTCTCAAGAAAAAGACAAATAACCGCTACGATTTGTCTACTTCGCTCTCTGCGGCCTATAGCCAGCCTATTAGCATTCCCTCGCGTTATACCTCCTCTAAAATGGATATTCCCAACGTCAGCCAAACTGCCTATCGACCGAGCGAATACATCGCTCCAATCCAGTCACCTCCCGGATATCAGCATTCACTTTATGCATCTTCGCCAAAGTTCGTGAACCCTTATTTGGCGGCTGCTTCTCCTCCAGAGCATTTCCACATCGAATTTGATCAACCTGTTGTTTCCAAGAAGAACGGTTACAACTCGTGGTCCAGCCGAGAGAATGATTCGTCTGTTTCGATTAAATCTATTCAATCCGAAGCTGACCGACCTCAAGTTGGATCATCAAGCTATGTTGATCTTGTCGATCGCTACTGCTTTTATGAGTCGAGCCCTCATTCAAATTTCTACACCGGCTACTCAACCTCTCCTTCAACCCCATTCATCCGTGGCTAGATTTGAGTTGCATACTGGTGTGTTCTTATTTCTTGTACATAGTTTTTAACTTTCCGCTTGGAAAATCATATCATCTGTTTTGCCTACTTGCTTTTTTTCTTTTTCTCTTTTTTTTCTTCAATCCCTGATATCATTTGTTTTTGCTCTAAGTTCGTTTCATGTTGTGTATTCCCATAAGTTTGCTTTTTCTGTTTGCATGTAGTTGATCCCAGTGTAATTATATTATCTAATAAATTGAATCGAGCGCGTGAAAATTCACTTGTCTAATTTGGGCTTCAATTGACATTTATCATTGTAATCACTAAAAATAAAGTTGGTGGCGATGGACAGTCACTCAAGCCACAACAACAGAGCTTGACCCTGGCTTTTCTTTTTTTTTTTTTTTTTTTTTCAAGACACCTCGTCTCATTCACACCATTCCATGACAATACTTCTCCAGGAATAGGAGCATAGCTGCCTTTAAAACTCAAGGGAAAAAAAGAAAAGGAAGACAAAGAGAGAATAGAGCAACACTTGCTATCAGAATTTATATATTTAAAAGCAGAGGATATTGAGCAAATTCCAACAGATCAATTATTTATTTCAATATGAGTAATAACGCACAGTTATTATCCAGTGGGTCAGAAGTCTATGCCAAGAAGCGCAAGGCACGGAAGGAGCAGGTTGCCGAGGTGACATTCGATACCGAAGCTAGAAAGTAAAAAAAAAATTGGTCCCCCCTCCGCCTTCTGTCCTCTTTCTTTCTCGAAACTTTCATCGCTCGAGTTTAATCTATTGTCCCTCTCTATGAGAGTTGTCTCATAAGCAATTACTTATCAGTGGGTCCTTTTTTTTTTTTTTTTTTTTTTTTTTATTGTTTATAGAGAGTATTTGACAGGATTCCATAAGCGTAAAGTTCATCGTCAGAATGTTGCTCGCGAGATTGCTAAAAAGAAGGAACATGAAGAAAAACTGGAAGCTCGCAAAGAGGTATTATTATTATTATTATTATTATTATTTCTAAAAAAAAAAAAAAAAAAAAAAAAAAAAGCTCATTCACACTTTATTTATTTATTTTTTTCAATAGGCAAGAGCTGCTAGGAAAGAGATGCAAGAAGAAAAGCTCAAAGAGTATGAGAAATACAGAAGACGTAAAGTGATTTTTTATTTAGTTATTATTGTCAACGTCTTATTATTCTTGAATGAGTGTCTGATGAACGAAAAAGAATCTATTTATTCCTATTCCCATTCCCATTTCCATTCCTATTCCTATTCCTATTCCTATTCTTATTCTAATTCCTAACTAATGTTCTATTGAATTATTTCTTTGTAATAGAATTGAAGATCAAGTATGGTGAACCGCTTAGTGATGAAGAAGAAGACAAGAGTGTTTTTTCTGGAGATGAACAAGAGGGTAATGAAAGCGGTAGTGATGATGAAAAGGTTAAAGGACAGAAGACAAAACCAAAGAAATCAGAGTTCAAGACCAAGACATCTCTTACGACTGTAACAGTGATCGAAGATATGAATCAGGATGATGGGTTATTTGGGTTACCAAAAAATAACACCGCTACGATGGAAAAGAATCAAAAGAAGAAATCAAAGGGTTCATCAGCTTCATCAGGAACAAATGCTAAGGACAATGATAATGATGACGACGATGAGGGTGAGAATGATAGTGATAGGAAGAGGCGGAAGATCGGCTCATCCTCAGCTACCACGCTGAAAGGTGCCAACAAGATCAAGAATGCCAAGGAGAAGAAGAAATTCCGTAAGTGCCTCTTTCTATTCGATTGAAGATATTGTTAGGTTAAAGGATGAACACATCCTTTTTTTTTTTTTTTTTTTTTATCTACTTATACATTGTCCTGTCCTGTCCTATCATGTCTTTCTTTTCTTTTCTTCTTAAACAGGATATGAAGGAAAGATGCAGCGCAAGATCACAGCCATTAAAGATAGATCACGAAGCAATAGATCATCAGGTGGACGTGAAGATCGTGGCAAGAAAAATGGTCGTGGCCGTGGCCGTCGGTGAATTAAAAAAGAAAAGCTTCAACTCATTATCAGCAAGCAGCAAATCAATAATTACCAACATTACGATTTGTCCCTATTCTTCCATGAATTATACAGGATTAGATTATATTTCTACAGAACAGTTGTTACGAATATATATGAAAAATATTAAGTGAATGATAGAAATAGGGATGATTATAATAGTAGTCATAGTGTATGGTAAATGTAAACAGTAATGGTAAGGTTTTTTTTTTTTTTTTTTTTTTTTTTTTTTTTACAGTGTCGACTGGCCAAGGAACCATTGCACCACGACAGGGCAACCACCAATGATTGGGTGAGCTACCACCCATTCCAAGAAATACTCCAACTCCCGTCGTCGTTTCTCCACAAAGGCTGGTTTGAACCTACCCACCATTTTCTTAGGGGGAAGTTTGGGGATTCCACGGATAACACGGTTACATATCAATGACGCGGCGTTCCTGTTGGCTGTACTTGTAGAAGTTGCCTCCGATAAAGAACGCCGTGATTGGTATTCATATATATCATCTTCATCCGCCAGTCTGCCTTCGTTTCCATTCTCATTCTCATTGTCCCCATCCGCCTCATCCTCGTCCTCATGACTATAACCATCATCATTGTCACCATCATTATGCCCCTGTGAAGTATGCCGAGAAGAGTAGGCTCCAAAGGATGGTGATGATAATGGTGGAGATGGCTGTCCAACAAAGGATGGAGATACGGAATGAGAAACTAAAGGTTGATGATGATCCTGTCGCGATAGCTGTCGACCGCGTTCTCCAGAAAGGCTATTCCTTCTGCTGAAGCTTCTGAGCATTTCAATCAATTGTGCTCGTAAAATAACAAAATCAGAGTATCGTTTACGTACACAAACGATCCGAGCAGAATTCTCAAGAGCCGACGATAGCGTTGTTGTCGTTGTTGTCGTATCTGTATGCGTTTCTCTTTGGTGGAAAGATGCTGTTGTATTGGGAGAGCTGGAAGCAGGGGTTTCTATCGCTTCTAATGGTGGAAGAGAAGGAAGAACGGAGGGACAAATTTCCTCCACTGGCGACTGTAATTCCATCAATAGCCTTTCTGCAGAGCTCCCCAACCCCTGAAAAGATATTGATCGAGACATCTGGATTGAGGCCTTATTTTGTGTCTTTGAAATCGTAGAGCGATTCGAGTCAAGACTTGATCGTGGTGCTAATTGATAATTATCAATATTCCTCATGACTGTCATTGATCCTTCAGACCCTGCTTGTTCTTCTCGTTGCTGTCGCTGTTGTTGTATATAGCTATACTGAGTATCACTGCCGTTACCCCTATCTGAGGTTGAATTTGTTGAAGGAGGATTGGGGACAACAGTGGTGGCGACCATTGAAGAAGAAGAGGGGGAAGGATTGCAGAGTGTGAGAGTGACTGTATAGGCAGTGAACGAGCCGATGCCTTTGCCAAGCCGAATGGGGTTCCCGACGCTTACTGATTCTGCAAAAGGTATATGAGGTCCCTGTAATGGGTGCCAATAACGCTTTGCCTGAACAGCCCAGGTCAAGAATTTGTCCTGCAGCGAGAGACTGGATGTTGCTGAAGAAGAGTGATGGTGATGACTATCAACATGAATACCAGTACCAGGGCTAGGAATGGATTGTAGATGTACTGGTGAGTCAAAAAACCACCCATGGGCTAGAGCCGCTGATGATGGTGGTGTTATCGTATCCATGTATCCAACCTCAATAGGCAAAAGAGATGATCTTCTCCTACTTTCATGTTGCGCTCTAGGTTGGTTTCTTGATCGAGAGCGCGCAAATCTAAACCTCCTTTTCCCTCCAGATCGCTGACGACGCAAAGATCCACCACTACCGCTGCGTGACAGACTTGGAGAAGCTCCCATAGTAGTGGCGGCAGTAGTGGGAGAGTCTGCTTGATCGGAACTAGACTGGTGGTTATGCTCGTCGCCCTCATCGTTAGGGATACGTTGCAGTAGACCTTCACCCTGAAGAAAATATGACTGGGGAACAGGCTCTGTAGGTGTCGGATTCATAGCTCGTTCTAGATCCCTGGCTAGTTGAGATATATGTTCTTCTCGATCATCATTTTGATGATTTGGTTTCTTTGGATTTCCATTGGGGCTAGCAGTCTGAATGGGCGAAGGCTTGGCCTGCGATCGGTATATTGATGTTGAGGCTGGACTCTTGGATCCATTTGGCGTTGATAACACCGGAGACGAGGAGCTGGGCGGTGGAGGGGTCTGAGGTGATTGTGGCAGTGACGTCCAAGGCTTTCGTAATGACGACTCTATGGAAGTGATTGCACTATCGGTGCTGTGCCCTGTTGTTATTAGTCGCTCAGAAGACCCCTCTGATACCTCCGAGCTTTTAATCTGGTCATTGAGAATGCTAAAACTGGCTCCGCCATTGACGCTGAGTAAATCCTTCTGTGCTATAGGAGCGTAGAGTCCTGGTTCTGAAGAATTCGTTGTCGTTAAGGTTGAAGAAAATAGTCCCCGAGGCACCCTACGAGGCTGTTGAGCCTGGCGAGGTTGTTGAGGCTGCTGAGGCTGCTGAGGCTGCTGAAGCTGTTGCTGTTCTATGGGCTTACAAGATCCTAAAGAATTGACTGGCGGTGAATGTGGAGTGTTTGGCGCCGATGTCATTGCCGTTGCAAAGGTAGTGACAGAGGATACTGAAAGCGAAGAAGATGATGATGGTGATGACGGTGATGTAGCTGCAGAATCAAAAGTTTTTTTATTTAGTTTTTTGGGTACCATTGGTGGCGACAATGGCAGTGGCGCCGTAGCAATGGATAATGGGGAGTCAGCAAGCGCAACCATAGTCGATTTTGATGGTTGTTGTGTCTGTGATCCTGATGAAGGTACAGCTGTGATCTTAGAGGATGATGACTTTCTTTCGTGCTGTGACGGTAATGGCGATAGGGGGTTCATAGGTTCAATTGCTGAAGTGACCTTGTGGATTGCTGCAGTTGGTGTTACTGCTGATGAGAATGACAACGGCAGACTAGTCTCTGTGGAATCTTTTAAATCTGCTGCAGCTGTAACCAGCTCTGTTGGTGGCTCTAATGGACCAGGTGGGCTTAATGTTTCTGAGGATAATAGTGTTGATGAAGCTATTGTTGGTGTTGATGTAGCTGATGGCGTTATTACAGACGAAAGCCGTGGTAAAGATACGGATCCACGCCTTGCTATAGATGAAAATGGTGTTTGGGCAGCGAAGTTAGGGGATGTAGAGAAAAGACCAACAGGATGGCGATGCATCGAAGCAGTAAGAGAAGATCCCGGCATATCTGGGATCACCACACGTGCTCCAGATCCTGTAGAGATTGAAGATGACTTGGATAATATCTCAAATGAAGATCTCCTTTGCTCTCCGTATTCTTCTTCTTCTGAACCGTTGACAGCCCCTTTTGATTGCGAACTCTTGGATTCTGCATCTGATGCGACTATGGACATGTGCAGAAGCAAATAAAAAATAAAAAAAAAGTTAGCTTCATACCTTAATTTTTCTGGAGGTATTGTCTGAATCACATACATGGGAAGAGCTCCTTATCGAACAATAACGTTACTTTTGAGTGCATCTCTAATGTGAATCTGTAGAGCATCCATAGGTTCGCGTAGTATCCGGGGTTCGTCCTCATCCTCAATGTCTTCCACGTGTTCCAAAGCACTCTTCAACGATCTACTACTTTCCCACACTTGTCTACGCACATCAATGGCTAAAATTCAGGGGGAGAAGGGGAAGTAGATCCACGAGAAGGTTCGCCAATCAATGAACCGACAACAACGGCTATAAACAAAAAAAAAAAAAAAAAAAAAAAACATCAACTACGATGGTACCTCTCTGACATTGTTCTGACCGCGAGGCTTCTTCCTCAGGCCCAATTGGCCCGTGATCTCCTGCCAGTAATCTGTCATTATGTCGTTGTAATACGGCTATAAAATAAAAAATAAACAAATTGATGAGCTCATGATGGAAGGATCGTTTTCGGGAGAAATTCTAGATATCATACTTACTGCTCACTTTCTGTGCCAACGATAACAGATCTCTGGCGGATGTCCGTAAGTCGGAACTCATGTGCACAAAAAATATACACAAGAGCAGGAAGAGGAAACAAAGGAAGGAAAGGCGGGAAGAGGAAACAAAGGAAGGAAAGAAGGGAAGAAAAAATAAAAATAAAAAAGTGGTTGTTGCTGCTGTTCGAGAGCCTTTATTTGAGTTTCTGCCTGTGATGAGTTGAATCGCTCCAATAAATCGCAACTTGGAGATGATGAGGGACAGAACTGAAGAGCACACAGAGACAATATGCAACGCGCAAAGCGCAAGAATGGCGGTCCGTTAGAAAAAACAGAGACTTAGAAGTTGAAATGAATGACAAGTGGATGTAGTTGTGAAGGATAAAGGGATGGTTGAGGAAAAGAAGCAAGCTGCATGCTAATGCAATTGTCCATGCTTAATTGCCTGTTGGGAGTCATTTTTCACATTTGGCAAGATCGAATCTTCATCCGCCTCTTAAGGGTTGGAGGTTACAAAGCCAACATGATCGGAGGCGCTCCAATCTACACTAGATAATTCACTCCTGGGACAGACTAGGACGAGTATGAGAAACTATATACACGCGCGAAGGGACCTTCATGTATTTCTTCGTACATTTGTCAAAGAGTGCATGCTCTCTGACGCTGAGATAAAGGGAAAGATCCTCTCTTGTCAGCATTACTCAATCCATCCTCAACTACAGCACGGAGTATATAGAAAAACTCACAGTCTATTATCATAATCCTTCTTTCCTTATTAACTTTTTACCAGTATCATTTCTATGCAATAGCATTCTTCACAATTTTACCCTTCTATCTTCTGATTTTGCATAATCTATTTCATCTTCTTCCTCTGATTTCATTTCCTTCCTCCTGTAAGAACTTGCATATCACTCTAGAACCGCTGATTTTTCCTGGCCCCTTCATTTTCAGTCATTTTCAAGTTCCCTGTTTTTTTCGTCTTTTTTAGTTCATCTTTCTCCAAAGCATCGATAATCTTTCACTCCGCTCTTTGCCCAGCCTAACATAGCCCTGTAATATTTTTAATATTCTTTAGTACTCTTTGTCTCCTCTATTCTCCAGATAAATATCAGCTCTAAATGATGGGGAGCTATATAGAACCAGACATGGCCCCAGATGATTTTTCATCGCCTGAAACTCTTTTTCGACGTGGTGATGCAGCCGATAACAAGAAGCAGCCAAAAGAGCCCAGAAAGAGGGATGATCTTCACCAATCTCACCCAGAACAAAAGAATCTAGTTGAACTACAAGCACTACTTGACCCCAAGTCGTTCGGGCCCTTTGAAGGCTTGAATAATAGCCAGCTGGAGACTGTTACAAAGGCTCTTTTGCCCACCGGACTGAAGTCCTCAAAGGACCTCAGCTTGGAAAAGCTTCAACAGATTGTACGTGATTTTCATGCGAATGAGACCCGGACCGATGTCCTTACTCAATTACCATTGGACTTTGAGCCTGAAAAGAGCATCTTCAGCTTCTTCTATACAATGAAATCCTTCAAGGATCCAACAGTAAGTTCCCGAAATGGCCATTTTCCTTTGGAATGAGAAACACACAAGCATAGATCTCAACTCTAGCATTGCCTTCATTCAATTCTTTTCTCTTTTCGTCATGTTTTAATGTTCATCTATACTCAGGTTGACTTGCTAGAATGCCCTGTGGCCTCGACTCCTACGAGCCCCAATGACACTCCAGCAGGCCTAGTCTGGGAATGTGAGGCTGGGTATGCTGGATTTTTTATTTTATTTATTTTATTTTTTACTTTGAATGTTTTGTCAAGTTTTGTTTTGTTATTTTGTTTGACTTATTTTTGCTTTTTTTAAACTTGATTGAACACAGCAACTTTTGTGCTGCGCCCAATATTTCGGTGCCATGCCTCCCTGGATTCTATTGTCCAGAAAATACAGCGCAGCCAACCCTTTGCTGCAAAGGGTACTTATGTAGCACTGATACCAAATCAATAGAGGTTTGCCCTGAGGGATACTTTTGTCCACTTGCTTCAACTAGGGCTGTAAGTAATCGTCATCTTCTACTTATTATTATTGTTTTTATTTACTTTCATTTATCTATTTTATCTTTTATACTTGATGGATATACTCACCTTGCGTCTTTCTTATTTCTCCAGCTTCCGTGCAATTTCTTAGGGTTCTGCCCACGTGGTACATCTGCGATTGAGAAATATGGTCTAGGTGCAGTCTTGTTGGTATTTGCATTGTTTGTTATGGGGATGTTTGCGATCAAAAAGAGGATCGTTAGAGCACAGCACATTCGCTATTCTCGACGTCTTCGTGAATTGGGTGACAATAGTGCTGAAATAGAGAGTGAGAAGAGGCGTAAGAAGGAAGTTGCAGAGCTTGCACAGTCTATAATAATCGAGGATAGGATTAGGGCAGCTTCGTCAAGATCACGGGGCGGTGGTGGCGGTGGCGGCGGTTTAGAAGGTGCATATGACTTCGCGGCCAGCCAGCGTAGCCTGGCTCTTGCAGCTGCGGCTGCTGGAAATATGAATGCCAGCACGATGACACTGCCCAGAGCAGAACGTTCATTTGATATCTGTTTTGAAAATTTGGGGTTGACCTTGCCGACAGGTTCTGATATTATTAAGGTAAAAAGAAGAGAGAAAGAGAGAGGAGAAAAGAGAGAAAGAAAAACTTTTTGCTCCAAACAATGTGAATGCTGTGTATTTTACCTTATTACTGGATATTTATCACCTCGAATATTTCCTCTTTATGTCGCATAACTTAACTAAATCGCTCAGAATATCAGCGGAAGACTTATTGCTGGTAGAACATGTGCTGTTATGGGACCCTCGGGCGCAGGGAAGACAACCTTCTTGTCAATCCTCGCTGGAAAGGTCGCCAAGACAGACGGAATTATCAAAGTCAATGGTAAAGAACAGACACTGAGTCTCTGGAAGAAATTAATTGGGTTCGTTCCTCAGGAGGATATCATGCTATCAGAATTGACTGTTCGCGAGATTTTGATGGTGAGTGTTCTCTCTACGCTTAGAATCTAGCTACTATCCCCTCAATTTTGGTTGCTTGCCCAAGCTTGACAATGTTCCTGTTTGTATTTGTATCTTTCTCTCTCTTTTTAGCATTCAGCAAGAATGCGACAGCCTGTCCACATGAGTCATAACGAAAAGCGCCTTAAGGTCTTGGAGGTAATTCAATTCCTTGGAATTGGTCATATTATGGATAATCCCATCGGCGATATCGAAACACGCGGTGTTTCAGGCGGTGAGCGCAAGCGTGTCAATATTGGCATGGAGCTTGTCGCTTCTCCCTCGATCCTATTTTTGGATGAACCAACATCGGGCCTTGACTCCGCTACCTCACTTGAAGTCTGTAAACTGCTTAAGCAAATTGCTCAAGAGCAGTTTTTGACAGTAGCAGCGATCGTTCACTCACCATCGCCCCATGCTTTCAATCAATTTGATGATTTGTTACTTTTGGGTGCGGGCGGCCGTGTTGTATACGCTGGCCCTCGAGAGGAGGCTGCTCATTACTTTGAAAGCATCGGATATCCTGTCCCCGACGGCGAAAGTCCAGCAGACTTCTTCATCTCCCTTGCTGCCGGGCGTGTGGAAAAAGCCTCATCAGCTTCGTTAGGCTATTTTAGAAGGCGTGGGGGCGACAATAGCCAGGAGCGACCTCATAATGATCGGCGAAGCCCCAGGAGCAAGAGTCCAAAAGAGCGAGTCAATGAGCTATTCGTCCATTGGGAACAGTACAGTAATGACAGAGATATGAGCAAAGCAGGGAGACATGCTATCCACGAGAGCGACACCATGACCACTGTCCACCTTTCGAACTATGACTCGAATCAGGCATCTCCTATCAAGCATGACTTGGCCAAACAGACTGGAATGCACCTGGATGCCCATGACCATGACTACCGTCTTGAAGAGAAGCGATTCGGACTGACAACAGCAGCAGCTCTTGTGGAGTATAATTGCCATATTTCAACAATGGCTTTGCATCAAACTTCTCGGCCTCAGTCACCTACATATAGCGTCCCCATTTCTACTCTGGAAGGTTCATCCAGTTATACCTCATGTGATAGCACTGAGAAGTCTAATAAGAGCCTTAAAAAGCACGGGTTTTTGTCATCTGTTCATATGTCCTTGATCTCCACTTGGGCGGACATTGGATACTGGTGCAGAGATGTCGCAGACGAGTTTAGTCATTGGCTTTGGAGCATCAAGTGCAAGTTTACAGGAGAAAAAGATCCAGTCCGCGAAACACCATCGTTCGGCAGTGTCTTCATCCTCTGGTGAGCTCTTGTCTTTTATACATTATGATGTGCTAACATTGTTAATGTGCTAAGCCAATTTTTTTTTCATTGATTGTTATTATTTATATGTAAAAAAAAAAAAAAAAAAAAAAAACAGTTTCAGGCGTGCTTGCCTACAAAACTATCGATCCCAACTCGATTTCTTGGGAGACCAGGCTTTACATTTGGCTTGTGGCCTTTGTGTATCATTTGCTTCTAAAGACATGTTGTATATCCGTAAGTTTTGAAACAAAAAAACTATATATCGATATCTGTCTGTATCTTTTATTTTTTATTTTCCCTAACCTGCTTGCCTTGCTACATATGCTAAATGTAGCCCGTCAACCAGCCGAGATTTGCGCGATAGCGCCCCCAGCGTTGCAGTTAACATGTGCAACGCCCTTCGATGACATTGGTTATGTTGGCATGTTTATGACGCTCGGAATATTTTTCGCAGGCATTAGTGTCGGGACTCGTACATTCGGCGACGAAAAAGGTATGACACCAAGATTCAAGGATAAAAATAAAGTAAAAAGTATCACTTATCACTTATTACAATTACGATCATTTTAATTATTTTATAGCTGTGTTTTGGCGTGATTCCTCCGCAGGCATGCCTACTCTCCCGTACTATCTTGCCAAGATCCTGGCCGATGTGCCTCGTATGATCGTTGCTAGTAAGTCATTAAATTCGTTATAGAGATGTGAAAGTAATTCTATTGAAACACATCCCTGACTCTTATTTTATATTGATTTCCTATTTCCAATGCAATAGCCTGCATGTATACAAGTTCATTCATATTCTTCTTTGCATATAACCAGAAGATGACTCAGCTGTTGGCACTTGTCTTAATTATATACATCAACGCGTTTGCTCTGGGCTACTTCGTCTCAGCGGCCTTCAATCGCTCTATGCTTGGGTTGGCAGGGACGGGTATGTCTCTTACATGGGCTCTGGTCTTCAGCGGTTCATCGCCTCGTCTATACAAGGTCATGACGAGCCCCAGATATGCCTCTGTTCGCTGGCTTTGGACTGTTAGTGCCCCAAGATGGGCAGTTGAGGCATTTTATCTGAAAGAAATGGAATTCAGAGAGTAAGTTTATCACTCTTCAAGCCAAAAAAAAAATATATATATATAATAATAATAATAATAATAATAATAATAATGGATTTGTTATGGTTAACTTATACATCTTTTTATTATGATTTATCCTTTTAGCTATAATGAACTCAAGCATCATCTGTTAGTGGACACATTTTCATTCGACAACTATAAGAAAGCCATCTCGTACATGCTTTATATTGCTCTTTGCTGGAACTTAATTGTATTTATGTTAATGAAGTTGTTGAACCGCCACAAGGTCAAGTAAAATAAATATTTTAATAATGACGCCCATGCTGGGCGTCTAGGGTTTCTTTGTTAGGTTTTCTAATATCACATTAGGGCACACGTAGCTGGTGTGTTCGTGTGCTGCTTTTGAAGCACTATAGAGTGAGCTTTCCGGGCTTAGAGCGCATATACTTTAAGCTCCAAAAGATAGACATATTGCAGGCTTAATAAATCTTCTTTATCAGTATCGTTTCTACCTCTTACTTTTCTTTATATAAAATGCAATAGGTACAGCTGCATTGAGCGGTATTGTAGCTTATGCATAGTGAATACGGTTGTCTCCTCTTTACTGATTGGTACAGGCATGGGAGACGTGACTCGGCTAGGCCATTTGGTTTACAGTCATTAATGAAGCATGAGTTCGGTGTTATTCTAGATACTCCCTTTTCTTTTATCAATGTCACATTTCCAGTATAAAACGAACTTTAATGAGTGGGCAAAATCTCACAAGGACAGATCAAAACGATCCTTGTTGTTCGCATTATTACTCTTTTGGAGGCAAACATCGCGTTTGTGCTCCTAAATTAGTCGTGTGCTGCATTCATCTATCAGACTATCACCATTCACCAAACGGCAAATCCGTCAATAGTTGGATCATAGACATTTATCCTGCTATGCTCGTCCTTTTGTCGCTTTCCAGAGCACTAACAAAGTGATTGCTAAGAGACCGTATTTATAAGAAAGAAAGCGATGCTCATTAAGCTTAGATTATGTATTTGGCCTCAAACCAGAATAAAGTTTTTAATATTACTGTGGCCCCTTTTTCGGTCTAATACAAACTAAAGAACAAAGAACGCGTCCGCAGCTTTAAAAGAAAAAAATAATTAATTGCGACCATCCTCAACTCATTTTAGCTTCAAGAAACGCTGATTCATTGAATTTGTATAATGATTAACCCAAAACAACCACAACAAGAAGTTGAAGAGGAGGACTACATGTCCGAAGCGTTCCTGAACAACCTAGTGCAGCAGGAGAACCAGGACGTGAAGGCCAAAAAAGCCAATATGACCTACTCTGAGCGACGACGACAAAAACAACTTGAACATATTGCTAATCTCCCTAAACCACTCCATGTACGTGAGAAAGAGGCACGTACTCAGGGCTTGCAAAAGGAGATTGGAGAGGATAACAAGGGCATGGCCATGTTACTCAAAATGGGCTTCAAGTAGGTTGTTATTTATTTCATTTTATTTTACTTTATCCTATTTTATTTGGCGATGTTATTTTCCCCATTGAGCGGTTCAACCTTTTCTGATTACATTCCTTCCTCTATCATCTTCTGCTCTCCTCCTTTTAGGAAAGGTGGGACATTAGGGGCACGTAAACAATCATCAGACAGTGAACTTGTTCCTACCTTATCACCTTCAAATCTCAACGCAGAGAATGTAGCCGCTCGTCCGGAAGCGTTAAGAGTACCGCTGGCTATTGAGATTAAACAGGGACGTGGGGGATTGGGGATGGATTCTGAGCGAAAAAGACAGGCAGAGGAAGAACTAAAGCGACATGAAGAGGAAGCACGCCTTGCATTCGATCAAGATTTCCGTGGTCAGAAGCGAGATCTATTTGATCTGGCGAAATGGACCCGTCAGCTTACAGCAGCACGAAGCATCTGTATGCGCATGGACTCTAACAGTGCAAGAAGAAAAACGGAGCGGATGGAGCCAGAAAACCAAAAGAAGGTTCCAGAAGAATCTGACCCTGCTGCTGATATAGAGCATAATCAAAGGAGACGATCTAATCCTTTCTGGTGGATTGATGATTCTGTATCGGATGAAATTCTTGGTACATCAATGATGGGGCCTGGCGCTCATGTAGAGAATGAGCAAGATCAAGGAGTGACACCTGAACTAATGACGTCAGAACTTGGTGACGACGAGAGAAGGGGAAACGATCTCAGCCACGGAGTAGAGAAACGGATAAAACTAGATCCGTTACAAAGTGCCGAAATATATGAAGACGTGGTCCAAGAAGAAGTCGAAGAGCCACCCAAGTGGGGAGAGCGGCCCTCATTTGCTCAGTTAGAGGTAGGGTTGTAAAGTACCTAATGGATGAGATCTTCGTTTGTATGATGACGATAGGGTTAGAGACTCATTACGCTTCACTTCCTTTGTCATCCACTGTACTTAGGTTCGTGAAAAGCTTGATAGGGTTGTGAAATACCTCCGAGACGAGTACTGTTATTGCTTCTGGTGCTCCGCACTTTATGATAGTCCCACAGATCTAAAGGAAATCTGTCCTGGGGAGTCAGAGGATGATCATTAGTCTTTTCATTATTAAGGCAAAGGCAGTGAAACCATTCTCTTCCGCCATTATTATTTATTTTATGTCATTGTTTTTATTACTATTAAAGCTGTCGTTGTTATTCTGATATTACATTACGACTCGCTTCCGCTCTCGGAATCTGAACTATATCCGGCTAGAGCGCTTAGAGCAGACTTTACGGGCACTGGTTTTTTGTCCTTGGCGCTTATAGCTAATGAGGGGTTTGGCGCTGCATTTGCGGAGGTTAATAGTGATGCTTTGATTCGTTCTTGGAGTGAAGGCACTTTTGACTCTTCCTGGAGCTGACTTTGTTGGATGCTGTTTTTATTGTGCTCTTGAGAATGACTCAAGCGACCTGGATCATATTGTTGTGTCTCAAAATTATACCCATAATCACCATAGTCATAATAGTACAGACCGTCTGCTCCAATGTATAATGTTGGCTGCGATTGTTGAGTCTCTTTCAAGTTGGTGTCATAGCGTTGTCGTTTCTCTGATTGTTCGATAATGGCTTCTTCGGAACCAGGAAGATGTTGTGCCTGCTTATAATCCCCCGATATTTTGGACTCGATAGCTTCACGCGCCATCTCCACTGCTTTTCGCTTTGCTATCGCTTGTGACCTTGGATTGGGATCTTCTGTCGCCCATCTGATGTTAAGGATCTATATAAGAAGATTGGCTCGATTTTAGCCGTTCAGCCCATATCGCTTCAGAATTAACTGCTCTAATCTTTCGACTGCAGCAGATCAGCAATCATTATTTCTTCTCGTCTTACCTCTCCATGGTCCAAAGATTGATCTGTCATGGCCACTTTAGCAAACTCTGCATTCAGTCGGCTCTGATACGTTACAAATGCGACCCCCTTATCCTTCAAAATTTTGATGCGTTCAATTTCTCCCCATGCTTTGAAATGTTTTTCAACAATGGCTTGCATATCTGGTGATATATGTATCTTTCCCACATAGAGTGTTTTGGTGTCGGATAGCATAGATCCCACACCACCTCGATCCTCCCGATGTTCTTCATATCGCTCACGTCCAAAAACATCTAGTCCAGACTCAACATGATCCTGACGTGTCGGTAGCCTATGCAGCCATGCACAATCTTCTCTAATGATAAATGGTGTCGGTGAAAAAAAGACATAAGTCATGTAAAGCAATAAAGCGACAGAGTGAGTCATACTCTATAGTTGTTTGCAAACTAAGATCTTTTCCTTTTTTTTTTTTTTTTTTTTTTTACTTACCCATGAGGGCAGCATCCTTTAGCAAAGAAGGCACAAAAATATGCATTAGGGTTGTAGGTCCCTTTGGTGGTCCCAGAATCCTTAATAGGATCACACCGATACTGCGCTTTGCTTTTGCTGTTTAAGCCCTGAGATCGACTATCACCTCCACTCCATCGGTCGTAGTAGATATTATAAGTCTGTCCCGACTGCTGTTTATCTCTTGCAGAGGGATGAGGGCCGATTACTTTATCCTTGGCGACTTGCCTTCTTGCGGGTCGCGACATTCGGACTTGTTAAAAAAAAAAAAAAAAAAAAAAAAAGGAATGTCAAATGTCAAATGTCGCTCGAAAGTTAAAATTGTCTTTGGCTGAGAAAACATGGAGTCACAGAATAAAATGCTCTTAATGAAATCTCGCCATGAAGCAATTGGTTAGGAACTGCATGAACTGTCAAGAATCGTCCCAACGCTTTTTGGAAAGTACATGTACTCCACAAGGGTGCATATTATATATAATGATAAAATGTTTAAGCTTTTTTTTTTTTTTTTTTTTTTTTCCACGACAATTGCTCTTCCGTAAAAATGTCAAGAAAAAGTTTATTTTTCTCTACTTATTTTTTTTTTTTCACTATTTGCCCTTCTTCTTGTCCTCAATCAGATCAATGTTATCTTCAGGCACAATTGGCCAGTGCTCCAGAATGAGTTCGAAAATTTCGTCCGATAGGTCGCCCTGGACTACAATCTCATCATTGCCCTGGTTATTCTTTGTAACTGATGCTCCACATGCAAATTTGTTGGCAAAAAGTTTGGCTGCTTTCTTGAGGTCGACATCTAATATTCATATTAATATAAGCGATAACATATTGTTAAGATATGGACACAAAAGAGTGAAAAGAATGAGCGAAGATTCTGAAAACCTAGGATTACCAAAGTTCTCCAGTCCAAAAACACATGTGACACATTTTCTCTTGGTCCGTTCAATTCTCTTGATCAGAACCTTGGATGCCTGTGAAAATAAATTTCAGTAAGTATAAACGTCAATATAAAACAACTATTATAATCCTACAAAAAAAAAGGTGTTTCCTTTCATACCATCTTCTTCTGCAATTGCTTTTCAATCTTGGCAGCCTCTGTTAATTAGGATTTTCGGGTGATCGAAGGAAAAAATAAAAAAAGACATAGGCAAAGCCAAATTGGATTAATAAGGACCCGATCTTGTAAGCAAGGAAGCCGCTGTAATATATGTATATATATTGGCTTCTGCCTACCTTTTGCCCTCTTCTTGTCTTCTTCTGGCTTGCTCTCGCCGAGTGATGTGGACGCTAATTGATCCTCCAAAGTATTATACAAAATAGCATACAGCACTTTATCGTTTCTGCTCAACCATTCTTTACATCTGATAATAGATAAAAGTTCCAGAGAGTTAAAAAAAAATCAATAACAATGTCATGATGAGACGAAACATTTGTTTAGATATTGGAAAAAAAAAAAAAAAAAAAAGTGCAGATGATGCCTTCAGCATTTACTTTTCCAGAGTAGGTCCAAACTCGCAGTACTCTGGTGGCAATGAGCAGAAACCACAGTATGGAACCTCGCGGGGCTTAACATGTTCACTTGAAGGTGCGTCTGGGCTATCTGCCATAGAGAAGTATTTGTGTCTGTATGAGTTGGTGGTGTAGCGAGTATTGCAAATGAATAAGAATGAAATGTAAAAAAAGGGTTGTTTTTTTGGATGTTAAAAGCAGTCCGGAACATATCCGTCAAGGAAAGGTATTCCATGTAAATTGCTCAGCCTTTTTTCTTTGCACCATGAATTCCGCTCCAGGACCAGGACTACCAGGACCACCGGGGCCGCCGGGGCCGCCCTACTTCAATAGTGGCTACTCTTCTGGCGGGCTACCAGGACAACCAATGCCAATGTCCATGCCCATGCCCATGCCCATGCCCATGCCCATGCCAGTGTCAGGTGGAGGGCCTATGGCAGGACCGTTTGGACATCCACCACCTCCTCCTCCCGGAACATTTCATCCACCCCCTCCAAACTTACTGCCGCCAGGATGGACTGAGCATAAGGCGCCTGACGGCATGGCATATTACTATAACTCGGCCTCCGGACAGAGCTCATGGATCAGACCTACGATGGGTCCTCCTTTACCACAGGGACCAGCACCCTCCGGAATACCACCCCCACCTGGTGTGTCTTATTATCCACCTAACAGTCAGCAACCATTGTATCCGCCGGGCGTTGCCCCCCCGCCTGCATCTATAGAACCAAGTAAACCAGCAGAGACTAATGCTGGCGATGGCAATGGAAAAGCAAAAAAATCCAAAAAGGTCAAAAAAGAAAAGGCGATTAAAAAGTAAGGAATGCTTTTTGTCATGAATGTTGACGATAGATCAACAACAAATTATATAGTATTGCTAACTTGTTTTTTTTTTTTTTTTTTTTTTTTTTTTCTCATCTCTTTCCCAGGACACAGGTGTTGGAGTCTCCATGGTTCATTGTTGTGACCAATCTGGAAAACATTTTTTTCTATAACAAGGAAACCAAGATCTCTATATGGGTGCCTAATCCTGAGTTGGAGCAGATTCTCGTCAAAATGGGACAAGCCGAAACAGAGAAGTTGGAAGCAGAACGGAAAGCGCAAGCAGAGGAGGAGCAGCGGCTTTTGACACTCAAGCGACCCAATGATGGCGGTGTTGATGGCTCTGGAGGCGAGAAGAAGTTGAAAAACGGAGCGGATGACCAAGCAGCAGCCGGCACAGAGTATGTTTTTTTTTTTTTTTTTTTTTTTTTTTTTTTTTTTTTTTCGGACAATTGATTGGGAAAATAGGCTTTCATGTTTTAACACCATTTGACTCCTTATAATCAAAAATACTCTGGTTCATTTCTAGGATGACAGAAGATGATATAGCATGGCAGTTGGCAGCGATGGAAGGCGAAATGGATGAAGGTGATCCAGATCAACATATGGCAAGTCAAGATGAAGGAGGCGATGAAGAAGAAGAAGAAGATGAAGCTTTGGAGCAGCGGCTCCGTATGCTTCAGCAAGGAGCTGAGTCATCAGCAGGAACGGCACACCCATCTGCGTCCGAACGGCAGGCACATACGAGAATGGAGATCTCGCCTGACAATATTCAGGAAAGAGAGATGGCCTATTTGGAGATGATGCGTGATCGTGGGGTCACTCCATATGACACGTGGGAAAAGGCATCTGCTAAAATTGAACGAGACCCACGCATGTATCTCATTCCGGAAAGAAAGGTTCGTGAAGCCTTGTTTGAGAGTTTTTGTGTAATCCGGGCTAAGGAACTCAGAGAGGCCAAGGAAAAAGAGGCGAAAGAAAAGGAGGAGGAAGAGAGAAAAGAAAGAGAAAAGAAGGGAAGAGATCGACAATCTTCTCATCAATCCAGTTCGCATTCCACAACGACCACAACTTCGTCAAGTTCTACAAAGCCTGAGGATATATATAGGCGACTGGTGGAAGAGTATACTACAAAGACATCCACTTGGCTGGATTTTATGACGAAATACAGAGTGGACCCGCGGTTCCTGGGTTTAAAGCCAGGGTCCTTGCGAGAATCGATTTTCCGTCAATATTTATCAGATTTAAAGAAGGGAAAGATACCAGATAAATCTCGATCACACTCTTCAGACAGAGATAAGGATAAGCAAAGGGATAAAGACCGAGATAGGGGCAGAGATCGAGATAAGGACAGGAGTCGAGATAGGGATAGAGATCGAGACAAGGACAGGAGTCGAGATAAGGACAGAGGGCGGGATAGGGAAAGAGATCGAGACAAGGACAGAGACAGAGATAGAGACAGGGACAGAGACAGAGATAGAGGCCGAGACCGAGATAGGGACAGAGATCGAGGTAGGGACAGGGATTGAGATAGGGGTAAAACAGCGGCAAAAAGAAAGCTCATAGACAAGGATAGTGACGATGAATGATCAATCAGGGTCTTAGACTGGCAAAAAAAAAAAAAAAAAAAAAAAAAAAACTCCAAATTAAAAGTCTTCAACGATAATACGTTGGCCGAGATATTCTTTTCAACTGCCAAGAAGTCATCACTATCCAGTAATTTGCACCTTCAACTGCAGACGTTTTATCTTTCCTATATGTTTCCTTACCACTTTTCTTGTATCTGCATCAATTATAATAACTATAAATTATTGTAGTTGTTGGTTTATTGAGAGAGATAGTTTTAGATTAAAACGATATTGCGTATTTTGGGTCTCTAGGCGAACTCGTCCTTGCCCTTGTAGTTTCTTTTATTATTATTTACTTGTCATTGCGTGCACTAAACAATCTCTCTTTCTCATATTCCATTCGTATATGATATATCAAAATGCCTAAACAATCACAATAATGCTCTATGGCCTTCACTGTACATTCGAGTCCAAGTGTAGGACTCTTAGGACATAAAAGAGCACAAAAGAAAGTGGCGCTCGGATAAGATCAAGGTTATATTGCGGCACTGTACTCCGAACAGCTGGGGCTTCGTCTTTACGGCACCCAACACATGGTGCCTATGACCTGTCTCCTGATTTGCCGAGGGGAATGTGTTGAAATACAGAAAGCCATCAACGTTGAAGAAGAATTTAAAAAGCAAATAGTGCAGTTGATTGTCTGCACGTCAGAAACTGATGTGGAAATTGAAAAAAGAAGACAAGGACAGGGGTAGAGACGCATGCCCGCTTTCAGATTCTCGCCCAGAACCCTCCTAGGAGATTCAACGCTACGGAGAAGGAGGTAATCGAAGACTTCACGAGCCTGTTGCGAGAAACCAGACAAGACATTTTATACGGGCATAAAAACCTATCTTTTTTAGAATGGAGTAAGATTAGGGGTTGATTGATCGTGATCGGCGACGTGATGCAGTTGGATTTTCAGCTGCATTGAGTATGCAAATCGAGCTATTCAAAAGTACGGCCAAGACTTTCTCCAGCCAAATTAATAAAGTATAATATGCTTAATAGAGTTTATTAGATAGTAGATGAAATGCCAGAAATGCTTTTTTTTTTTTTTTTTTTTTTTTTTTTTTGCTTGGTTTTCTCTATGCAGTCTTTTGTCTCTTTCCATTCTTGTTTCCACCTCCAAAACTGAACTTCTTGAGTGGGTCGTTCTTTTTACCACCTCCATGAGCACCCTTGCCCTTGTTCTGCCGAGCTTTCCTTACAGAGTTTTGAGGCTTCTTCTTGTATGTCACTGGTCCCAGACCCAGAGAAGTCTCTCCAACCTTTTCTGTAGACACTGCCTGTACCCTGGGCATCATATATTCGGGGACATGCTTCATATGGGGCTGTACCCGTGTTGGGTGTAGTGTCTTGTCATGACGCAAAAACTCTAAGTCCTTGGGCTTGTCTTCAAAATGAGCTCGAAGTTTCTCAGAATTAAGCATCTCTGCCTTGAGTTCCTTCAAGCGGGCTTCACGAATCGAACTCTTAGTGATAGCGCGCATGGCATCATCCATACGATACCTAAAGCCTGCAAGCTGTTGCATAGGAATGGTATAAGGATTGATTATGCATCCTGCAGCTATTGACCATTTAGGTAAATGAATTAATAAATAGCAGATTGACAATTAGTATTCATCTCAATCAACAATCATTTACTTGTGAGCTGACATTACTTTCATGATAGACAAGCATACCAGTTTGTTGCTTCATAACCCGATTGAAGACAGCCTCGTCATTGCCTTGCAAATGAGCCCAACCTCCACCTCCAGCAATTTGACTAGCCTTGAGGGCCTTTTCCTTTTGCTCTGCTGTGACTACAAAGCTCAAGCTAGTACCCATTTGACCACCACGGGCCGTACGTCCCACACGATGTGTATATGATTTTGCTGTTGGTGGGAAATCAAAGTTGACGACTGCAGCGACATTCACAAAGTCAATACCGCGCGAGACACCATATTCCTGATCCTTCTTGGGTCCCAGCTTCTTTTTGGATTTTGTTGATCCAGTAGCATTTGTAGTTGACTCAGACTTTGCATCTTCTTCAGGTTGTTTCCGCTTCTTAGAGCTAGTGGTTGACTTTTCACCCATTTCTTCAAGCGCAGTCGCTTCATCCTCATCCTCATCATTATCACTTGCTCTCATCATAACCTCCATCTCATCCTCACTTCCATCAAGATCCTCGCCGTCTAGTCCATCTAATTCCATCTCAATCTCACCTTCTGGAATATTATCTTCTTCTCCCTCCTCCTCTTTATCGTCTTCGCCTTCATCTTGCTCATCCCCATCCTCCTCTTCTCCTTCCTTAATTACCTTAATAGACTCGTCTTCCTCCTTCTCGCCTTCCTCCTTCTCGCCCTTGAGTCCACTCTCATCCGTGGCAATCATGTAATCATATTTTCCTTTGTTGAATTCTTCCACGATATGTACACGCGAGTTCAAAGGAAGTTCCGAGTTCAAAACTACACTGGGGATCGAGAACTGCTCCAAGAACAATTTCAGGCGGTAGCAACGTTCAATGTCATTCACAAAGATGATGCATTTGCCCTTCAGTAACTTGAGCTTCAACAATACATATAGAATCAAGTATTTGTCTGTCTCTGTGCAGACCGTGTAGAGTTGTTTCAAATTGTCCCAGGATGAATCCATTGTTTTGTCCTCCATCTTCAAGACTGCTGGTGAACGTAGAACCAATTGTTTGAGTGAATCGACATCATCTCCCAATGTAGCTGACATAAGAAAACTCTGATAAATCTTTGGAAGGAACGTCAATAGTTCCTTGACATCCTCCTGATAATCGTAATTGCAGACTAGATCTGCCTCGTCAATGACTAATGTTTGGAAATGTGTTTTCAGATCCACAGCATTTATCTTTAATTGTGCAAGGATCCTGGAGGGTGTTGCAACAATAATATCGGGCTGTGTCGCCAATAGAGGCCTAGGGGAAAGAGGGAAAAAAAATGAATCTGAGTTGTGAGATAAATGTAATAAAGATTGGCAATATGTGGTCAAATGAATAAGAAGCTTACTGTTGAACTTTGTCATTCTGTTTTCCAGCAATGTTGAGCACATTCACAGCACGGCCACAGAAGAGGAGAATGTTGTTGGTAAAGGCTGTGACTTGTCCTGCTAATTCAACAGTAGGCACAAGGACCAGTCCTCGAGTTGCAGTAGTTTCAGGGGAGTTGGTGGGTAAGGCCTAAAAACGACTCAAGGTATTACATTGCATATAGCAATATATATTGTTAATATTGATCTTTGAGCAGAGTAACCCTTGATTGATGTAATTAGTCAAATAAAAACGAGACAAAATAATTTAACAAAACCATACATCTTTGGCAGCTAAAATCTTATGAATAAGCGGCAGCATAAAGGCAGCTGTTTTTCCGCTTCCTGTCCTTGCTTTGGCTAAAATATCTTTGCCAGCCAAAGCAAGCGGGATAGACTTTGCCTGTACAGGTGTAGGTTTTGTAAAGTTGAGTTTCGCGAGACCTCGCAGAAGCCTGTCGTCCAATCCAAGGTCTGCAAATGTAATATTTGTATCAACGTTATCAGCGCTAAACTCAGTGGTGTCGTTGTCTGCCATTGCCGTTTGGAATATGAAAAAGGTAGGTAGGAAGCCAAAAAAAAAAAAAAAAAAAGAAAAAAAAAAGAAAAAAAGCAAAGCTGCTGTGAAGAATGAACCCTTGTGTTGAAAGGTTCATTCTTTTTTTTTTTTTTTTTTTTTTTTTTAAATGTACACAAAAAAAAACTGTATATACATTAAGGGGTGTAGGTGGCTTGAGGCTGTGGTCAGACATCTCAATTGACGAACATTGCCCCAAATTGTTTTTTTTTTTACATATTCCTTCTCCACTTCGGTAATTTTCATTGCAGCTATGCCAGACCTCGACACCACCAGCGTATTGAGCGATGACTTAACAGTGTCGGATCTTGGCTTCAAGCTGTTAGGCGCTACTGCCCCAGAAGCAACGCCCCCCAATCCGGTCGATTTAGCAACTATTGGCTCTGATCATGGGAGCCTATTGCTGACTCCGACGGTGTTACAGAAAATAATGATAATCAATCTTTGAAAGCTATCGAAATTGATATGTCAGATATTTTGAATGATAAGAATTCGAGACCTCGATTGCGGCAAAGAATTATTACATGCAAATCGCATTGGCGTACGGATTTGCCCTCAAGACTCGCTCTTGTTCAGCCAAGTTCATACATTTGGCATGTGCCTATGGTGGTAAGTACCGAACCAACCTCATTACTGATGGTAAAGATCTGATTCGTCAGAATGTAGGCTCGAAACTTAATGATTGCCCTTTTTTCATCCATGTCACACGGCAAGGCGAATCATTCAAGCCCAATAACATTTGCTTGTACACAACCACGCGCTCGGTGATCTTCATACCAGTCTTATCGCTCAACGAAGGCCTGAAGAAGATAATAAGTGGATTCTCGATTGTTATCATTACGGCGTCAAACCCAAAGAGATTGTCCAGCTATATCAGGCCCAACCTTGGGGTAGTATTCTAACTACTTGTGATATACAGAACCTAGTTATGCTGCAAGATCGAAAAGATCGCGGGGGCTTCGGCTCTTTTCCAGGCGCGATGCAGGACCTAGCAACCAACAAGTGGTTCTATGACGTCGCCTATGATGAGAATAATACCCTTTCTACGCTCTTTGTCATGAGCCCAGAGCCCAAGGAGATCTTCGAAAAGTACCAGTCATTTTGAGCACGTCGACGAGATGCTTGAAACAAATGCAATCAAGAGATGATTTTTTTTTTGCTTCTGATTGTGAGCGCTAGCCTGTCAATAAAACTATGTCAAATATAATGCTCCAGGGTCAAATGGCCGTCATCTCAATTGAGCATCAAGCCACTGTTTGTGTATGATTTTTCTTTTTTGAGGCTTGTGTTGTGTCACGTGGAGATCAAAATTGGCTTTATTCTTATCCCTTAGGGTGAATCTATTTGACAACCCCCCCCTAATTTAGCAGTCACACCGGCTTATTTGGCAACCCAGGTCTTCAATTTTCACTTTTTTGTTATTTGACAACCCGGGTTGTCAAAAAAAGAAGAAAAATTGTCTTTTTCAACCTGTCACATGACAAGTCTTCACCCTCTTGTACTTATGGAGGACCTTTCTCAGCTGGATTTCTAAAATGGTGGCAACACTCCATTATCATGACTGTGGTTATAGCTTCTTCTGTCTCTCTTTTTTTTCCTTTCCGCGTCTTACGCATGCGCCATCAAGCGTCGCATAACCACTCCGAATTTATGCATGCTTATTTATCCAAAAAAACCCCTTAGTGCATGTTACCCGTATAGGCACATTTTCTATAAAAGCAAACCCTTGTTTTAGAAATCAGTTGTAATAAAAAACCTCGTAACCAAAAAAAAAAAGTTTGTTATTTGATGGAAGCTTTTAGATTGCTGGAGGGATTTCATGTTGCTGAGGGATAGCAATAGAAACGATTTTCACATAATAATCTTGCCAATAAAAAAGGGTTGTCAAATAATAGTGAGCTTGGGGTTGTCAAATTAGATATTTTACTATTTGGCAACCCCGGGTTGTCACGCAAAGAAAAAAAATTGAGAAAAATAATTAAGGGGGGGGTTGTCAAATAAGAGTGACAACCCGGGTTGTCAAATAGATTAATTCTATCCCTTAAACCGTAAGGCATATTTGCCCTTATAAAAATGCCGTAGTGGACCAATGTAACATTTATGGTGGTACATTATATATTTTTTGAGTAACCTTCGAATGTATTGCAGGCTTTGCAGCCAATAGCGCCTTTCAAATGTTAAATAAGTTTGCCTGTAATAAGCCCGTCATCAAAAATAAAAGCCACAAAATCAATTCAATAATCATTTTAGAATAGGAATATATTGGGCTCTGCTTTACGAGAATGGCGATAAAAAGAATGAATGAGTTGCCAAGCCGATGTAATTTTTTGCGTACTTTCGATCTGGCTTAGGAAAGGGGTGACCGTGACTTAATAACTTTTCGAGAAAACTAAATACAGTACATTGTGGGTAGAATAAGGTTATAAGGGCATATTTGCCCTTATTACGGTTCAAGGGATAGTCCGTCCTATTAAAACGCATTAATATAGTCCGTCCCATTAAAAAACGAGACATTCCATCTATTGTAAAAAGAAGAAATGTATTAGAACACAGAAATAAATAAATAAATAAATAAATTAACCAAGAAAAAAAAGTACTATCAAACCAATTTTTTTAAGACGAAGGCCTTTCTGGACCTAGTCATGTTTGTAGTAGATTGTGTCCTACTGTTGTTGTCGGCTTGTCTCTCCCCCTCCTCCTGGACCCAGCAAAGGCCCTTTCGGTGGTCTTGATCCCTCTACTCCTCCTCCTCCTTCATCTGAAAATTTCCTTTTTGTGGATCTGCTACTACCACCACCACTGCCACCACTGCCACCACTACCTCCACCGCCGCCACTACCGCTAGAAGCTTGGCCTTGAGTTCCTCCGTCCGGCGGCATATATATATTTTGCAGGTCGTTTTTGCTCTCTTATCTGCGACTCACAGACCCTTGCGATGTTCTCAGCACCAACAGCATCTCGATCAAAGTATGCTTTACAATTTCGGCAGTACTTGGATCGAAAAGGAACATTCTCCAATATACTGTCACAGTGAGGCCGTGGACACTTGGCAGATGTGTAGTATTCATGACAACCTACAATGGGGTAGTCTAGAGATTTTGCCTGTTCGAGCCAGATTTAATACTCGTTAAAAAAGAGACTCAAAAATTGAATGTCATTGATCAAGGGATTTTTTTTTTACCTTTTCAACAAGCTTCTTCATCAATATCCCATGCTTCGATACTTGTCCTCGGTTTGTCTTGAATGATCCTAGTCCAATACAGATCACCGCATTCGTATTGGCATCTCTTCTTCTTCCATTGCTTCCGCCCGCAAGCTTCAGAATTGCCTTGATCACATAATCAACGCATCCGTTCTGTGCTTTTCTAATATCCCAGCTATTCCGAACAAACCACCCGTCATTATAGAAATCGACAAGCGCCCTATATATAGTCTCCCTATTGTCGTCACTGGTCCCAGATCCACTGCTACTACTGGCCTCAACTCCACTGCTACTACCGGTCCCTGCTCTACTGGCCCCAACCCCACTACCAGAGAAACTACCTCCAGTACTTGATGGAGCTTGATTTAGCGCAAGCTCATATAAGCGGAATACTGTGTTAAAGTAGGCCTTGAGAATGACGGAATATTGCTTTCAATCTCTGTAATTCCTCTTCTAAGCTTTCGCCTCTCTAGCTCGCCCTGAAACTTCTTGGATGGTTTGTAAAGGTACGCTCTAGAAATCCGGAGGATCTCACGTTCGTTAGGTTCCCTTGGATCCAACTTTGCAATTGTCATCGAGTACCTCTCGCCTGGATCGATCCCAATGATAATGGTACTTTCGGGGGGAGGGCATGCTGCCTGGGTGTCATATTTAACTTCTACATTCTCGAGGAGACGGGATCTCTGCTTCCAGTTGATCTCACGCCGGGGACTGGGACTCACCGGGAACAGTGGATTTGTGCTCGATGTACCTTCTTCAGCTGCTTCTTCTCCCTCTTCGCCATCTAAGAATGGTTCATCAACTTCGAGCAAGTCAATATCGCTGATACCCAGCAAGATATCGTCATCTTCATTTCCGTCGTCGTCTCCATCATCACCACCATCACCTGCACCATGGCCTGAAGACGAGGATCCCTGCTGAGCACTTGAAGAAGCCTGGACTGCTTGAGATCTTTGAGTATCCGAAGGTTGGGCAGCTTGCGAACCTCTACCTCTTTTTTGCTTCGATGTATCATAGGCAAGAAGTGTTAGGGTAAGGCCGTTTGTAAAGAACGATGTCCGTAGTTTCCTTCTAGGGCCATCATCAGATTGCAGTCCAACGTCCTTGTATCCTTTCAAGGAAAACAGCTCCTGCAACAATATCCCCTTGTGGCTAAGGATCTTGTCCTCCGCAGCCCCCTTGGTACTCATGTTTAGTTCCAACAATTGGACTATCTCCTCTCGAACTGTTGGGTTAGACCATAATACTCATGAAGACTTTCGCATGACTCCATTGTCCGCTTGGGGGGCCTCATTGTATCGTTTATTGATTGATTGATGTGATATAGTGATGATAATATTCGTCGTATGATTGAGGCAATCTGAGTTGATTCGTTCTACAGCCTGACTAACTTGATCTTTTTCTGTACAGCTCGACGAGACTTGATTTGTCGCATCATTTGCTTGTCTTCTTGCGTTCCCTTGATGTATTTGGGTTGATAATCACTGCTAATAGAGTTTGTTGGGCCTGTTGAAACCAGAGGGAACCACAGCAACATATCATACCCAAGGTGATACAAATATCTCTGTTGGAGTGAGTGATGAACTGTGTGTGGTTCAGATGTAGTGGACATAAACGGCGAAAGAATGCATCGAAAGGATGTGAGCGGTTATGAGAGCAAGGAAGAAGGGGTTGGTATGCCTGTTCAAGTCCTTGGCAAGAGAGCATGAGTAGCAGTTGTGATCAATGGTATAGCTTCTAGACCCTATCTTCCACGTACAGCATTGCATTATTGTTGTTTTCAGACCTGGCACCAATCATGCGAGGTATTTCTTTTTCTGAGGGTTCCTTGTGTTAAACGGCCAGACAGAAAGCTTAGAAGAGATACAGACACAACGGTGAAAAAAATGTATGTGAGCAAACAGTTGCTGTGTTTATTTGTTGTCTGCATATGCCTTCTTTTATCGCGGGCTTTTTTTTTATTTGGCAAATCTTTTTCCTTTTTTGTTCGTCAATCATTGTGTGCACGAATAAGCAGCTGAAGCATCTCTTTTGTTTCTGTACATGCACAAACACATTTTGCTAAAACACAAGCCTTTTCCATTGATGCCTCCAGAAGAAATGAACAAACTTTATTTTGGCGATCACTCCATAATCAAAAATACTTCTAGGAGAGGATCAAACGCGTCGGTATTAATCTCGCTTCTGCTCTCCCTCCTTCCACAAGGCGCTGCACAATATCACCATTAACAGGGCGTCGTCTAGTAAGGAAAGGTACTAAGATAGTTCTTACTACAAGCAATAAGCGCATGCAACTACATCACTCCTATCTCCACCAATGATGCCGGAACCCGAGAGCCAACGAATATCTCTGCTTTAACGCAAAAGTGCTGGAGCTGTTGGAGCAAAGAGCATCATATGAGGCCATTCTCTGATAAAAAGAAGAAAGAAGACTTTTTTCTTTTGTTGTTACCTTTGACAAGGATGTAGCCACCTGTTTCAAATCAGTTCCTACAGACCGAGTCAAATCTACCCATGTATTCACCACAGGAGCACAAAGATATAACTTTGTGTAGAGAATCCTCATGCATATTCTGCAGTCGATTGCTCTCTATTAAAGCTCTCTATTTTTTTTATTGTTCGATGAGCTTTTCTTGCCAGAGAACAATGGAGTGGGAAAAAAAAAAAAAAAAAAAAAAAAAAAAAAACAGACTTCCTTACGTCCCCCCTCGGTATGTGTATCTGTCTGAACACGTCCTAACTGACATCCTCTCGACAATCCTCCCAAGGCTGCAGTGTTTGAATGTGTACAGGGAACAAAAGAGGTCTAGATACAGGCTCTCTTTGTGACATTGAAGGAGATCGCATGTTTCATGGCTATCGAGACAAGGTACCCCTACAGGCACAAGACAAAGGTATAACTCGGTTCAAACCCAAAGGGACGATTCTACCAATGGCCTTGTTCTGAATCCACTTGCCTATGGCACAATCCAGACGAAGAGATAGCAGCAGTCTGACGTAGATGAAGAAGATCTCAGCCAGGGATTGAAACTTTCACAAGGGTTCCTTAACACGGCGTGTTTTAAAGGCAGCCGGTGAAGACCTGACTGATGAAGACTACGCAAACATAAACTGGAAGAGGAGCCCCAAACTTCTTGAAAACGTTGGACTCATATTCCATGAGCTAGGGCGATGCTCCATAGCTTGAGCTTTATCGGCAATTCTCTTTGATGTCCTCCTTGCCTGTGGTTCTTTGGGCTTGCTTCCTTCTCCCTCATCCTCCACAGCTCGAGTCAATTCTGACTTCTTGAGGGACTCCCTTGCACTTTCAAGGAAGTTCAACAAGCTAATATTGAGTACGTCGTTTATATTCGTTTGTCTTTGATGGTAGGAACTTCTTTGACTTTAGCTAGCGAATAATCACCCTGTTCGTGATAAGACAACATGATAAGGCAACGTGATAAGTAAGGCCTAAACAACAGCAACAAGGATATGCCATTCGAGCAAAAGCCGAGAGAAGACGGTGATGAGAGGTGTTCTTTGATGCAATTATGGCAAGGTGTATTGTGGGCATCCTTAATTCTTGACCTTATCGCCGATTTTTGACTGTACGGAACCAGGATAATATTTACCCTCCGATTCCAGTACAAAGACGATATCTGGTCCAGATGGGTTCTCTTTTGGAAACAAAAAAGAGCGAGATTAACTTGGATTCATGTATTGAGTCTTTGTTACAGTGAGTATCCAATAATTCGTTCATTGTTATAATTCTGGAAGATTGAAATTAACAAAGCGGGACTGAAATACTCAAAATGTGTGCCCTTTGTGCCAGACGTAGGGGCGTCTAGCAACACACTATTAACCAATTTAACCAATCAAGGGTCATCCACTTCAAACAAGTTAATTGCTGCTATAAATGCTATTGGCTCAACGATTATTGTAAACTCCTTCTTCCTTTGATTAACGACAATTCGAGCAAACGAAGCCTCGACCGGAACAGGCTCATTGTACTCCAATATCAAGTCTTTACTATATAGTAATCTATTCATTCTTTACGGCTCGACCGAAGGTTTCCCTGATGTCGACAGTGGTTTTAATTCCTGCATCCCCTTTGTTAATACGCTTCAGAATCCTAGATTACTCATGGCATAGGTTACCAGATTCTTTATATCCTGGATCAGTGAGCGACCACACCAGGCCCTTGATTTCTTGCTTCCAAAGGCCTGCATCGGCACGTCCAATGACGCTCTCTATTATAGTGATCATTGGACGGAGACGACCACAGGACCAAGCATATAGCATCTCGATTGCTTGATCATTAAAATGGCCTCTCCGCTTTGATGCAGAGCTTGAGTGACTTTATTTCTCCAAATATCGCACAAGTGTCTTGAAGTATGTCCGGACTTTTGCTTGATTATCCCATCTAGGAAACGATACTGCACTCTTGAACCTCGAGTCATCGAGAATTTCTCGATATTCCTTGAAGCTTTGCCAGTTCTCTTAACCCAAGCAGGATCATAAATACAAAAGCCTATCCCGCAAGGAACTATGCAAATTCGTGGTAAATCCTCTGATAAGCCCTCCAATCCATGAAAGAATGCTGATAATATTGGTCGCATAGTGTCGTCGTTATTAATAAACTGGTATTTAGCCTCCCCTCCCCACATCCTGCGCCTCGTTCAAAACAACCAAAAACATAGAGTTGCTTTGATGCCGCTCCGAAAGGACCCTGATTAGATTGTCGAACCAATCTTGCAGGAGCTTGTCAAGGCAATTAAAGCCAACTCCACCAAGCAATTCTGCTACTTTTGTGAAGAACGCTAGGAATAAATCTGTCCTGGATGGAACCGAGTTTCCTCAATGGACTTCTCCAAGGACCTGTGGACACACTTGCAATAGCATCCATTGGCTAGGCGTCATTCTACCTTCGGACAAGTAAAAAGGGTAAATTGGCCGAACATACAACTAATATGATCTCATTGGCCACAGGTTGCCATCCCGTGCACGCGCACCATGGGACATTTATGTCTTTAGAGTGGAGCTGTCATCCTAGCTCCCGGTAAACGTTTTGGCGCCCTGGATGATGATAATTGATAGGTCTTCCGCAAGTGGCAAGCATCCAGATGACAAAGCATACGAGAAAGGATAATTTCCTATGCCAGCTGTCCTGGTGATAATAATATGGTTTTGGGTCTCATCATCAGACTCTCACTGGGTTCTCCACAGGATTCTTCATCTCTATCCGTTTTTACAAAACTCTTTGATAATAGTATCACAAAATCCTGCCTTTTCTTGCACACAAGATCGCATAATGATCACAGCTTTATAAAGTTCTAAATGCCCCAAGTAGAAGGGAGGACGGATTAAACCGCTCTATTTATTCGTCTAGAAGGTAAGTGGATAATGATGGCTTCATTCATAAAGAATGAACCATTGTAAAAATTTCTCAAGGAACGGGTATAATGCTTTTTTTAAAAAAAGACAAAATTTCATCCACTTGATTGCTATTCGATTTAATTCTTCAGATTCGTACCGGCTGATCCTCCTGAATATGCAGCTTCGATGTCGATTTTTATGACACGCTGTCTTACATGTTTTAAGCATTTATATGGCTTCTTGACGACCGTATTTCTGGCGGTAAGAAAGTTCTGAACTTTAAAATCGTTATATACGTCTCCTGGCACCACAAAATAGAGGAAAATATCATCACTTCCCTTCGACTTTGATCGGTCTCCCTTCGACTTTGATCGGTCTCCCTTCAAGCAGGGTCCAGTAATACAATCAATCATCTCCTTGAATGGTGCTTGCTTGATCGGATGCCCCTCTGATACTGTGACCTGAAATAGCTCGTTGGGTCCCAATGCAAAATCAATGCACGGAAATTTAGAATGTTCTGGTACAAACAACTTGCCAGCTGCTTGAGTGAGCCCTGATAATCCCTCTGAAGTCCGGATAAACACCTCTTCTGGATTTGCTGGAAATCAAGAAATCCTGTTTCGCCTGACTGGAGATCCCTAAAGGGAAATCTAATATCACCACGTCGAAATAAGTGATGAGCATAGATTTCAAACAGTGGGCCTTTATCTATATCCTCTCCGCCTTTGACAAGTCTCGCCAACACATCGACCCAAGTGTTATCTTTTATTTTGTCCATAATCTGTGATTCGACCCAACGAGATGCCCACACCAGGTAGAAGTCGAGATGGTCAGAAGTGGGGACTCTATGGAGTAAACGACTAAATTCACTCGCTTCTTTTCCCCGTGCAAAGAGCCTTAGAAGATCTGCTGGTTTCTCGAGTGTTTTAATGGCATTATTGACGCGGAATAACGCAGCCTCTTTAGCACGCTCAGTATTTTTTTGATTTTTGGATAGTACATCGGCTGGACACTGTAGAACCTGTCTTGGCACGCCCCCCAAGTAGTAAAAAAGCTCCTCCAAAAATGCTTCACTCACTACATGAAAAAACTTTACATTGGCTCTACATTCCTTAAGCTCATCCAGACTCCAGAGTGACATATGATAGTAGCTATCTGGTGTATTTTCCTTGGTGAGTTCATCGTAATGCCCATAGAGAGTTCTTGGCGATGCTGAAAATATCGTCCTGGCTTTACCTGGTTGAGGATTTTCACCACTATCAACTAAATACCACGTTTCACGTTGCTCAAGGAAATTTTTGAAATCTACTCTCTCCCCATAACGTTGGCAAGTTGTTCCTCCGTAGGCATAACATTCGGTATTCTGCTTCTCATGGAAAATAATAATCGGTGGATTTTCCTCATCGTGTTCGGCAAGGAGGCGGATGGCAAAATAGACCAAAAAGGCTGACTTCCCAATTCCAGGCGTTCCAGTGACAAAGAGTCGGTTCAAACGAGTTACTTCATGAGGGGTACTTAATTCGGATGTAATATGGTCATAAAGCTCTTTATACTCATCTCTGATATAAAGATGCCTTGTTCCGGCAACAGGGAAGATACGACCCTCAGGGGCAGTCAATATTTTGGAATCCTTGATACCACCAGAATTTCGGAGCTCGCGAGCCACGCTAATAATGCTGCAGTAAATACTATCTCCTGATAACCCCTCCTCCATGTACAAAAGCAGCTTGACCCTCTCTTTCGAGTTTAGACGCGAGATGGCAGGGCTACCATTCACTATCCCTTTCGTTACAAGCCCTGCTTCTGTAATCGCATCCATAAGAGGATCTCTACTTATACTTGGACGAGCTTTTTTAGAGGGTGACTCTGATAAAGGAGATAGAGTGATCAAAGTCAATATTTTTGATTTCTGCACTGCACATCACTCTGAATTGATCAATAACCAGGTTCTCAGCCAAACTCACCAGAATCTCCATCTTGTTTTCTTTTCTGAGCTAAGTATCAAAAGCGAATAATGAGAAAGAACGTTGAGTTATCAAGACACAAACCAAATGGTGATATCATGCACATGGCCGTTTAAGATATAAACCAAGCTTCATCAGCTGGAAATATCAACAATCAGTCCATCAAGAGCCAAAGATATACCTCGCTGTGGTGGCTTGACAAAAACATGGATAGTTTTCCTTGGAAGTTCAGAATTAAGTATCTCCCAAAGCTCCATTGACGCGATTGTGAGAGCCTCTTTTGACTCGATTCCTGACTCAAAGATGACCTCACCTTTGTCAGGGATGGAGACCTTGTAGAGGGTGAGCTGGTCAGCGTCAATATCCTTAAATGCATTGGCTTTCTCTGCTTTGATGGCTTGCTTGAGCATCCCGACCGATTTATCGCAGAAAATCTCTACTGGGAACGACGTTGCTTCTCCCTCAACAACGCAGTTCAGCTGCAGCAGCAGTGGGATGGCGCGCTTTTTTCGTTGTGGGTGTTGGTTTTCTCTTTTTCGTTTATTGAGTGTGGAGGCATCCTCAGGCTTATTTGCAGCCATGTTTTTTTGTGCTTGGCTCTCTGTGGAATCATTTGCAGCCATGTTTTTTTGTGTTGAGCTCCTTGTGGTGGCCATTGAAAATTAAGATGAGTGAGACTGAGTGTGGTTGAAATGCAGGGAGAATGATGGCTAAATAGGCAAAAGTATATTCTTACTCTTTCACCCGTGGTCACGGTATGGAAACAATAATGAAAAATGTGTAAGGCAAAAAAAAAAGAAGGAAAGGAAAAGAAAGGCAATAAATGAAGGCTTGGAATGAATAAAAGAGGTAAGTGGTGAAATATGAAAAAGGTGGCGAAAATGAAGTGGAGCAAAGGAAAGAAAGGAGCAACTGATAAATTTGTTCCTTTATTTCAAGGTTAGGCTTTGCGTGAGAAAATATTTTTTTCAAATCAGCCACGTGCCATTTTCTGGGTCATTGTGACGTGACAATCCTTAGTGCTCAGATAAACGTTTGTTCACACTCTACTTGCTCATTCCTCTGCTTACAACTGCTCCCCAGGAGGACTGAAATGATCATTGAAGAGGACATTTGAAAAGGATTATAAATTTGAATTTGCCACATGTCAACTGATCACTTTTTCCGCTTTTACTATAATACAACTTTGATTACAGTTTATGATAGCCTTAAAAGCTTCTATTGCAAATGAGCCCCTAAGAACGATGCAGGACTGTTGTTAGAATGTCCACTGAAAGTTAAGTGGACCACTATAAAGACAATCGTTAACATATTGTCCTCACTTTGGGCCACATTAGACTAAACTAGACTAGATTAATTAAAGCATCGACAAACAAGATGTTTGCAGAGCAGAGGGTCGACCATGTCGCTCTTTTTAGTAGACCTTTTCAAATATAAAAGGTTTACTTAACAAAACTCTTGTAAATAAAAAGGACTAGCCAAAAAGAGCGATAAGGTCGATTCTATGTTGTAGAGCGTTCAGTCTTCTTGATCATGACGGACCGAATTAACTTGTTATGCTTGAATAATAGAGCTTTTCTTGTAACAAAAAAAAAAAAAAAGCAAGTGGAGAACTAGAAGGACCATATGCAAAGAGAGTTATAACTAGCACCAAAGTCCAGTCCATTGATTTAGTGCTTTCTAAGAAAGATCAACCCAAGTTCTGCGCCTTGCTTGTTATACCCAGAATACATATTAGTATGAGTACTTACTTCACACTCTTGTGCCCTTTGGTTCATCACCCTTCTGTTCCTTGGCGTCTCTCTCACGATTAACTACAGTATGTTCGCCACATGTTTCCGTATTGGAACCAAGTTCTTTTATAGCGCTTCCAAACTGCTCACAAATATTTCCTTTCAAATCTTGAGGATCCACGCTATTCAGGAGTGCTAGTCCAGGCGAGTTTTAAAGATCTTTCTTTGGAGGTTTTTGTCAATTATAAGCCTATTACTTAACTAGTCCTTTGTAATTGACAGCAGAAAGGATTGTAGCGCTGTCAGAGACACTCAAGATCAACAGAACTTTGGCCAATATGAAAGTATGGATCAGCCCATCTGGGAAGGAAGGAGCTTTAGTGCTGTTGGAAGCACTCAAGACTAACAGGGCTTTGACTGCCTTGAACTTGGGTACAACTCAATCGGAGATGAAGGGATCCTTGCACAGTCAGAGGTACTCAAAGCCAATACGACTCTGGTCGCTTTGGACTTGGCTAGCAACTCATTTGGGAAGGAAGGAGCTCTGGAATTATCAGAGGTACTGAGGATTAACACAAGTTTGATCAGAGTGAGCTTGTGGGGCAATCCAATTGGGGACGGGGGAGTTTTTGAATTATCAGAGATACTCAAGCTAAATACGACTCTTAATGAATTGAACATAGGGAATAGCTCAAGACCTATGACGCTATCAGAGGCGCTCAAGGTTAACATCGCTTTGAAGACTGGTCTTGCGGACTAACTTAATTGGGAATGAAGGAACCATTGCATTGCCGGAGGCACTCAAGATTAATACAGCTTTGACCAGATAAGTTTGATGTATAATCCGTTTGAAATTGAAGAATTTCTTGCAATGTCAGAGGCGCTCGAAGCTTTCTTGATTTTGGATTTGGATATTAGTTTAGGAAACTTTAGTACTTCTACAGACGCTCAATGCTGACATACCAGCTTTGATTTTTTTTTTTTTCTCATCCGGGATTTGGTCATTGAAGTTGTGTAAGGGCTCGATTTAAATAAAAAGCTAGCTTATGGCAGCAAGGCAGCCATATCGACATCACTTATTGATCTCTCGATGTCTGCTCTTGCTCTCACTTGCAATGAAGTTCCCGCATATCAGCATTGTCGTAAACCCATTTGCAATACTGAATATCGTCTTAATCTAATTAGCGAGAGCACAGCTTCCTACGATGATAAACCATGTATTGACGATCAAATAACACAACGCGGGAGAAGTAAGAGTACTTCTTTAAGCCTTGGAAATGAGGAAATCGGTAAGAAAGAGTGTCCAAGGAACTTGAGATTCCAACCATATCGGCTCAGTTTACATATTAAGAGAGACCACATAAAGACTTTGGCAAGCTTTTCATCCATTGCATTGCCACCAACATGAATGTAGCAATTTCGAAAGTGTGTATCAGCTACTTCCAAGTTTTCATGTCGGACCCCACTTGTGAGATTATGCATCTTTTATATATATAAAAGGACTGAAAAGTAGTCAATTTTATTGAAAATGGGTATAATGAGCTGGACTATTTCAGTCTTAATGATTTATAATACTTCAGAGCTTGGAGCGCACAGGCTCAAGCCTGAATTTGATTTCCTTCATTGTCTTGGACACTGGATTCCACTCGTCATAAAGCTTTTTGAGCCGCTCTACTTCCTTGTTAAGAACTTCATTATCCATTGCCCTGATCTCATCTATAACTCCTCGCATTCCCCATGGCAGATAAAAAGGATTTAGACCCTGTTTGGCTCGAAAGGGTGAAAAAATTGGTTCACTCCTTATCATTTCTGACGTTAAACTCTCAGGAGGCTCCAGCAATGCACGAATAGCAAGCCTATTAGACAGATAAAAATGAAACAGTGTTGTTAATTTTTTTTTTTTTTTTTTTCTTTAAAAAAAAAAGATAAATGAGTAAACATACATGTAAACCTCGCGCTCTTCATAAATTGTGGAGTGTCCTTCGCCATAGATACTTCCGGCCACTGCCTCGCTCAAATGCACTAATACTCCATGATCATTCATCCCCGAGTTCCGAAGCCTCAATGAAAATGAAATTAAATTTGTCAGGAAGTCATCCTGATAACTGGCTCCATCAATGTATACCGCACGCACAATCGATGGATGATGAACTGCGGTCATGACTGCAGAGTAGAGTGGCACAACTTGATCTTCCATGGAAGCCACCAATGTAAGCCGGACACCAGATGTCAAAATCACCTCCAGAGCTTCACGGTATTTCTTGGCGATCTCCGAGTCAGAATCCATAAATTCAAACAGCTCTTGCGCTGCTTCTGCCTCAAACCATCGGACAATCAAGTTGCCTTTCAAGAAAGCGAAAGGGCCATGTGAGATCCCAGCCATGGCAAGAATCCCTACACGTTGCATCTTGGGATCATCCTCTCGAACACGCAGCATGCCTTTATCAATGAGTCGGGCCGTGAGAAGTGCGCTTGTGGGAGTCCCTTGAGAGTGTGTTGCGATTAATACTACGTCAGCTTCCCGTAAAGCCTTTAACCATGCTCCATTCCTAACCAAATTTTCATAAAGTATCTCAACTCTGCTCATGACCTTGCCCTCGCCTTCTAATGGGATGAGCGTGATATCCTCGGGCGCCAAATCGACATCATGCATCTTGAGGTAGTCCTTGAGTGCCAAGTCCATTTCATCACAAAACTTCTTGCTGGTTCCCGTAGGCTCACCAATGACTGTACGAATGAGCTTCACAGGGAACCAGCCATGTACTCCTATAATAGCGACTTTCTTGATGCCGTTTGCACCTTGATGAAGTGCGTCATTTTTAGATGCAGCGGGATCGGAAGGCGTCGCTGCTGCTGACTTAGAGAACAGCAATGAACTTATAGCATTGACGGCACTCTTCATTATGGATGATGACCGCTCATGTTTTGGCTCCTCGATCGAAACGTCTGTGTGGCCGATCGGCATCGTGAGCAAGCTTTGGCGAACATCTGGATATTGTTCGTAATAGTCCGGTAATACCACATTCTTCTTTCGGAAAATAACCTTGGAGAGCGAGGCTGCTGCTTTTCCAGCTTCCTTAATGATGCCTCCATCAGAGCTATCGCGATCTTTAAACTGAGAAAGTGTTGGGCCTTTATAGCTATCAATAGAGTCTTCCTTTGTGGCCAATGCCTTTTTAGTACGTTTAGCTTCTACGAGCTCGGCTAATGTTCGTCTAGTGGATTTTTCGTCCATACTCATAGTTTTGTTTTCATCCTCTTCAGCGTCTGTCTCTTGATAGTTAGAGTCCGGTGATTCGGAAGAAGTTGTAGCTTCCTCTGTCTTATTTCCATAACCTGGGATGATAGACAGCCAACTATAGGTACTTGAAACAGTACCGTTAGAATTAGGCCCTGTAGACTTATTTTTGCTCTCAGATACAGCAGCTCCAGGTGGAAAAACGATGTTGACGTCTGAGGTTCCAACCAGTGCCGGGGCGACCGATTTACTTTCCTCTGATGGGTGGGCAAGCTCAGTTTTGACTGAGGTCGGCGTGTGTGCTAATGCCTCTTCAGATGCTGATCCGACTATTACAGTGCTCGACCCCGCAACCGATGATTTCTCATCATCCAACGAATCGCGATCTTGAACCCCTTTTTGTGCTTCCTTCACGCTAGCAGGCCTCGATTCCGACTCGATCAAAACGTCACCGCTTTTGCGAAGTTTGTTGGGTTGCACAGTCTCGTGGCCACCTTCTTTTGCACCATATCCAAACAAAGACCAACGTTTCTTACTGCTATTTGTCTGAGAACTGGTGCCTCCGAGGTCTTCGGCATGAGTGGGAGCTATGGCGAGCCCGTGGCTAGAGCTTGGACTAGTTTCTGTTTCCATCGGTAGTTGCTCCTGTGGCGTAGTTGCGGGGCTAGTTTGATTTGGATCTGTATCTCTAATTGGGGTTGATGGTTCCGTTGCAGCCTTATTATCATGATTAGCCGCTAGTTTGCTCCACAGAATGGACGCCAGTAAACCCTGAGTCGATGAAGCCGATCCACGCCGTCCTCTTGAAGACGCCAAAGCTTTATTATGTTTTACCATGGAAGCAGGAAATGTAGCCGAAGGTGAAAAGGAAGAAGGTAGCGATGAAGAGGATGGATTTTTCGTATTTTGCTTGCGCGCCTCAGCTTCCTGAATAAGCCTTGCTTCCGGCCCAGATGGCTCCCAGTCCATGCTATCAGGTGCTTCAGCTCCGGATAATGTGGTGATACCAGGAGAGGCAGTTGCTAATAAAGAGGATGGGAGAATTGTATTGCTTGCGGTGGATGTGGATGTGGTTGCAGAAAGCTCCTTGTGAGTTTCCTCGTGGCTAGGAGAGTTATTCGAATTGGTAGGATCATCAGGACTCGTGGTGTTTCCATACCACCAAGTGGTTAAGACACCCAAAGATGATCGGCTCTCGTTCGTGTTTTCTTTGTTGGTGTTTGTAGGTTGCTCTAAAGGGGTGTCTTGTGGGGATGAGGATGTTTGGTAGGATGTCGATTCTGTCTTCGAGGTATTTTCTGGAGTGATTGTTGGCGATACAGCTGTGAATACATGTCCTTCAAGAACAGTTCCGATGAATAGTGGTGCGGCTATGAAAGATGGTGTTGAAGTAGTGGATTCTACTGTTGTTGACTTTTGGGGTATGAGCGATGGCTCCTCACAGTGCATTATTTGGTCAGCAACACCTTTGGCTGTCTCCGTCTCTGATCGGGCAGTTGTGCTTCCTAGTGATACATTGCTAGATTTGCGGATAATACTTTGCAGCGATTTTGAGGCACCACCACCAACTTTGTCGCCAACGGAGGTCTCTACTTGTCCGCTGCTACCATCCTAAATGATAGGCATATTCAAGAAATAACCTGATGAGTAAACAGGGGCGATTCTAGATTTGTAAAAAATTAATTATGCTATGACGTACAGCTACTGAGACTAATGCTTCGCCCTTGCTGCCTGATGCTAAAATGAGATCGACAATAGCTGGTACAGTTTTGCCTGTAGAAATGTTTGAAACTGAATGCAACGAGGTGCTCTCCTTGAGTGAGCCATCCGTTGGCGAAGTTGGGGAGGTCTTGGAGTCTGGTGAACTCATTATCTGGATTAGGTGAATATATAAAACTGCTCTATTGACGGCACTGATGTGTAATAAACTAGATATTGATAGGGGTGGATATTCAATTGTATTGTTGAAATAAGGATGCGTAAAAGAGAGAAGTAAGGAAGTAACAATGAAATGAAATGAAATAAAATGAAATGAAATGAAAGACAAATATGGTATAGATGAAATGCAATTGATGCATTAGTTGAATGCTTCTTCTACCATGTCAGAAGAGCAACCAAACTGGAGTTTTTCGCACGTGCATTTTTTTTTCTATTGCATCATAAATTGATTTTTTTTGAGTGAACAAAAAAAATGACTGATCACGCCTCAACAGCAAAGTTATCAGCCTTGACGTATCTTTGATCTTTTTATAGCGTTTCATGACGATATAATCAAATAAATCCACTTTGCCACCATAAATTAAAATCGTACATCTTAAGCACGCGACCTCGCCAATGGTGATTATTGACATGCTTGCAAAGAAAATACATAAAAAACACAAGCTAGTCTATGCAATATGCAACGAGTAATGTAATGATTTGGTCCCAACGAAAATTATATTTACATTCAAATTAGCCTCCACGGCGCAAACGATCTAGCTCGCGCTTCAAAGCTTCATTTTCTCTTCGTAGACTCTCATTCTCTCTCATCGCTAAATGAAGCTGTCGATCCACTGGTATTGGGGCAGAGCCAAAATCCTGTCTGTGTACCGATCCACTGGTGCTCGGCTCATGATGTGGAGCTTTGCTACTGGATAATGATCCAGGCTTCAAACCGAATCCTGCAAACATCTCTGTAAGGATTATACGTTGTTGTTCATTCTGCCGATATAGTGAATCAAGATGTCCGTACATCGCCTGAGCGCCTGGAGCATCTAGCAATGCGGGTTGGCCGCGCAGCAACGATCCTGTTGGTGAGGTCGTGGGTGTAGAATGCACTGATCCTGCTACATCAACTAATATGAGGATTAGAGTAACAAAAAAATTAGTTTCTTTACTAAGAATTATCAATTCAATCAAAATCACAAAGATCAAGATCAGCAAAATATACTAGCCTTGTTCTCCTGCAGGGCGGCTGCCTTCAACATTTGTTACATGGAAACGACTCCGTTTACTTTGAGCGCCTGCTTGTCCGTTTAAGGGGGTTGGCGTCCCTGTTCCTGTTAATACACCTGCAGCAGCTATATGTCCCACTGAATTTTCTGAATGAGTAGATGTTGGCTCGACACTGAATCGAGAGATACGTGCCGCAGAGTTGTCTCTTGTCAATCCAGTGTCGCTTGCAACTTTTGATTGTGAGGGCTCCCTTGACAGAGGTGTGCCATGAATTACTGATGGTGCCGGCGAATTTGTGTATGTTCCGTTGGTTGATGTCAGCGTGCTTAATGCAGGGGCACTGTGAGTATGATTGACCTCAAAACGAGACTTGCGTTCTATAGTTGAGGAAGAGTTAGAATATTGAATGATAATAGTTACTTGGACCTTTCATAACTCTCCACATTTCATATCTCAAAGTCATACCTAAAGGTGTTGTTGGCTCTAATGGGGCCCCAATACGGACACCATCATGAGCACCTTCTACAGGCGAGGAGGTCTGGCTACGAGAAGGAAGCGAGAGGCTCTCATTTGGCGTAGTCTTGATGCTTGACGGCAGTGGCGACACTGTGCCAGAAGATGTATCTTTGACGCTAAATCGTCCCTTCTTCACTTCCAACGGAGTCCCTTGTTCAATAACGCCATGGGAAACACCAAGGCCCTGCAGACTGTGTCCTATTTGAGGCACAGGTGCAATTGGGGTTGGAGGGCCGGAGATCCGAGGTGATGGTGGAACGTCTGTCGCATGAGGAATTGCAGGAGATGATGCTATTGACGTATCTTCTACAACAAATCTAGATTTTTTAACTGGTTTATCGCTAGCATTGCTTGATGGCGGAGCGCTGGTTTGAGATGAAGGCGCCTCCTCCAGCAAGGGATCAGCAGTCTTATTTTCTATCGCAGCTACTGCAGGTGTTTCAATGGAAGGCGTTGATCCTGTTGTCACCACTGATATTGGGCGGCTAGCCAAAGTTTCAAACGTGACAGTCTTTGGACGGCGTGCAAAGTCATCCTCAGTGGAATCTTGGATAGGATTGGTATCAGTATCGTTATCATCAAAGTTCCATGAAATGCCTTTCTCTGGTACGACGGGCTTTTTCTCCGGCTCTATACCAACCAGAATAGGTCTAATAGTTAGCAACTCGAACTATAATCAAGATTGTGAGACGACACGCTGGGATATTTTCTCCATACTTCTAGGGGATCTTTGCTCGAGAGGCGGAAGATTGTGCAGTAAAGCCGTAACGAGATATGACTTCTTTTTAGCCTGTTTGAAAAATGAATGGCTCAAAAGTTTCTCGGCTGAAGGTCTAGTAAAAGAGAAAATACATACCGTTTAATACCTAACCATACAGCTAAGGATAGAATTACAATAGCATGTGTGTGATAAACGTTACCGCCTTGTTGGGTCCTTCTGCAGGCAACTGTCAATCATCTCTTTAAATACTTTTGAGTATCGATGCTTAGTAGACTCGCGATCAAGCGTAGGGGGATCATTTGAGAGAGTAAGCATTAGGACCTTTGGAGATGGTGGGATAGACAGAGAAGAGAAGAAAAAAAGCTTGTATTAGGTGATGGTGCAAATGTAGGCTTTAAGACAATAGGAAGAGGAAAAAAGCAATCAATCATGGCTGAGTACCTTGATGGGTGGATACTTTGCAAACGGAGCATGTCCTGTAGCCAATTCAATGGCTGTGATACCAAAGCTCCAAATATCCGCCTTATAGTCGTAACCCGCCTGTTCCATTACTTCGGGTGCCATCCAGCAAGGAGTGCCGACAAATGTTTTTCGCATGCCTCGTCTGTCCCCTGTCTCCATCAGTGACGATGAAACACCAAAGTCCGCCAATAAAACTGATCCATCATCATCCATTAGTAAATTGCCGGCCTTAACGTCTCTATTATTGGCCAGTCAAAAAAAAAAAAAAAAAAAAAAAAAAAAAAAAGGACATGTTTATTAGCATTTTTTTTTTTTTTTTTTTTTTTTTGATATTAAACGACAATTGTTCACATCCAGCACTGGAATGTTATGTTTCACATCCCAAAGGCGACCGATCTGATCGGGGTTTGGATTTGGGGGAATCAAACACATTCAGTTATCCAGTCCATGCAATCATGATGCATTATTACATTTCTATTGTCCGACCGTTTTCTTCTTACCTGTGGATATGACCATTTTTATGAAGGTAATCCAGTCCTTGTAGTGCTTGCTTTAAAATTGTAGCAATACAGACTTCCTCGAATCCATCAGGATAAGCTATCTTCATAATATCTAGGCATGATCCTGGATGGATCAGCATGATGATGAATGTACTTTCCTGTGTTAGTCTACTAGTTATCTTTTTTCAACGATTGCTCATCCTTGAATAAGCCGATGCATTTTGAGTCCTTAGACTTGCCTGCAGAGAGGTATGGAGTAATAATATACAACTTGCTATCCGTCACAAAAGCTCCGTTAACACGCAACACATTGGCGTGTTTACATAATGCCATAACCTGAGTCTCCCTCCGAAGCTCGTCAATCTGGTTCCGTTCAAACATATCAAGGTCAATGACTTTGATCGCAACCCTTTTATTCAAGGGCTTATAATAGGCAATATACACAATTGCTGACGATCCATAGCCTAAATAAAATGTACCATAAAAAAATGCGTCAAGAATTTTTTTTAAACAAAAAAAAAGTTTACTTGTTTAATATGACGTGGCATTGCGATTAGTTTATATTACCAATGGGTGAACGGATGTCATAATCCTCTGGATTATTTGAAAAACTGTCGTCAGGGAGATTTAAGGATGTGGAGCTCATGTTGCCAACAGGCAATAGTGAAGCCGTGCTCGCCGTGGCATGGACACTGTTTGGTCGCTTCAGTGTCCCAGTGGAACCCATGCGCTCCATTTGGAAATAAAATGACGTCTAAAGCGCCTATACAATTGAAAACAGAGAGAGAGAAGAACGAGAAAGAGAAACAAACAAGAGTCATACGAGAATGGTGAGGTCAATGAGGAAACCTTGAGTTTGGCTAATTGAGTGATAGGGGGACAAGCACATCTTTATCGCTATAAGGTTTAAGAAGGCTGTCTTTTAAAAAATAAAATAAAATAAAATAAAATAAAATGTTGTACGAAGGAATTGGTGGCGTTGTAAGCAAACTGGCCAATGTGATGAATGCTCCATGTCTTGTGCTGTCCAGCTCCCTAATGCCACTGCAACAGCAAGGGCGCCAGAACGGAAATGTAATAATTCTGATGGAAGAATAATAGCCGTTGTAACGATCACAAAGCTATACAAAAGATTCTTATATAAACGAGCAGATTTGTGGATTCAATGAGAACAGCGCGTTGGATTGCTGTGATGGCATTTCACAGACTTACAAGTATAATATACAAAAAATATGAAGGGGCCTTGTGGACCTATTTTCTCTGTTTTGTTTATATATATGATACAATGTTGTTGTGAAGAGTAATGAGAGACAAGAGAAGACAATGGAAGAGTAAAGTGTCCAAGAGAAGAGATGATGTATCGCCAAACGTGTAGACGTCGAAGTGGCTCAACAAACATCTTTGAAAAAAAACGCCCTTGTTCAAAGCTGCTTTTAGTGCAAGAGTTGCGACTTCCGGTGATCAATTTTATCGTCAAGTCACGAGCAGGTTTACAATTCTCCTTTCGGAGGAAGGAGAGTTGTTCATTGACAACATTGTTCATTGTAAACTTTAAAAAAACGTTTTCTGGGCACTATGAACTTTCGGGTATCTGAATCACAATCATCAAATAATCGCGTTCTATCACGTTTAAAGATATAAAAAAAAAAAACAAAATGACAGATTGTAAGAATCATCTTTTTGGGAGCATTGGGCAATGCTGGTGCTCACCAGAACAGTATTTTAATCTTTTTCCCTTTTTTTTTTTTTGAAGCGTGTTCCTTACCAGGGCAAATCATGATTTCATGCTTCTTGGTTCTTATCCTAAGAAAAGTCAGTTCGTTCTTTATTTATTCCATCAAAGCCAAGAGGAGACAACTTCAGTCAATACTTGAACGGTGTTCTCGTTGTGGATAATAGTTGAAACATTATATAATATCCAATCGCTATCTCTGACTTACCTGTGCATCCAACTGGGTCACTGAGTCTTTAGCCATTCGAACAAGCTCGGTCATTAATGAGGCATACTGCTTGGCGAGCGTGGCATCCAATGTGGAGCGAATCATTAAACCAAGCTGATTTACAACAACTACGCCTTCGACATTCTTTTTTGATGACAAACGGCGAATGGTCTCCTCAACTTCTGACTATTAAAAACATCGTCAAAGTAGGTAAAGTTCAGCCCGGCTTGGCTTTAGTCAGTGAATCGAGGGTGCCAATCCAGAACGACAAAAACCAATCCCGGTAGTCCTTCTTCTACTTACCATGGTGATGAATGGGTATGAGTGTGAGTGTCCAGACATTTAGGCGTACGATTATATTCCAAATGGGATCGCGTCACGTGCCTTCCTTTACCCAAATTCGAAACTCCCTTCTTTTGTCAAGTTAGCGCCATAGTAGACCGGGTTCATTACTCAGCGATATCAGGCGATGGCTCAGTAGCTTATTACCATCTCATTGTACAAAAGCCATCAAGAATCTGCATCCAGTCGCAATCACAGATTTCAATTTTATTTCGTCCATTTATTGAGTTGGATAAGGGCGTAGAGTGTAAAAAAGGGTAACAGAACAGAGTATTTGAACAAGAAACTGGGAGATCAAAACAAAATGGAGGGGAATACAATGTAGAAAATGATATAGAAGTAGGTGAATAAAAAACAAAGTTGAGGAATTAGAACGAAAAGTGAACTAGTGAAACAAGAAATGAGTACACAATAAGAGCTTATTGCATGCTGTTGGGGTCGAAATGGAAGCCGCCTTGGGGCGCACCAGAGGGGTTGAATGCAAATGTTCCAGTTTGAGCATCAACCTGAGGAGCCAGTCCGGTATCCTCGTCATCCTCCTCAGCAAAATACTTGTCAATGATACCGTATGCTTTCTTGTAAATGTCGGTGTTATCATGCGCCTGCAAATTATGGATCTTCTCCATACCGCCGCAATCTTCGATGTACAAACTAAACTGGTTGACGCCATTGGTGGCCTCCTTTTCCATCTCTCCGACCTTCAAGATATTCTCCAAGCCATCCAATGCAACCTGGATGATCTTGTTATCCATGCAAACCAGAATGTCGCAAAGAGGCTTAATACATCCTTGGCTGACAAGGTATTTAATTTGATAAGGCTTACTGAGAGCCCCCGAAGTGGCGTTGGAAATAGCCCAGCAAGCTTCCTTCTTTGCCTTAAAGTCTGCATTTTGAAGAATATCGATAAGCGGAGGGATAATGTTAGCGTCGATAACGCTCTGAATCTGAATACAGGTTCCCGCAGTGATGTTAGAAATGGTCCAGCAGGCCTCCTTGCGGATGTTTTCCTTGGGGCTTGAGAGCAAGGCAAGGAGAGCTTGAAGGGCTCCAGCGTTAATAATGACCTGCGTCTGGACATCATCACCTGTAACAATATTTCCAACCGAGCGAAGTGCAGGTGTTTGGACAGACGCCATGGGATGCATAAGCAGCTCAACAAGACGACGACAGACGCCTGATTCAATCACGGCCTGAATCTTCTCATTAGAGCCATCAGAAAGGTAAGACATTGCCCAGCATGCATCAATCAGAACTTCGTCGTCGGTCGAGTGAATCAACTTGGCAAGGACGCCAAGAGCAGGAGAAATCTACGACAAAAACCAGTTGGTAAAGTATATTAGTGCAAGAAGGAAAGGAAGGGAATAAAAAAGTAAAAGCATTGCATATGGATCTGATATATTTTCTGTATTCTTACCAATGACCAGTCTGGAGGAGGGTTCTTTCCGCGACAAAAGTTGGACAATGTCCAGGTAGCATTTCTCAACATAGAAAGCTTGTTGTTTTCATGAAGAAGAGCAAGCAGGGGTCTCAGTGCGTTATATCCAAGAACATGGTCACGGCAACGTGGGCTATCGCCAGCAATGTTTCCAAGAGCCCAAACAGCCTACGTAAACAAATTATTACAATGATATTAATAGCAATTAGAGATGAATCATGATACCAAATATCAGTTTTTCCTGTCAGTTTCTTCATACCTGCTCCTTAACATCAGCAACAGGGCTGCTCAACAATTCGACGAACAAAGGAACAGCACCGGCCTCAATGACGTATTGTGTTTGAACTGATGAGCCGGAGGCAATGTTGGTCAAAGCCCAAGCAGCCTCAAACTAATGTGATATTATAATAAATGATATATATATATATTTAAAAAGAAAAAGAAAAGAAAAAGCGTTATAATTATATACTGTTATAGAGGCTATCCAGAAAATATCTCGAGAATCAAGCTGATCATATACCTGAACAACAGCGTGAGGAGAACGCAAGAACTCGACAAACCTCGGGACGACTCCACAGCGAATAACTTCGTCAATAGGTGGATTGCGTTCCTTGGAAAGTAGCTTTCTAAAACGGGTAGTGGCACCAAGCTGTTCCTCGACATTGTCGGACATAACTCCAGCAATCATAGCGGGCAATTGCTCGTGAAACTAACATGTCCAAATAAAAGGCTCCATCGTTAATGAGGTACAAACATATACAAATATGAGCAGATTCGTACGAATATGTACAGAAAAAATAAAACACCGCCACCAAACCATCACCACACAAAAGGCGCCAACTGAATAAACCACTTGTCGTCAACAATTTTTTTTTCTTACCTGAATGTTGGCAGCGGCAACACCCTCCTCCTCCGATTCTTCGGATTCGGCTGCGATGGCAAGGTTGCGGCGCTTTGATAAGTTCTCCTCGCGCTTCTGCTTGCGAAGTTCAACATTGAGTTCATTGCGATTACGTCTCAATTCTTCGGGCTTAAAAGCGCTCTTGGCCTTGAAATTCTGAGTACGGTGTTCTGGGATTTTATCCATGATGCTTGAATGAATTGGATGAGTGGAAAAAAACAAAAAAAGACGCTTGGAATTTTGAAATTAATAGAATAGATTAAGAGATTAGCTAAATGCGGAGTTTGTTTATGAAATAAATGCCGAACTGAATGCACTGTTGCGCCACATGCATATGAAGTTGAATGAAGGATCACCTACAGAATAAGAAGGAACGGGCGCGGTAATTCCAATCGAATGCAAAAGGACCTTCTTGAAAGAGAAAGGAGGAAGAACAAGTTTAGGATGGAGAGAGAAAAAAAAAAAAAAAAAAAAAAAAAAAAGAAATCAATTTGTTTCTTTTTCTTCTGTTGGAATTACCTTCTGAAGATTTTCAACGCTCATTGGTCACTGGGGATGTAGGAAATAAAGGGCTAGGATATAACGTCAGCTGGCTAGAACTTGCTTTGCCTCTTGCTTGATATTCTCTATTCACCATATTCTTGACTTTACTTCCTTAACCCATCATTCTTGACATTCTTTACTCTTTTATCTTACCACACTTGTTTTTAATCATCATGGGAGGAGGCGACCTAGTAAGTATTTATTTACATTCATATTAGTTCGATATTTTCTCTGTACCATCTCATTCTTATTATTAATCACTTTACATCGTAATGTTTCCTTTAGAACTTGAAAAAATCGTGGCATCCAGCCACCTTCCGAAATCAGGAGAAGGTCTGGAAAGAAGAGCGCAAAGCCGCTGAGGAAGAAAAGAAGCTCCAGCAGTTACGAAAGGAGCTAGAAGAAGAGAGGCAAATTCAGGAATTGCAAAGAATCCAGGAGCAGGCTGGTGGAAAAAAACGAAGTGATCGTCTTGATTGGATGTATCAGGCTGCACCTACCGGCAATCAAAAGGATGAAAAGGCTTTGGAAGATTACTTATTGGGGAAACGTCGTGTGGATGATATCCTTAACAAAAGGGATAGCAGCGCTTCAAGCGCACTCAGTAGGGATTCATCCTCCTTCATGAACCAAACCTCCAAAGCTAATTCTGTCAGGGATATTCAGGCCAAAATCCGTGAAGATCCATTACTTGCAATCAAGAAGCAGGAGCAGGCTAGTATGGAGCTGTTGATGAAGAACCCTATCAGGATGCGGCAACTCAAGGAGGGTAAAGAGAACAAGGAGCATAAGAAGAAAAAGTCAAAGAAGAACAAAGATGACAAGGCTGAGAAAGATGAGAGGCGGAAGGATAAATCAGAGCGTCATAATAAACACCGATCCTCACGCAAACATAGCCGCCCAAGCGATTCAGATGATAGCGACTGCGACCGACATAGACACTCATCTAGGAAGCGCTCTCGGCATTCCAGATCTCCTGAGGGCTTGGGAGACTACTATATTAATAATAATAAGAATAGTAGAAGACAGGAAGAAGAGGCAAAAAGTAAGGCCGAAGAGAGGGAGAGAAGACTCAGGGCTATGGCTGAGGATGCCTCTGCAGACGCTCAGGCCAGGAAGACGAGGCTTGCAGAGATTGCAGAGATGGAAGCGAAGCAGGACGCTGAGGACGAGGCCAGGAGACAGGCCGCCGCTAAGAATGGCCAGGCCTCATTCCTCAAATCTGCACAAAAGTCAGCATATGACGGCATGTCATTGGCTGACCGTGTCCAGCGCGGCCGTGCCACAATGCAGAATGCATAAGTTTGGTTATATTCGCAATTTATATTTGTACTTTAAGTTAAAACTAAGTAATACCATACACAACATCGATTATTTTATTTTTTTTATTGACATGCAGACGTGGTATTGGAAACAATGAAATCAAAATTCATGAAAAAAAAGATGTATGAGGAGAGAGGCTTGCGAAAGATCCCGCAGACAGTTGTGAAAAAAAATTTTTTTTTTGTGATCTACAGAGAGTGGATTACAGATTCGAAATAACAGCAAAGGTGAAATCGGTAGTGGTGCTGGTACCACCCATATCAGGAGTCTTGGCAGCACCGTTCAAGATGGTCTTGGAAACAGCATTGGCGATCTTGTTAGCGTGATCATCAAGTCCGAGATGACGAAGCATCATGACTGACGAGAGGATCATAGCAGAGGGGTTAGCCGTATTACGTCCCTGAATATCCTTTCCGACATGACGACAGCCCTATTAATGCGTATGTGTAATTGTGCAGCAAACATTGGAGTAATTAGTCAATACATTAGCAAAAGAAACAAAATCCAAAAAAAAAATGTATATATGACAACGTTATAAGGAGACTTACAGGCTCAAACATTGCATACTCGCGACCAATATTGCATCCGGGGACAATACCGGGACCACCAACAAGACCAGCACCAACGTTGGAAACAATGTTTCCGTACAAGTTGGGCATGACCATAACATCAAACTGCTGAGGCTTGGAGACGAGCTGCATGGAAGCATTGTCCACAATCATATCCTCGAACTTGATTCCAGAACTGGCATATTCCTTGGATACCTCGCGACAGGTCTTAAGGAAGAGACCGTCAGCCAACTTCATGATATTGGCCTTGTGAATGCAAGTAACCTTTTTACGGTTGTTACGAAGAGCAAAGTCAAAAGCAAAGCGAGCAATGCGCTCAGACTTGGTGCGAGTAATGACCTTGAGCGATTCCACAACGCCAGGGTAGGACTGATGTTCAAGACCAGAGTATTCACCCTCGGTGTTCTCACGGATGATAGCAAAGTCGACACCCTCGTGACGAGTGGGGTAGCCAGGAATGTTCTTACAAAGTACCAAAGAAGCATACATGTCCAAGTCCTTACGAATAGTGACATTGAAAGAAGAGTGACCGAGAGAGGATACAGGGGTGTAAAGAATTCCCTTGAGTCCAACCTTGTTACGTCTCAGAGACTCGACCGACTGTTTGAAAAGGGTGTCATCAGCAGAAGTATATCCAGAGACATCAAACTGTTCCCAATCGACAGGAACCTTGGCAGCCTTGAAAATGGTCTTGACAGCTGAAGCAGTCTCCTGACCAACACCATCTCCAGGGATCAAAGTGACAGTGTAGCGACCTCCAAGTTTGGAGCAAGGAACCTATTTATTCCAGTGTGTCCGATCGAAGCGATTGTTTAGATCAACAGGCTCATTTAATGTCGTCTTTGATTCCAATCCTTGATCCGTAAATTAGAATTATGATCATAATAATCATAATAATGATTATAAAAATCATAGTCGAACGCAATTAAAAACCAATTACATAATTGACGTCAAGAAGTTGAAATTCTCTTCTGCTTGACTTACATCCTGAACCTGGGGAACGATGGTGGAGGTGCTCATGGCACGTGGGCCCATCTATGAAGGAGAAAACAGATACACGACATTTAATAATTACTACGTCTGCTGTTTTTTTGTTATTGCCATTACAATGAGAAAAAAAAAAAAAAAAAAAAAAAAGCTTGACACCAAATAAGAGAAAGAGCTATCATTTTGTTAGAGACATTCTTCAGCTGGACATGGGCCTTTAACCATTGATCTCCTTCCATAAATAGATACAGTTAATAGGATGTCTCGAAGCATAGAAGTGTCTCCAGTATCGACTATCGTATATAGATACCGTTCTTTATGGGAAAAGATAAAATGCTCGGTGTCAAGTTTATTTTATGAATATATAAAATATATACCTTGCTGAGGGTAGCGGCGAGAGGCTTGGAGAGGTGAAGGGTGCGCAACATGATTACTTGACGATGGAATTTCAAGGGAATGGCGAATCAATCGAATAGAAGAGAGAAAAAGTAATTAGAAACGAAAAAAAAATGAAGTGAAATAAAAACACTTTTCCTTCTGTAAACAGTCCTGAGATAAGGGCTTGCAGGCGGGAACCCAAAAAAGGGAACTGGTTGAGTTGAGCCCAACAAACAAGAGTGGGAACGGGGAAAGAGAAAAACAAGGGAAAATGATGTACCATCATCAATGTGGAGATGGCCCGTGAGTCCTCTGTTTTTTATCATTCATTTCTTGATCTATATTGTACTCCTTCTGGAATAACGTCTTAATAAGGTACTCTATGCTCTTAATCTTTTATGAAATTTATTCAACACTTCAAATAGTGCAACTCAAAGCAACATTCAATCTGGTTTGATCCAATGAAGAACTCAAGACTAGACAAAGTCTTGAACAACATGGAATGATAGAATCAAAATGAACGACCTGACTAGACATTCAAAAAAGGTCATAAATTCATGATGGCCAGAATAACTGCTGTATTATGATAACAGTTGACAAGAGACTTTAGAGCATGTTTCCAATAAGCAAGCTTATGTTGAATTAGAAAGTATATGTACATGTAGAGAGTGAGAGTTAAAGGGCCAAAGAAAAAGAAAAAAGAAAAAAAAAAGACAAGAGAAAAGAAAGGATGTTCACTTCTTTTCAGCGAGACCACCCATCATCCTCTCCTGGCGGTTTTGTCGAAGAAGAGTTGTTTGGCTCAGGAATACATTTATATTCGCCACCCACGCACTGGAATACTTGCTCCCCAAGGACAATCTTCTTTGGAAGGATCATTCGCCCACTATCTTGTTTCCAAGGGCGAACGCCATCATCCTGAGACATGCGCTGCAATGCTTGCCCGGCTTTGAAGAATTCGACTAGCTCTTGGTGCGTAAGCCCGGTCATAGCGGGAGCACAATTGGAGCCTTGATAAGGATACTCTTGATCTGGTGACTGCTGCTGTGGTTGCTGCTGTTGAATAGCTGATATTTGCAATGATTGGTATCGCCGTTGTTGCTGCTGCTGTTGCTGCTGTTGTTGCTGCTGTTGTTGCTGCTGTTGTTGCTGCTGTTGTTGCTGCTGCTGCTGCTGTTGTTGTTGTTGTTGTTGTTGCTGCTGCAACAGTAGTAGTTGGTGCTGTTGGAGCGATTGACTCTGTAGCTTTTGCTGCTGACGGGCCTGTTGCTTCTGTGAACGACTGGACTGGTTGTTGCGACCGAGCCCTTGTGCAGCCTGTGTGTTGCTGGAAACATAATTATTGTACGCAACGTAATTGGCCGCGATACGACTGGCCATTGGCATTGGACTCCGTGTCGGTGGTCTTCCTCTCCTAGCACGCGTGGAAGACTTTGCCCCTCCGTTGCTCCCGAGCGCGTAGGCTGCATTCAAAGGCATCGGTGAAGAATTGCGGCGGGATAGATCGAGACGTGCTAGTCCATACATGGGATCATCTTGTTCGCTAGTACAAGATTCCCCATCGACATCAATATCATCACCATCATACGATCCTGATAGAGACTGATGCTCCTCTTCATCTCCTGTTGAACCGTCCAAGAGTCTGTCTCCGTCGTCATCATCTTCATCGTCATTATCAATATTAGAATTGAATCGACCAGTGCGACTGAAGCGATGCTGTCGAGCCTGGCTACTTATACTTCTACTATGGCCAGTACTATTATCATCGTCGTCCATATCTAAATCTTGATCATCCTCTTGATCGCCGTCCATACTACTATCTTGCTGATGCTCTTTACTTCGATTAAGCAAGAATGAGGTGGAGAGATGGCTAGTGGTGGGGCTATTTGCTTGGCCTAATCGACTGAGACGACTCACATCATTGCTAGAATAGCGTCTTTTCAAACTGGGATGAAGGTGAGTCTGATGGAGGCGAAATTGCTGTGGACCCATCACGGCTTGCCTTTGACCCACAACACATTCGGAGGCCCGCCGACGAACTACTGTAAGGTGAATTGAGCCAAAACCTGGGGCATCTGGTGGAATACAGTCATTGACGAAACTGGGACCGAAAACAGGAACCAACTCATAACGTAATTTATAGCAGGTCTTTTTCGCAAGGTCGTATGCTTCTTGATGCGGCATCCTATAGTATAGATGCAGATTAGTACAATAAATAAGACATGAATATGTTACGTTTCTCGAAAAACCCGCCTCACATTGGACTTGAATACATCATATAATGGAAAGAAGGAAATCGTACCAAGTGCCTTGGATCTTGAGAAAACCACCACGCACTTTCCGGATTATGGACTCTAGGATTGGATTGGCATCAATGATCTTGACTATATCGGCTTTGGTTTTTCCTAATACTTTCCATATGCCTGTAAAGTGAACATACAGATTCTCCTGGTCCCACATGATAGGATGCCCATAGAGTTCATACTCGAAGACTAGGTTTTGACATGAATAGGGCAAAGTATTTTTTTAGAACATATTGTGATCTGACATAAAATATGAAGAATTCTCCGGGCTTCGAACATCCCAACTTACCGGGAATGAATCCTCTAGGATCGAGTGATGTTGAGTACTTTGCTTTCTTGATATTTGGAGCAAAGTTCTCGCCTGTGCCTATGGAGACATCGCCAGATACAGATGCAATGCTCGTGGATAAAGATGAGACAGAGGGCAAAGTTGGAGTCGGAATTGGAGTGCTGGAGTGACCAGGGTATGGGAATGCCGGTGGTAGAGAGGCAATTACTGAAGGCCTGATGTTGATCGTCCCGACCGAGGAGGTCGAGGTTGAAGATGAATTAGGGGCTGATAAGTGGGAACTGAGCTGTTTGGTGTGACCGATGTTTAACTTAAAGTCTTGATGTCCGAGCTGTTGCTGCTGATACTGTTGATGCTGTTTATGATGTTGTTCTTGATGTTGTTGATGTTGCTGGTGAGTATGAAAGCTCTGCCGCTGCTGTTGCAGCAGTTGCTGGTGGCCTAGCATGAAAGTGAAGTGTGTCTTTGGTCGGGGCGCAGTTGGCTTGGATCAGGGTGTCAAATTTGAATAGGGGAGGGATGGTGATAATGCTTCAAAAAGGAACACAGCTATATTAAAAGACAAGGATAGAAGGGCTCTAAATGAGGGGGCAGATAGGAATGGGGTGCTAATAGTTTGCCGTTTATAGTCTTTATCGGATATGGATACTTCAAGTTAGAAGATAATTAAAAATAAAAGGTAAAAAAAGGGAAAGAGAAAGAGAGAGAGGGTGGGAGGGTGAGAGAGAGAAAAAGAGAAAAAGAGAAAAAGAGAAAAAGAGAAAGAGAGAAAGAGAGAAAAAGAGAGAAAGAGAAAGAGAAAAAAAGAGAAAGAGGAAATGAGAAGAGAGAAAGAAAAGAGAAAGTGAATAAAATGTGGTTAGAAAAAAAAATTGCGAGGAACAGAGGTGGAAGAGACAAAGAAGTAATAAAGGTTGGATGGAAGGAGGTGGAAGGAGGAAAGGGTTGATTTGGTAAAAGCGCAGGACGCGAGTAAGACTAGAGTAGGCTAGAGGGGTAGAATAGAAAGTGAGCAGGACGAGAGAGAAGCGGAGGCAGGAGGAAAAAGAGGCGAGGGGGAAATGAGGACAGCAACGCGGGTAGAGAAAGGCGGCAGTCGAGATCAAGAGCTATTAATATGTCTCCAGTACTCTGGGTGGACTAGGGACAGAGAGGACCAAAATGAGCTGCAGGAATATCGCGTGGAGGGATGTGGCACAAAAAAAAAAAAAAATCAAAGACGTACACGCAAGAGCGAACGCATTCACATTCAAGAGAAAGAGAATGTCAAATTTATGTATCTTCAGGTGTGGAGGTGGGTCGAGGTCAACAAAGATGTCAGGATAGTAAAAAAGTATTTGAATGTGGACAAATGTTTATGTGTATGCATGTGGCTACTTGTCATCAGGAATGAAGTAAAATGCACATGGGTAACCTTGGGTTCCTCCACTTGGCCTCCCAATGATCTTTTATGTTTTTCTGGTGTTCATTCTGACGCAAGAGACGAAATATTGGAAATAAGTGTCGATGGAGTATTGGAATGTGCTGCATAAGGTTGCAGGATAGGATAATTATTGATTTTTCATTGATAAACGGGGTGAGGGCTTTTTGGATGCAGCTTGCGAGGAAATGATGCAGGTTTTCCTTAAAATCGTTTGCTAAGAACGGATTTTCGCACGCGAGAAGTGATTAAGACCATCGCTCATGCATGATCTGGGTGAGAAAAGTCCCGACCTTTTCATTATACATTTAATTATCCTTATTCGAGATACGTTCGCTATATCGTTTATTTTATCGACGTCGAATGGCTTACGTTCGAAGCAGTATTGGCTAGAGGGGAGGGTGAATGCTAAAGATAATGACAAAACGAAAGAGGCAGAGAGGCAAGTGATGAGCTGTGGTCAACGAGTGAATGATGTACAAAGGGATGAGATCTCAATTTGCCCTTGATGCCTCCTAGTTCTCCCTCCTCCCATGCGGAAAAGGATATAGAACTACGAGAGAAGCAAACCGAGAAATAAACTGCGATTAAGAGAATAACTATGGCCACCACATCCTCTTCCGATCTCTGATCTTCCTGAGAATCCCATAACCACATCGTTAGCCGATCTCGAGAGTAAGATCAGAAGTCTGGTTCAGAAACCATTTTCCCTGGCATGAGGTTGCGAATATTTGCTTTTGGAGTCCTGTGACCCTACAAATAAAAGTACTCCTTTTTGTTGTGTGCGTACCTTGTTGTCGCCGTCATGAAAGTTCCTTTTTATCTTATTTTATTTCATTTATTCATTGTAAGGAGTGAATCGCAGAAATTGTACTGCGCGCGGCATTTACCTTAACGCCACTAAAACGAATTTGTATCTATCCATGACAACACTAGCTGGCTCAGTTTGCAAAAACAGACATACCAAACAGCTAACAAGGTACCCATAGCACCAGAAATATTCAATTTTTTGTGTTCATACAGGGTGGTCTGTCTATTTGATCACATTAGCTTGAAGCAAGCGATAATACGTCAGGTTTTTTTCAAAACGTCCTCTACTTCTTTCACAACATGCCGATATTCCATTGCACAGCAGCCTCGATACCTTTTTTTGCCGACATGCATACCAATTTAACCCGAGGTTTATTTTTATTTACACATGTGTTCTTGTCTCCCGTCTGTTCCTTACACTGGGAGTCATTCCCCTGTTTCATCATTTAAAGCTGTTGCTTTATTATAATCACGTGGTCACCGTTAATAAGGGAGAGCACCACGTCTTTAAAAAGATCCCAAGTATCTCTCTTACATCAGACATGGACTTTATAATCCCAAGGTCCACAACGACAATCTTGGTGAGCCTCCCTCTTCGGTGGATTCGCAGTAATGTTAAATTGATTTGTGCAATTGAACCATTAGATTTTTATAAATAACTTTAGAATTATGACAGTTGGTAGGCCATGCAGGTATTGGTAAACGGAGGTTGGCATCATACATACGCTCAGAGGTTACATCGCAACCACTTCAGCAGGAACAGGCTATAGCATCAGAATTACCAGCAATAGGAAATTTGCACGGAATCAACACCGATGTAAATTTTAGAACAGCAGAGTCACTCTCCTTTGCAGTTTCAGGACCTGGGGCCGCGCCAAAAATGCCCCTGATACGCCCATTTAATAATGACCAACAGTCTATCCCAGGTGTCATGGAATCAGTCACACGATACGATTTGATCCTCTTTATGGTCAATATGTCAAATCATACCTCATGGGAGGACTGTAAGCAGTCGCTTCTACAGTTAGATCCAGGCTGGTTCCTAGGTCACTGCGCGATCGTAATCACACGAGGTAATTACTTTAATTCAGCTCTACTATTATATTCACGGGTTCTTAATAACTGCGGCAGCATTATTGCTGGTTGCCTTTGATAATTCCATTCCCTCACTTTTCTGCTCTACATTTACTTCGTATTTTCTCTACATCTTCTCCGTTATATGATGCTACAGTTGCAGCCGTTTCGAAATATGCGTTTGATAGAGATGATGTTACAAACTTTCTGGAAGATTTTTATGACATTCCTACGATTTGGACAAACTTGGATGTCGATCGTGAAGCAACTTTGGCAGCTCTTCAGGTTGTTAGGATGCTGGAGGTGGGTGCTGGGTACCGAAGACCGGATCGAGTCCCCGATGCTAATAGTACATGGTCAGGATTTGGACCCTCAACAAACTCTTGGCGCCAGTTACTGACTAGCTCATCTGCTGTTAGATCAGTGCTTGGAGATCGTGTGACAGCCACCCATCATTTAATGAGGACCCCTGAAAAGTATATAGTGGAGATGACAACATTCAGCGATAATGAGGATGGAGACGTAGGCGAGGTGGGAATCAAGAATGAAAGGGGCGAAATCAATACCAATATCGAGCCTTGAATAGTATAGACTATCACCTTAACAAAGCAACCCCACAGTTTACCCTTCCGTTAGACTACACATATACCCGAAAATAGAAACAAATCAATAGGATATCACGTGAGCTCATGTTCCCCGCTCTTCCCAGAAGGGATTGCCCGTGGTTTCGACTTTGAAGATAGACTTCAGCATCATGATGACGCCGGAAAGGGTCCGATCAAAGCCTATAGAAAAAGCCCGTAAATGATCCCAACTTCCGCCTTGGCTTTACGTGGCTTCTTTTCTTCGCGTTTTTACCTATCTCTTTGCTCATAACAGCAAAATGCATGCTGTCATATAAAAACGAACAATCTTTTTTATTTTTTTTGTATCTCTTTTCAAACTTGTCTCTTGTCTTATTTATTCCATTTTCAACGTATAAGTTACCTTCTCAAAAAGAACAAAGCAAAAAAAAAAAAAAAAAAAAAAAAGAAACAGAATACTTTGATATCTATCATAAGAAATCATGAACCACCTAATTCATCTTAAACATCAAGATCGCATCGGATGGATTGGCCTCGGTGAGATGGGCTACTATATGGCCAGCAATCTTCAGCGTTATCTTGCTTCACTTCATCTGAACATGATTGTTTGGAACCGCGACCCAGCTAAAAGTGCGAAGCTGCGACATCATGGAGTACATATTGCTAAATCAATCGAAGACTTGGTTGCTCAGAGTAACATTGTGAGTAATTCATCCATGGGTCTTTAAAATGAAGAGGAAGATAAAGCTGTAGATTTATGTACGCTAATATAAATTTATTCATCCTTTAGATCTTCACATCGTTGGCAAACGATGCAGCTGTACAAGAGGTTTATACACAGCTTATCGATTTGGCAAACCAGGTAGAGCACCCCATCATTTTTGTGGAGACTTCAACCATCTATCCTGCACTGGCTACTGAGCTTCAAAAGCAACTCGCAGCCTGTCCACAAAAGCACACATATCTCCAATGCCCTGTCTTTGGCCGTCCACCGGTGGCGAAGGCTGCTAAATTGATTTGGGTCACCAGCGGTGGAGACGAAAAGATCATCAAGAAAATGTGTCTTTACTTCACAACCATGTCCAAGAGCATCATTCATCTCAACACCAAAGACGTGGCTAAAGCATGTAATTTCAAGTTGATCGGTAATTTCTTCGTCGTAGGAACTATGGAGTTGTTAGCAGAGGGTTTAACTCTGGCAGAAAAGGCCGAAGTCGATCCACAATCAATTCTCAAGTTCATTGAGGCGTTTTTCCCTGCACCTGCCTGGATCGAGTATAGTCGCAAGATGGTCGATGGTACCGCGGTCGTTCACAAAGAAGATGGATTTTCGGTCGATTTGGGATTGAAGGATGTAGGACATATGAGACAGCTAGCTTTGGAAACAGGAGCATCATTGCCGACAGCTGATTTGGCGTATAATCACTTGAAGGCTGTACATGACCAAGGACTTGGAGATATGGACTGGAGTAGCTTGATCAATTCTCTGCGATCAGCCTCTAAACTGCCCTCAATGGAGGAGACACAACTAACCAAGGGCGAGAAACAATGAAGCAAAAAGACGACGAAATAAGGACGTGTATAATAAATACCTTGGAGTCATTTATCGACAACAATAACTCTCTCTCATGCTTTCAATGTGTGCAATGCTTATGAATTATTTTTTTTTTAAAAAAAAAAAAAAAAAAAAAAGCTTCACACCCAGTATGGATTCCATTCTTCCGTCTTCCCCACATTCATCCGAAGATGGATTTACAACAAATTTTGTAATGCATGCCTGCATAAAGTTTATTAAGCATGGATGCGAAGAAGGAGACAATTCAACTGTTGCAGGTCCAAACTTTTTTTTTGGGCGGGGAGTAAAATACGGCGAAGCAATGCAGGGTTGAATTTACCCGCCCTTTCTGTTCAGCCAATGAAGCACACACATTGCGGAACTGTTATTTATATAGACAGACCGCATAGCATGAGTTTTTTACGACATAAGAAAAAAAAAACTGTCGTAAGGCGCCATAATGAGAGCTAAAGTAAGAGGACAGGAGAACCGGTTATTGGAGATAATAACATTTATAGATATAACAGAAAAACAGTCCTTTTTTAATTTATTTTTATTGCTGTCCAGCCACAATTATACACCCAAAGACGGAAGGATTGCATCCTATGCTGCATATTGCCACTGGAGAGCTATTGATTATCTATCATTGTTTCTTTAAATAAGCAACATAGCCAAGAGTTAAGCAAGCTAGAATTATTATGATGGAGCGGCAATGTAATAAGAAGGCGCAGCGGTTTCTAAGCCCTTTATTATTATTATTATTACTTTCCTACTTAGAGAAATATGAAAAGACGAAAAAAAAAAAAAAAAAAAAAAAAAAAACTACTGAGTGCGAACCCAACTTGAGACTATAGGGCAACTGCTCCCTCACAGCCCAGGAAGGACGCCACAGAAAAATTCTTTCCATTCATCGTTAGGTCAAAAATATATATGCCCTTTCTGTGTTAATAAGATAATGAAATCTAACAAATCAGTCCCAATGGCCCTGATCCATTCCAGACCTACGATCAAGTAGAGCGGAGTTTTCTTTGCCATGGTATGAGCAGGGGCATCGTAGGCTCTTTAGGATTGGTCAGCAATTTGGCAAGGTTAATGCAATTGGAGAACGATTTATTAATCGACTCATATTCTTCATTTTACAAAAAAATAAAAACGCGTCCTTTATTCCCTCTATTGGTTATAATGAAAGTAAACAATAAAAACAATAAGAATAATTTATAATGGTGTATAATATTATAACAATAATAACAGTAATAATATATAATAACAAAAGTAGGGGTCCCATGCAATGTTTAAGGCTCCGCTTTAATTAATGTTCGTCCTACACACTCCATTCATAATGCATTCCTTGCCACTGCGCCCACGCCGCGTCCATGCCTCTCTAGCCATGCATAGGTGCGCAAAGCTTGGTCAATTTTGCTGTGCTCTTTTAGATCCCAGACAAAAAGTAAAGGAGATATTTCTGTATAAAAGGAGGAAGACATCTCAACGAACTTTTAAATAATACATAGTATTTCAGACACGACTATAGAAAAAGTATTCTCTCTCTTTCTCTACTTTCTGCTTCCTTTTCAAAGAAAAATAAAATGGCCATCCTTTACAAATTTGTTCTCTTCGCTGTTGCAGCTGTTGGTGGCTTGGCTGCTCCTATTGATCCCTCAATCTCGGAAGTTCTTCCCCCTCGTCGTCACACTACTGCAGCCATCATTCCTGATTCGGAGCTCAATCTCTCCAACTCCCTGGACACTGTGGTCTCCGTAACTGCTTCTACTAATGGCTTGTTCTCGGGTCGTGCAACCTGGTTCACAGACAAGACCGGATCCTGCGGCAAGCCCTTCGACACGAATGATATGATCGTCGCCATGAATGCTGCTCAAATGGACGGCACTTCCCAATGTGGCCGCCAAGTCCGTATCACTGCCAAAGGCCAGTCTGTGGTGGCCACCGTGGTTGACACCTGTCCTTCTAGATACTGTTCCTCGGGTTCGCTGGATCTCTCACAGGCTGTCTTCAAGAAGTTGGCTCCTTTAGATGTAGGCGTCATCCAAATCAGCTGGAGTTTTGTTTGAAGAGCGCAAAACAGAAGAAAGAAAGGAACTTGGAAAGGAAGGGTTTATGGAGGATGACAGTAGAAGAAGGTCAACTAACCCTACTTTACAGATTGTCATCACGCATTTGCATATCAAAGAAAAGACTGTATATTATCATGTACCATCCTCCATCCACATCACTTATTAGTACAAATAGTAAAATCAATGAAGTATCTAGCAATCAATAAAATGCATATATATCTGATGCTGCTGTGCGATGAGTCAAATGGCTTCGAATTGTGGTGATAGAATAAATCTTGTAAAAATCTTGCTTGCTACCTGCTTCGCCTTCCTAGAAAGATTGCATAGGAATAGAATTGTCCAAGCCATTTTATAACTTTTTTTTTCTAACGTATCAATTGCGCAATTGACCATCCTTTTTTTCTTTTCTTTAGTATTCCAACATCAATGCCTTGTATGACTGCGCTTTAAAAGCTGAATACAGCGGGTATACCCTTATAACGATTATCATTAATCATAGATCTTGCCTTGTCCTTGGTGGTGTTGAAATGGGCTAAAGTCGTGAATCTAGAGGTCGCCAGAACGGTAGAGCAACAGTGCTAGGCTTTAGTATGCGCTCCTAGGTCTCCTCGTCTTGTTATTCTGCAAAACAAGAGATAGCTATGTCGTCCCGCCCGTCACGATGAAGTACATACATGTTAGGGGACCATAGCGGAAATTTCCTGGTAGAATGGGTTTTCTGAGGGGACAAGCAAACTGTGCGTATAAGGCACAACTCTATCTGCGTCTACGCATCCCAGCAACATATCTCCTAGAACAAGCACCAATCATTTTAACTGTACTCAACCATCAATACTAAAGCACAAAAAAAAAAAAAAGAAAAGAAAAGAAAAGAAAAAAAAATAGCATGGTGCCATAATGGTTTTCAAATCCTAAAGATGTTCAATGCTTTGCAAAAATAAAATAAAATAAGAATGTTAAATATCGGATGTGGTTGAAATTTCATACAGCTGTAAATGTAGTGTAGTAGAGCCATGACCAAACTAATAAATGATTGAAAATGTGATCCCCTGCACTCAAAAATAGCCTTACCAATCGTTGAGAGAAACCGGCAACTGAGGGGGCTGTGACATACTAATTACATTTTAATAGCTTGATTCTCAAGGGAAAAATCCTTGTGATGGCATTTTGCAGATTCGACCACACGTAGATGTTTTTGTCAATACATTGGCGAATGATGTATTTGAGGCGGTCATTAATGCTTGCCCTAGCCTAGGCCAGGGCGAAGAAGTTGCCCACATCCTTGATATCCTTTTTCCTAGATATCCAACTTAACTACTAAAAATGCAATAAGCAGATATAACAGTAACCTTGAAGAGCTTGTAAGTTTTATTATACCATATACGCATTTTTACCTTTTCATGAATACGGCTTTCGTTGATTCTCCACGTTATTATATCTTTTGTTGCTTATATCTTCTATTCACACTACAAAGACATTTTTTTTATTTAAAATAGCCATACCTTTATTCAGCCATGCTTTCCGACCGGTTGGTAAAGGAATAGGGCTGTCTAAGGTTTAGACCTTGGACTGCAGGGGAAGGAGCTGTAATCGATGTTTTAGCCTTTTCTAAACAAACTTACCGCTCTATGGGAAAAGATGCTGAATACAAGAAAAGGATCTATATGGGACGTCTGTCTTGGGAAAAGTCGCGTATTCTCATCAAAGCGAACAGAGCTGTATCCCCAAGAAAAAGAAGAAAAGCCAAGCGCGTTATCAAATCACTTCAGAAGATCGAATGTGACCCCAACTAAAAAAAAAAAAAAAAAAAAAAAAAAAAAGGATATATTTTTGCCCCACAAGTTTTGATAACCATGACGTTGGTTGATACTTACCAACAAATGCATCGCTCCATGCCTAGTAGCTGTTAAAGAAAATAAAAGAAATTACTAGGCTTGAAACCAGAGAGTCAAGCTTGTCGCTCTCTTTGGTTAGATCTTTTCAAATATAAATGGTTTACTTAACAAAATTCTTATAATTGAAAAGGACTAACCAAAAAGAGCGACATACTTGACTCTCTGATTGATGTAGAAAATTAAAGATATAATATTTATCAAAGTCCTGCTATTAATTTATTTTAACTCGAATAAGTAGCTCTTTTTTTTTTCTTCTACATTGTCTTTGGGGCCTTGAACCAAAAAATATAATACACTGACTTTTTTTTTTTTTTTTTTTTTTTTTTTTTTTTAATAAAAAGCTTGGCTTAGCAAATACATAGGTGATATTGTTGGTGCAAATGATGAACATGTAGAGAGCATTGGCAACATGTCTTGCTCCATTGATGCTAATAAAGATGTAGGTGTTGGGGTGTGTGGGAAAGGGTACTCCTGCCTCATTTCAGCTGCACTGGCTGGTGTGAAGAAGGACTCAATTTTCATGACAGCAGGCTCTTGCTTCGTAACTGAATCAGGCCCAGCTATCTTATGAGGACTATCTAAGCCAAAGGATATAGCTGCTGGATTAGAGAAGGACTGCATCGTAGTGCCTAAGGGCGTGAAGGGGCCTGGAGATGATAAAGGGCCTTGGCTGCGAAACTTCGCCCTTGCTGCTAACGATGGCGAGAAGGGCGAAGATAGAGGCGAAGGCGAAGGTAATGATTGCAGCATTGGTGGTTGATGGCCTGCACTAGGTACTGGACTCTGACTTGGAATGATATCAGGGCATGGTACTGAAACAGCCATGTCTAACAGGTGTTGTAGGTGCGTAATGTCCGCAGTTATGGATTCAAGTGGCGTTGAAATGGGGTATGGACCTGGGGCTGCAGTTGATGGTTGGAAGCCTGCCATTGATAGCGGCATCAACGTGCCAAGACCGTTACTTGATTGACGCATCTCACTGGGAAGATGCATGTTCACTGCAGTAGTGATATTAACATTGTTCAATAGTTGAGTCAACGAGAATAGCTCCTCCCCTGCCCCTATCGCTGGTGCTAAACTAGATTGCCTTGGTAGTTGTGAAATGGCGTCATTTCTGGGCATGGGAGACGTGAATGTGTTGGGCTTTTGCCATTGATATGAATGGTTCATTGTATGGTAGTGAGAGTGGGAACTTGAATATGAAGCATTGTTCTCACTCGCAATTGAAGCTGCTTGATGTGGACCATAAGGCCCCAAGAAATATAAGGATGGGGATGCTTTAAGTGAATTGGGGGTCTCCTCATGTTTGACATTGACTTTGTTTGGCTCTTGTGATCGATGCGCAGGTATCATTCTAGGTGGATTTGCATTGCTGCGGCCATCGCTACTCTTACTGGCAATAAAGGGGTATTTCTGATATGGGGAAGTATTATGGCGATTACTATTCCTGTCCCATTGAGATGTTGTCGAGGCCTTCTTCGCCTCTAGGGCAGCATTTTGACGTGCCTTAGCAAGCTTCCCTGTGCCTCGCTTGGCTGGTTGGAACTTGTAGTCTGGGTGTTCTATGGCATGTTTTTCTTCTTCATCTTTGGCTCGCTGAGCGAAGTGCGCCTTTATTTCCGGCTTCTCTTTTTTCCATCGTGCACCCAATATTCGTGAAAGTTTTGCAGCAGTACAGTTTCGGTACTCCTGCGATTTTTCCTTTCTATATAGAATGAAGCTGTTGGGGGGGCGTGGGATTTTTTTTATTGGTGCGGTTGTTGTTGTTGTTGTTGTAGTGGTGGTGGAGGTGGAGGTGGAGGTGGAGGTGATAGAGGTGGATGTGGAAGTGGAGGCAGAGGTGGAGGAGGTGCAAATCGAAGAGTAAGCACACTGGCGCTCTATAACAGCCGCTGGTTGCATATTATAAACCATAGGGCTTTTGCAAAACGACGTGGAAGATGAAAAGACCACTAATATATATTGTGGGTGGATATATAAGTTAATAAGGCAAATAGTGGTTGTGCAACTTTTGTGGAGATGTCTGGAGTAATGAAGATAAAAAAAAAAGAAAAAGAAATGTGGGTAAAGTCTCACTTCTTTTTTTTTTCCTTCTTTTTATATGTTATCTTTTTGCATGTTTGTAGCCTCGAGAGCACAAGCACGACAAGATGCAAGCAAAACAAGCAAAAATGAGGGGGAGGCGGCACATAAACAAACACCCAATCCTCACAAAATACACCTGAAAGGGAAGGACAAAAGCATCAGCAGAATCGTAGAAATAGAAAAAAAGAGCATCTCTTGTCATCAGTGCTTCATTTCATATTTCTGAATAGCGCGTCTGCGCTTCGAGTACGGCATAGGAAATCTCTTTTCCTCTCTTCCTTAATGTCCTTCAAAGCTTCGCCAAGCTATAGGGTCTGAATGGACAGAGAAACCAAAACATTAAGGCTAGCCTTCAACTGTGCGCTCCATTTTTCAATTGGCGGCTGTTTTAACTGAATGTGTACACACGACGGAAAGGCCTCCTTTTTCTCTTTCCTCTCTTGTGTGTACCCTTCTCGCCTTCAAAAGGTTTAGGAAAGAAAAGGGGCGGAATGTTTGGGTTAAGCACTCTAAACAGCTTATCAGCTTATCCTCAATTCGCTGGTAGGGGCTGTGTGCAGGACGGTCTTAAAACCTCTTGTTGATACTTTGGTATTAGGAATGGGGTCATACAAATATAACATTTAGGGAAATAGGCAAGTAAATAGATAAAACAAATAAAACGTCTTTATTTAAAACACTAGAAAAGGCATTCTAACTTTACTTTTCAATAAAATAAAGGTATTATAGGATCGTCGATCAATATTTGAAACATAGGACACAACTCATTCGTCTTGTTGACAGGGCATTGTATATGTATACTTATGCTACCCTCAAACCGCTCTCAGTCTGAGGTTAAACAAAAGAGCATTGCTTGTGCACTAAATTTTGTTTCCTATCCCAAAAAAAAAGCATAGAAAAGTACATGCAATGTTGAACATTAAGATGGACCTGATCAGTGCTGTGTCAAAAAAAAAAAAAAAAAAAAGAAATCATGAGCAACATGATCATCTTTATAGAGTCAAAACAGAGAGTAAATGCATTCATCTCTTCTATACAAACCAGGTCATGTTAACGACTAGCCACCGAGGCATAATTTTCACTTCTTAATGGCCTTCGCCTTAATGTACGCTTATATATCCCATTAAAAAGAACGGTTTAATGTAGTAGAGTAACTGATCAGCTGCAGACAAGAGTTAATAAGAGACTTCGAACCTTACATCTAGGCCCTTCCTCTCCTTGTTTATTTTTGTTATTTTATTTTATATCCTTCATAATAGCGGGTTGCTATCAATCATCAAACTCCATTCCCTGCTCATGGCCCATGCATAACAGTTTTTCATTTGTTCAAGCCTTTAATTAAGACTTTAATGATTTGAAAGACTTTGGACACTAAACACTACTTAATATGTTAACAAAAGGATTAGACATGTGCCGTTTTATTATTATCTTTTTTTTTTTTTTTTTTTTTTTTTGGTGTATATCAAGCGATAGGACGAGTCATATACAGCAGTGGTGCCACTTTAATAGGGACTTCAATTAATATTAATCAATAGGAAGAAAGAGGCACATATACTTGTATCGCATACATTGAATATGGTACTCTATAAAATAGGATTTTGGTAATGGAAACTGGCGGTAATTTTCTTCTTTCTTCCTTTCTTCAACTAAAACAATATATAGCAGCAGTATATCTTCTATAATTGTAATAAAAGTTGAATGAGAAGAAGAGCTGAGGAATGATGGTCGGGTAGTAGAGTCATGTCCGCAATAGGATTGATCCAAGGAATGCTTGGCATACACCTCACGACGAAAGTTTTATGTGTACATGTGTAGTAGTACATTTTACCCTTTTTTTTTAAATGTCGTACAACCTTAAACCGCTTTTGCAGCTGATCGACAGAGTATACAGCTCATCAAAGCCCGAAATAATGTTAACGAAGATGATCCAACATGTATAGTCCATTTTATTTTATTATTACTTTTTTTTCTCATGATGGTTGCAATAGCCCTCGCAATCTTAGAATATCCTTTGCTTAACAACCTTAACAATTTCAAGAAAACTAGGAAAAAAAAAAAAAAAAAAAAAAAAAAAAAGCTCAGTATATACAATGTTTTTGGCACAAGCAAGGGCTTGATATTATCCAAGAGTAAAATCTCGAATAGCATAAAGGTAAAAAAAAAAGAAAAAGATGTAAAATGGACCAATAAGGATCCAAAAAGAAATGTTGGTCTGGGTCTTCACGTAGCATGCAAATAAAAAAAGAGGGTGCAAATAAAAAAAGAGTGAAATTTTCAATTGAAAGCCAAATTAGGAACATTTGTGCAACAAACAAACGATCCGCATTGGCGGAGCTACATGCATGCTCATGCTGATACCGAGCAAAGAGTAGATGGAATAATGTGCCTTGTTTCTTTCTCCTTATTTCTACCATGTCCTTCTATTTTGCAATAGTTGAAAAGAGGAAGGTGCAGGTTAACTTTTATCTTTTATTGCATTCAGTTGCCCCTAGAAACATGCCTTGATATTCTCATGATGATGCTACGGCTGATAGGGTTCTCATGACAGAGCTCATTGCCTTTCCATAGTAATCAGACCTTTTGATTTATTTATCTCCTTTACCTCCATCTTTTTTTTTTTTTTTTTTTTTTCCTCCTGATGGTGCTGCATTTGTATTTTAGTATTTTTAATGCGTTTCTTTCACTTGAGCCTTCTAAGATAGTGGCCAGTGAGCGTATGGGAAAAGCAAGTCGAGTAGGTCGTATAAAAATATGAAAATTGATTGCCGATCTTTTCTCTAATCAAGAAAATAGAGGTTGGTGCAAGAGCACGGCAAATAAAAAAGGGGAGAAAGTGAGAAAAAGTTTATGCATCATAGTGACCCTCGTTTGCCTCGTTATGCTAGACTAGGCTCAAAATCATTCATGCAACTCAAATTGAGAAGAGTTTCCTTCGTTTTGGTCCTTTTGGTGACACAAAAAAAAAAGGTCGAGCTGTCGATATGTCCATACATGGCTATCTCCAATTCAAAAATACATATTTTTGGAGGGAGAAGAATAGAGGGGAATTGTATACACATGAACGTGCTCTGCGCCGTGGAGAGTTGAGCAAAACAATGCGCATGTTCTGTCAAGTCTAGACCCTAAGTTTGCCCAATGAACCAATGAAGGCAGCATGACCACGTTCAAACTTCTGCAGGGGTCTTGGGTCCTTAAGAAAAAAAACGCCCAAAGACAGAAAACAATTGATAGCTTCGTCATAACTTACAACTTCAGCGTCCCTCTCTCCTCCTCCATGGATATACAGCCCCACAAGGGAAGGCAACTGATCCTGCATTACACATGGCGTGACCTAGTGTAGATCAACAAATATCAAAGCAAGGGTGGTTTTTTGAAACTTGAACGTTGCTTAACGCCTTGGTCTTTGATGAATGTTTTCAAAACATAATCAAACATGCAGGCCGGGCTTTGGGATCAATAAGTATATGGACATGTAAAAGTATCTGCACCTTATGAACAAACATGTGCCATCGTTAGAAGTTTCTTCCCCTTTGTTCTTAAAAACCATTTTCTGCTGCTGAGTTTAGGAAACAAAATAATAAAAAAAATAAAGTTCAAGCCTCCAAATGGATCAAAGTTTTTATTTTTATTTTTTAAATGCACATCCATCTTAAACAAGAAAATCTGCTACACAAATCTGTAAAACAAGTGTTCGCTCCTCTTTTTCCTGCACGTTACAGTGACAAATACACAAACGTTATATAGCCTGATCTGTAACGCTCCAGGCCAATTCGCGTCATTGAATAAGTAACCATGTGGGTGAACCAACCTCGCCCTTTGTTTGTTTATTTATTTATTCATCTGTTTCCTCTTTTTTAGGATCAACATGCAGAATGCGGCCTCGTTGGTTTTCGGATCTTCCTCTTAACGACAAATACAACAGCAATTGCAACAAAGCCAGAAACAAAAACAAAAACAAAATAAAAGATGTTGCCACGCGCATTGCCTCCCTTTTGTTCATGTGCTGAATTCATAAACTGGTTAGATTAGAAAGAAAGAACGTGTAAAAAGAAGAAAAAGAAAAGAAAAGGCTAAGTCATGGAGATCATCACTTGTGGAGAGATACCTGTTCCATCTTTTTTTTTTTTTTTTTTTTTTTTTTTTTGAGCATTCGTTGATGTTTCGCTTTAGTCTCCATGATTCACTCTATTTCTATTTTTCATTCCATTCTTTTTAATAAAAAAAAAAAAAATAAAAAATAAAAAAAAAGCGTGGACCAATATGGAGACAGGATCCCCATCCTTACCCTAGCTGCAATGCTTATATTTTTGTTGTTGTTTTGTTCAGCCTTTTGTTTTCGGTTTTTGCCTTTTTTATTTTTTGCTCTTGCTCTAGCTCCTGCTCTTGCTCCTGCTCTTACTCTTGCTCTCTCTTTTTTTTATTTTTTATTTTTTATTTCCTTTCGTTTCTGTCTTTGCTTTGCCTTACTTTGCCTTGCTTTGCTTTGTTTTGTTTCTTTCACGCATTCTCATCAATTTTATTTTTATTTTGATTCTACATTTGCATCTGCTGTTTTTTTTTTTTTTTTTTTTTTTTTTGTATTATTAACCTATTCATCATTTAACCTCATTACAAGATGTTTAGTTGCTATGCATCGCAAGTGAGATAAACAATGAGCGGAGGAAATTGTTTTCAACCAAGAGCGAAGGTAAATAAGGATGATCAACACCTTTGATGCACAAACTTGTACAACACGTCTGTGTTTTTTTTTTTATTCAGCATAAACGGTTTCGTTTTATTTTATTATATTTTGCTTCTTCCCTTTTAGAAATAAAAATAAATATACAACAAAAACATATAATTCACAATTTATTAAAATAATAATAATAACACCTGAAGGCTGACGAACCATTGTCTAATTTTATATTTGTTAAATAGATATTTTATTAAAAACGGGCGAAGAATGTGTTTATCTTTTTTAGTATTATTACTTATAATCTTTTTTTTAAGAAAAAAAAAAAAAAAAAAAAAAAAAAAGAATCTAGACCGTTGACAATATATAGGGAACGCGAGTGAAATTTCGTATTTTATTATTATAATTATAATTATGATTATTACTATTATTCATCATCTGTTCCTTCGTCCGACCCATAATCCCGACCAAAGATTGACTTTTTCTTCATCTTCTTAGAATCCTTTTTACTATCATCCTCAATCACGCCCGCTGTCTTGTATCGAAGCTCCAACATCGATGTAGAAAAATTATCCGTGTTTCCAAGCTCATCGAACCCAACAAGGCTAATAAATGAATGAAAGGCCAGAAAAAAAAAAAAAAAAAGTAAGATGATTGATGAAAAGAGTTTTTTTTTTACTTTTTGACGAAAGGAAGAAGATAAGAGCAAGTGTTCTTACCGGTCCACAGCAATGCCATCAGTGAACGCAATGATACATGGCAGCACTTTGACTTGAAGTTTTTCCACGAGGAAAGGCGCGTTTTCGACTTTAATCTTGACAAACTTTGTCTTGATGTGCTTCTTTGCAAGCGTCTGTTATCATCATCGAGATATACATATAGAGAGCAGAACTGTGAGCTAAACAGGGCAACCCATTCTTTTTTGTCATGGGGTCCTGGCAAATCAATATGCTTCCTTCCTAAAACGAACTTTATTTTACCTCAAGATGCTTGTCAACAATCATGCAGCGTCTGAAATCTGAATGATAAAAATGAATGACACAGTGCTTTGTCTTTGTTGAGATATCCATGACTTCTTTTTCATCTGTTATATCCTTATATGAACCATGATCGTATTCCATCATTAGTTTCCTTCTTTCCACTCTGTTATAAGGAAAAGAAAAAAGAAAATACCAGAGTTCCGTTCATTAATCAACGTGAACATTAGGTAACTGGTCATTTTGTCGTTCGCAAAAAAAAAAAAAAAAAAAAAAAAAAAAGTTTACATGGAAACCCACTTACTCCTGCTTTAACTCTTCGATTCTTTGCTCACGAAAGCTTGTCATATTGTAATCATCATTCTCAAGTTCTTCAAAGAGCTCGTCCTCATCCAAATCTTTTCCACTACCCTTTTCCTCGTTATGATCGAGTGTCTCATCATCTACAAATCGGTTGTCATTGGTATTTGTACCTATCTTGCTTGAACTGTTTTGAGCAACGAGATAATAAAACAAGAGAGATTAAAATAGTGTTCCCTTCTTGTGACACGCTTTGTAATATCAAACTGTCTCACAAAGTTGATATTCTTTTTCATAAAAAAAATAAAAATAAAAAAAAACTGATGTTACCTTGATGAAACTTCTGATGCATTGACGTTAACTGAAGCTCCTGTAGTTGCGGAAGTTGATGTAGAGTCTGCCATCATGTGATTCTTTCTGTGGAGGTGAGATGATGACTTTAAACTTTAAAAAAGAAGCTTCAATTTTTTTTTAGAAGCGGATCGTATGCAGCTTTAGTCAAGCCACAATTTATACTGCATGTATTTTGACTCGCGTCTTCCATTCCTAGTAACTTTTAACCTTAATTGTACCCTATGATTCATTAGCTGATTCCTTTCGTCGTATTGATACTTCCATACTTGTGAGGATAAAATATGTGAAATGCTATACTGGATAATACCTTTTAGGGTTCATCTAGTTTATATTCCACCTTCCCTTCTTTAAAAAAAAAAAAAAAAAAAAAAAAATAGAGTACTTTTCCTTGGTAATGGTAGCTACATATCTGGCATACGAGTTAGAGAGGTTGCAAAAATAAATTAAATAAAATGAAGCATTATAAACTCAAGCCATTGGCTTCAGCCGTAAGCTAAAACTCAGTTTACTGACATATCACTGCTCTTGGAAGGAGAGGAAAAACGGAAAAAAAAAAAATCAAGATCGCCAGGGTCAAGGTCAAGACCTTAACTCAAAGGGGCACTACCGTACCGACATCCAATTAGTATCGCACTATGTGTTCCCTTGTTAAAAATAGACCTCTTTTGAAAGGTGAAAAAAAAAAACGGTAAGAGTTTTATCCGTGCATCTTTCATCAATAACAAATTTTATGCTATAAGTTTTCATGACTTTGACAGACAAACTGAGAGAGAGCAATGAGAAATTATAATCCCTTCACTGCTATTTTAACCTCCTCTGGGTATCCTCAAGCATTTTACCCAATCGTTGTATCATTAAAGACTTGATTTTTTTTTTTTTTTTTTTTTTAGAGGAAAGAGGGAGGGGAAAGTTGAGTTGGGGTCACAAATGTTCCTCATCTCATTTTCCGCGCAATGCTGGGCCTCTTGTATTTTTGTTCTGGTCGTTCAATAATGGATGTGCAGTAATGAAACACAAACTCTATTAATTTGCCTATGGTCGCTTTCACTGAAGAGACACCTAGACATCTAGGCATCCTAGCTATGCTTCTACATCAGATTTATTACCTCGTCAATGAGTAACCAAAGTCCTCTCACTCTAGATATGTGGCCGGAGGCGAATAATATTAAACACTTTTCAAGATAAAGTAGGACATGCTGAAATTCCCCTCTCTATATTGTTGACAATCTCTCCCTTTTTTTTTTTTTTTTTTTTTTTTAATCATTGTATTATGAAAATAATAATAATAATAATAATAATAATAGTAATCAGGTTAAACATAAAAAAATGCCGCGGGTATGGGCATGGACGTGGACATGAACATTATACATGTATGAAGATCATGCAACATAATAAAAAACATGAAATAAAACATAAAACATTATGGTCCCATGGATGGATGAAAACAGTTATAATACATTACAAATAAAAGGAAAGACAATAAGTCAAGTACAAAAATGATTTCCTTCCTTTTTTTTTTTTTATCGTTGTTGTTGCTGATTTCTCCTCCCTCTTTTTACTCAAAGTCGACGAGTTCACGGCTCCTGTCATTTATGATTTCCATCAGACTCAACACACTGGTCAAAAGTAAGATTTGGAGCCCATTCTTGTCAAGTACGTTCGCTATTGAGTCATTCGAAATAAACAGTTTATCGGATGCTCCAACATGGCTGCTTGAGAACTTTGCGATCTTTGTAGGAGGTCCGTTCGTTGCAGTCGCATGGCAGACAAGGACCTCGGATCCAGGTGGAATATGGATACTATGACCGCCCGGTGCAGTCCATTGATAGATTCGGCCCTCAAATTCAAATGCCCAGCATATATTCTGGTTGTCTGAAAGAGAAAAGTCGGGCACAAACCGCGGGTCAGCCCGTTCATCGTCCTCATCTCCAGGTTGGGGCACATAGGGTTGTTTGCCCATCCCGCCATGAACACTGTTCTTCTCAACAGCCTTCTTGAATGCGAGCATATCTCGGAATTGGACATTAATGTCTTTGGACTCCGTTGTGAGATTTAGATCCAAGAGATGTTCCCCTTTGCTCTTCACTTTACAAACTTGGCTGCCAGTTTGGTCCTTAATGGTGATGTTTCGGACATGGGAATCTGATCGTGAATGGAACGTATACGATTCTTTCTTGTTGTTGTCACATTGGCACTTGATCTTGGGCGAAATGAATCCAGCAGCAGTGAGTGTGAAAGAGGTCGTGGTGTTCATGGATGCGACAAAAGATACTGGTTCTTTGTGATGGTTGCGAACAGATGTTGAAAGTCGAGTCAATGGCATAGGCAAATACTTGGATGAGGATAGATAGCTGTGGTTTTTTTGTTTGTTTGTTTGTTTGTTCTATGGATAAAGTTATGAGAGGAAGTGAAAGGGATGACGAACACACAATAAAGCTTTCTAGATAAAAAAATATATAAGAGAAGCAGCGGACGTTAGATGGTGAAGTTCTTTTCTTTTTGTTGAGTAAGTCAAGGAGGTAAAACGCACTCATACAGATGTAACCCCATAAACAACAGCCGTCCTCCCCCCGCTCCTCATTTAACGCAGATTTTTAAAAAATAAAAAAAGGGTGATAAAATCTTTGCTTAGAAAAGAGCCAAGAGGATCTCATAAGGTGCAACATACGCAAAGAAGGGAGAGAGAGGCAGCAAGCTCAGGATGATAAAAGGACAAATGGATTAAGAGAGAATCAGCAGGAAATAATAGTTGGTTTTAGTAGTTGATCCGAAGTCCCATACGAAAAAAAAAAAAAAAAAAAAAAAGAAATTGAGAAAAAAAAAAAAGAAAAAGAAAAAGAAACCAATGTCGTGAGAACGTAATGCTTCTCTCAGTGTAAATTAGGGAGATATGCTCATTGGATTCATTGATACAGATGCGTAAAAAAAAAAAAAAAAAAAAAAAAAGAGGTAAAAATCAAGGATGCATGAGACAAAGGGGGTAGGGGAGGCAAGTTAAATGAGGAAAGGGGAAGGAAAGGATGGATACCGTTTTTACGATGTTTATGTAGTAGATGGATAGCTGAGCAAGAACACGGTTTTTCTTAAAAAAAAAAGACAATTCTGGGTAAATCCCTCGATCTGGTCCCAATGGGTAAATCTGAGATGCATTCGGGTTCACATTCTATTTTGCTAATATTGTGGCCGGTGTTGTCGCGCACACGCAAAACTCTCACACGCATACTCTCACACACAACACAAAAATGATTGTAGTCGACTAACTATAAACGGAAATCGAATGATTTACGCTTGCATTCTTGCATTCTTGACTGTAGTGGGTATATTTATATTACTCTCCTTCTCTACCTTACTTACCAATGATAAAGCTAAAGAGCACGTTGAGCGTTGAGTAAAGTAATTTGATGTCAATTGCGATTTGGGGAGTATATGATAAAACTAAAGAATACGGTGATAATGGGAAATATAAGAGGGATAAGAGAAATAGGAAAACAAGACAAAAAAAAAAAAGAATAAAGCAAAGGGAGATGGCGAGGCGAAATAAGACTTTTATATCTGTGGGAGTTGAAGGAAGATGGATCATGGGGGGCGAGAGGAGGAAGGAAGGAAGAGGTTGCAAGCGGTTTTTTTTGTCCATGCGTGCTCATAAAAGTTGGAGTTGAGAGCAGAAAAAAAAAGTTGATTGCGGCATGATCAAGAGGATTAGTTAAATGAATGCAAAAGGCATCAATAGGAAAGACGGGAAAATAAAATAAGAACAATAGGCAATAAACAAAACAAAAACAAATAAAACGTTGAGCTTGAGTGAATAGTAGTTGATTGAATTGGACAGGGCAAGGGCTAGGTTGCACGGATCGAGGAACAAGGGATGCATGAAGAATGAGTTATCCTCTGGGCGACTGCAAGCTAGGAACAAAATAGAAGCCGCGGCAGTTCATGTCCAATTTCTCTAACTATAAATCCTCGATTTCCGACATGCTTTGCTTGACCGTGCTCTGCTCCTGCGGATAACATATAGAAGCCGGTAGAGTGCAATGAAAGAAGAAGAAAAAAAAATTCTCCAATAACCACAGATCCTTAACTCTATCAAATCGTCATCATAGCAAAAATACTCTGAATACTTCTTTAGGTGATTTTAAATAGCACGTATATTTTGTGTTGTACGCTGTTCGTGTGCCTTTAATGCATGATCGCGTTCGATCAATAAACATGTAAATGTAAAACATTGCGGACACAGGTGGTTGGGCCTTTGTTTGCATGGTCTTTGAATGGACAGAGTTCGCCACATATATAGGAGCATTGACCACCACAAATTTAAAGTTTCTTGAAAAAGTATCACAAAAAGAGAACGTGCTTCAAAGTGGTGATGAGGTATAGAGCATGCAGCCAAGTCGATCTAAGTATAGCCAGGCTTTCCAGTCTTTACAAAGCTCGCGCTGATGAGCTAGCACATGACAAAAAAAAAAGAGAGAGAGAGGAAGGTGGTTTAGCATTTACATTTGTGCCAACGAAGGAGGCGATACGGAGAAAGGGGAAGGATTGGGATCACTTTTAAGGAGCTAAATGGATATGCAGACACTTTTTTTCGCAGATCATTCAGAGTCCCAAGGGAAGCTAGTGTTGAATATGGCGGTATTCAGTGAGCATACAAACAATAAAGCCATGATGAAGGAAAAAAAAAAAAAAAAAAAAAAAAAAGTGCTTTGTCGTTACGATCTTTATTAATCGCTACTCAATCCAATGGGAAAAGGGCACAGAGGAGAAACCCTAAGTGCGTTCCTGCCCCTTCCTGATCTTATCTCATCTCTTCTCTCCTTTTTTTTATTGTTAGGAAAACTAAAGACAAACACGTAAAAAGTCGTCATAATGAGCAGCAAAGCTGGTAGAGAAAGAACTGCTGTATCGGACATTTCTTCAAGGAAGGCAACGGCATTTCTGGCCGCGCTTCAACTCCAAAGCAAATATATACCCAATGTTTTATAATTGCAACTTCTACCGCTTTAAATGCTGTCCATTTGTTCTTTTGTATTTTTGGTTTTATTTTATTTTATGGACATGTAGCGCGATCTCCATCTCGCGTCTTTACGACAAAGTCAGGAGAGTATAAAATTGGGTGGGGAGAAAGAGCAGGAGGTTTATTGAAATGGATAGGAATCCTTGTTTGATCCACTTCCCCTCAGTTTTTTTTTTTTTTTTTTTTTTTTTTCCTTTCCCTTTTCTTATCCTAGCTCCATGTTCCCCTTTTTTTTACGTACAAATTTCGGGTTTTTTAATAACACTATTATATATACTTAATATATTCCAATCCAAAGGATATATATAATAGAAAAGCACGTCCTCTTAGTCGGTCATGCAAAAAAACAAACCAAAAATAAAGGGCCTTTAGTGCTTGCTAGGCCAACGACATTTTGAGCAAAGGATTCCAAGAGAAAAGCTGTTCCGTCGTACTGGTTGGTTTCCATTTGGTTTGAGCAGGGCTAATAAGCAGTAGCAACCAAAGGTCTTTTGTACTTCTGCTCACATTATTTTAAACAAGCTAAACACAGCAAAATCCAACTTTACCTGTGGGAGGGCTCGTGCATCGCGCAAATATTAAACATTTCATTTTCTCTTTTTTTTTTTATATCGTTCCAAGATCTGGATTCATTACTTTAATGCTGTCTCCTGCTTTGTGTGTATACAGATATTGCATATTGCTATTATCTGCGCTCTGCTTATAGCCTTCGTTCTATTAGAAATGGCATTACACATGTTCATAAAAACTTACAGAGGCAAAAAAAAAAAAAAAAAAAAAAAAAAAGACCTACACCCATACCAGGTTTCTAAATGGTTGTCATTTCCATGATATTAATCACGTGTACTTATTTTTATAATTGAACGTGTTCTGTATTTGTAGGGAAAGAAAAAAGAGAAAGCAGGGGGTTATTGTGATCTTTTTTTTTTTTTTTTTTTTTTTTCGACCTTTGATGCATCAAGAAACGCGTCTGTTTTTAGTAAAGCCTGTATACACCTTGTCATATGCGTCTCCCACTTCACTATACAAAATAATGCAGCCCCCCTCCCTCGTTACATGGGACGCACTGGGGCCCTTGAATAAAAAGATACGCGTTTGCATTTTGCTTTGTATCTCGTTATTGAAAGGGAAGCACAGCAAGAGCATGGGTCCACTGCTGTGCATGGCAAAAAAGCTCTAGAGCGCCTATTTATCCCTTGATCGCAACGAACAGGAGCCCGGCCATAAGTAAGGAGGCCAGAAGAGGTCAGAGAACAAGGGAATGTGATGCTTTATCAACTTCTTGTCCTCAGCATAAAAAAATCCGTGCGCGCCGTCTGGCCTCTCCCAAAAATAAATAGATTTGTCACTCATGCTGCCTTGGCTATAGGCAAAAAGGCAAATGATATTCAAAGCTCACAATGGTCCTTGGGCGTTGTCTACCCTTTTTTTTATTTCTTTTATTTCTTTTATTTCTTTTATTTTTTTTATTTTTTTTATTTTTTTTACGGCATTATAGAATGATTCTATTATCTAATAGCTCATCAATATATATACAAATATGCGGCGAGTCTAACAGAGACACGTTAGTGGATTCAAAGCAGTGAAGGAAGCTTTAAGATACCTCTATTTAAGCACCCGGACCTTTTGAACGCCGGACACAAACGAATGTAGGCATATAAATGGGCGAGGGCTAGGGGAAGGAGGCTGAGGGAGAGGAAAGAGGATGCAGAAGGGATCGACACATAGGATATGAGCTATCAAAAACTCATTGTTTCTGTCTCCTTGCTTCACGTCCCAAAGGTCTATTATATGCATTCGATATGATCTCCCTAATTTTAAATAACCAAACAATCATTCAAGAAAAAGAAGTGCATTGAATCGATTGCATTCTAAGGAGTGACCTAAGCGATAGGGAATGCGATAATAGACAAAAGACCATTATGTGACTGGCTTTGTCATGCACCAACGCGTGTTGAGGACATGCATGCATGTTATTCTTGAGGGGAGAAATGAAAGACCAGAAGTAGAAAGAAGTAAACTGCTCAAAGTCGTTCATTTTCTCTCGAAGTTTAGCGACAAACCCCTTGCCTTTTGTCTTCATTTTTCTTTTCCACTCAAGTGATCATAACCATGCGTTTTTCATTCTTGGCTTCTTTTTTTTTTTTTTTTTTTTTTGACCAGTTCCTTCATTTCCATTTTGTTTGCGCGTCTTGTCAATACGAGTTCCCTTAATTTTTTTCTGTATTTCCTGCTTAATGACGAATAACAATGAGGGATAGTAATGACAATAGAAATAGGAATAGTAATAACAATAACAAAAACAATAACAGACATGCACGTCGTATATTGGGCATCTTCTGTGTTACCCCTGAAATCTCATTCGTCGGGCTGTATCAAGGCATGGGTGTCCTCCCTACCGTTGGAGATCAAGTGTTTCTGCTTCCGAGGCAAAAGAAAAAAGGACCAATGAAAGAAAAAAGAGCAAGGAAAAAAAAAAAAAATAAAAAAAAAAAGAATTACTCCATTGAATTGTTTCGTATCGTATTGCGCTCTTATTGCTCCTCCTGGAACACGAAGGTCAAGAAGGAAGAGGAAAAAAAACGGTCAAGCTGCATTTGCTCTATTTTATTATACTTTATTTTATTTTCAAGGTACAGAACAAGTCGTGCCTGATTTCTTCTCTTCCCTCCTATCGCCCCCTAACGCCTCCCCTAGCGCCTCTTCCTTCTCATATGATACTGAATGGGTAAACAAAAACAAATCTATGCATTGGTTTGCAGGTCCGGGACTTTTTGAACCAGTGAGTCTACTAGGGTATTGCCATTCAGAATCTGTGTTGTGCAAATTACAAAATCACGTAGCCCACTCTCTTGAGATGCAAGGAATCGAGTCGCAGATACCTCTGTGAACGTACATCCCCCAAGGAAGAATACTAATGAGATGCGTGGTTGGCCATTCATCCCTACCATACCGAACCAATTAAATGAGAATGAAAGAAGAAGGTCATTGTTAGTATTACTATGCGGAAGCAACAGATACAAATAAAATACATGTATAGAAACAGAGAGAAAAGAGAGAAAAAGAGAAAGAGAGAGGAAGACTTACGCCTTGAAGACATGGGCTGCCCGTCATCGACTCGTTGCTTCTCATCAAATGTTCGTCCTGGAAGCATCCGGAGCACATCTTCAAATCCCCTCCATCCATGTCCACCCGCTACACCTGAAGATTTGCCACCACCACCCCCTCCAAGCGTCTTTGGATCCTTTCCACGTTGTACTACGCACTGAATAAGTCTTACGCTCAGCGGTGCATATCCCGAATACACATATGAAATATCATTGGGTGCATGCTCATTGACTTCGTCCACAATCAACGATAAACTCTTTCGAACGAGAGCATATGTATTCTTAGTCGTCACCTGCTTAGTCAACATGCCCAGTTTTCGTAAATTCTCCAAGGTTTGAATGTGTTCGAAACCATAGGCCTCCAAAATATCCTTTTTAAAGGATTCATATTGTTTTGGTTTGAGCCCGTTGTTAACAAGGGAGTAAAGACATAACAACCGAAGAACTTGAACAATCGGGACTTGCTTGTTAATCATTTCTTCAATATAATCAGGCTCTTTGGTAGTTGCGATTCCTGCCACAACATCTAGAGTTTTAAGAAAAGGAGAAAAAACAAAAGAGTGTAATTAACTATTCTTGATCGATTAACTTCATTCATAACTATTAATCAACTAGAGTCTAAAAGAAGAGAAATTTTCCTTCATAATCATCCACTTCAAGTACATACTCTGCTGGACTTCAAGGATCCTGTTGAAATCATCTGTCATTGTGTAATCCATAATTTGTTCTGCGAGTGATGTATCTGTTCCGAAAAAGGAGTAAAAAAAAAAGTACGGTCAATCAAACAGCCAACAGATTGAACTCCTATTCGAAGGATATAAAATAAACTTACGAAGACGAAGCGATTGATGTTCTTGAGCAAGTCCACCCATTTTATTAATGAAATCACGGATTTGTGGGACAGTCTTGGCGTTGTGCCTTTGTTCATAGTCTGCATTGATGCGCTTGGCGACTTTGTTCAACAATCCACCTACGACTGCGAAATTGAGATCCCGAAGCTCTCCAAATAATTTGTCACCTCCGTTGAGTGGAACCTTCTTCTTCTTTCCAGTGACAGTTGCTGAACTTGAAGACCCTGCTCCTCCTGGTCCTGATTGCGCAGGCGTCGCACTAGCAAGCGCAGCGTCAACTTCTACAAAAGCTAAAAGTGCGTGTTTTTATTATAAGGAAATGAAAAGAAAATTCATCAGATACAGATACTAACTACATCATTCAAAAAAAAAAAAAAAAAAAAAAAAAAAACATTACTTACAATTCTTGATATGGAAGATCTCGTCAATGAGACCCTCATAAGTTAATTGTGTACAAAGTGGTGTGACTAGGTCAACATCCCGATCCAATATAATGAGAGAATCAATATTCTGAGACATTTGAGTGGTTTGTGAAGCCTCCAAGTCATCCACAGCCATCTCTCGTCTCATCCGTAACATCATATCACATAATGCTTTGGAATGTTCACCCTTGCCCAAAATCCGTGGAAACCATCCATAAATCCCTTGAAGTCGCATCAATGCCTTGGCTGCATAATAGATCGAGGTCGTGTCCTTGTCCAGATACAATTCTCTAAAAGTTGAATCCCATTCCAAACTCAAGAGATCATCCTCCAAAGGAATCAGATCCAGATGGTATTCTCCTTTAGTAATTTCTCCAAATACACCTTCATCCTCTAATACTTTCTCACATAACGCCGTCCGCCTCGGAACAAAGAAAAGTGAATATGTATATGCTCCTGAACGAGATTCTGTCGTGTGTGTATGGATATGCTCTATACCAGATAAAAAAAATATAAATGATGTACCAGGTTTTTGATATCAATTAACTGTAATCACATTTTGATGTAGCAGATGAAAATAAATAGAAAATAGATAGCCTCAACTAACCTGCAATGTACTTCATATAATTGACTTGAGGCCGACAGATATAGATGAGATTTTTGCAATCTGTTTCCAATGGACCTGGCTGAAGATGGTATATTTTCTCAACGCCATGATCCTGTTTTAAAGATGATGACCAGTTAACACCTGATAAGCGATTGAACCAGTTGATCAATGATCAATTGAGCTCGAAACCTTGGCTCCTTGTATCTTATCAAATAGCCTTCTCAGATGATTGTTTCGTCCATATTAGAGTCTTTTTTTTTTTTTTTACATATATCACTTGCCTTCAACAGAGCAAACTCTGCAATAAGACTTAAAGGTCCACTAAGATTTGGGTCAAGCACAAGACCCTTCTTGCCTTGTACCTGCGTTTTTTTGATTTATAAAAAAAATTTATTCCCTTTATTTAGTCCCTTTATTTTTTGTTGGATATCCAAGGTTTTTTTTTTTTTTTTTTTTTTTTTTTTTTTACCGAGTCGAGGACATTGACAAGTTCCTTGCGAGCCAAGTCACGAAGAGAATCAATGTTCAATGGTGTATGTCCAAGATGAGCTCCTGTAGGCTGTGCTGGAGTGGATGCAGCAGCGACTGCAGCAGCTGTCGATGTCGACATTGTAAATGTACTTTTGGTGATGAATGGAAAAAACCAAAAACGAACACTTTTTTTTCGCAGCTTTGTGATTTTCGAATTTTAGTGTAGCACACAGTTGTGCAATTCCCGTGACATTCCCATGATCAAATAATCTCAATTGGGCTTATTCGCGCCCCTCCCTTCGTTTCTTCATTTCTATGCTTTCCTTTACTTGGGTCCACTTCTTTCCTTTTCTTTCTTAACTCTGCTCCTCTCATTCCTGCACTGCTTGTTTTACAAAGCTTTCAAAAAGCTATTCTTGACGGGCTTTGAGAAATTGTTGTCAACGCGTGACCCAAATAGGTCCAATATCAACTCCTCTTATTCCAGACAACCCAACAACAGCGGCAATGGACCATGAGCCAATAAGTCCTTCTTCAACAGCTCCGATATTTGAAGGCCGGATAGGGAAACATACTACAAACAGTGGCATGGGTATAGGTTCTGATTCTGGTTCTGGTACTGGATCAGGGCCAGGGCTAGGCACAAGATCAGGCATAAGATCAGGCACAGTATCAACAGCTCCATCTCGTCGATCAGTCCACATCTCTATTCCAGATAGTGATCGGAACAACAATAACGATAATGACGGCGACGCTTGCTCTGTGTCTTCAGTACCTTCCCATTCAACCTATTCATCTTCTTGCTCTTGCTCTGCTATTTCTTCTATCAAAAACTCGAATAGTCGTCACTCCATCTGCAAAAAGAGTATGAATGGAGAAGAAGAAGATGATATTGATGATAATGAAGACGAAATGGATTCAGTCATGAGTGCAAGGCAACTCTTTTGGACCTATGTCACCCTCGCACCCATTCTGCTTACCATCTGGGCCATTTTCGCAACGCTCTTAATAATACTTCCTTCAGCTGATAATGAAACCAGCATTCGATGGGGTAAGCTGTCAAATCGGTCGCTGCCTTTTCTTTTTATGTTTTTCCCTTCCATTAGGCCTTGTGAGATTTGAGGACTTTAGAAGAGTGCTCCTTACAATCATCCCCCCCCCTTTTTTTTTTCTTGAAATATATCCGTGCGGGCTTGTACAACTCATGACCAAGAAAAATGCATGCGTGCCATCTCTTCTTGTTTCTGTATTATCTAACCTTCCTCTTTTTTTTTATTTTTTATTCAGATCAATTGGGCGCAGGTGTGATAGGTTGGGTCATCGCATTCGGTTCCAGGAGACCCATCTATGCAACCTTTGAACATCTCTTCCATATCCATCCATCTCATTGTGAATGGTCAACTTTGTTTTCCGCTGGAGTTCTCGAGGAAGTCGTTCGTTTAGTCTTCATCCTCCTCCTTATTGGGGTCGGGAATAGTAAAGATTTTGGAGCTGTCTATTGGTTAGGACTTGGCTGGGCAGGAGTTGAAACTTTCTATTATATTGGGCAGTCATTGTATTACTCTTGGTCCCTTTCTGATGATGACTATCGTGCTGTGGTTACTACTGCTACTGCTACTGCTACTGCTACTACTACTGCATTTATGACAGCTTCAGAGAGATCACCAATCATCCGTCACAACAACAGCGCTAATAATGCAGAGGAGTATGGTGGTGTTACCAAAAGTACACAACAACAAGAACAACAACTTTATAATGATCTGGATACGTTGGATTCACAGAGTAATGAAGAGGTTATCTCTACTACCCGTGAAGTGAGACACCTTCTTGGCATTGATCGGCCCTGGTGGAGTTTGATGGGACGGACATCGAGCATGATGGTCCATATCGGTTTGTCTTGTTGGTTAGGCCATTCAGGATGGAGACTATTAGCTCCTGCTGCCATTATCCATGGAATACTCTATGTCGTCTGGGGCGTTGTTATGCCTGACCATTGGAGTGTCCCTGCAACATCCTATGGGACATTGATGGCTGCCATGACCGTCTTCCTCATTGGATTAGCGTTCTATGGAGAAATTGTTTAAAATAAATAATATCAAAAATGCCAACTTTCTTTTTACTTTTATCTTTATCTTTATTTTTTATTTAGCTATTATTACACATGTAGAAATATTAACGTTGTTAGGGGGTGCTTGCTTCATCTGCCACAAGATCTCTCTTCACTCCGCTTTCCATATCGAACTCGTTCAGGAACTATTGGATTTTGATATAGCAGATCACATTAGGACTTTTTTTTTCTTTCGTTCTTTGCAATATCACCATAGCATCATATAAACTTAAAGTTTGTTACCTTATCTACTTCATCAAGCAAATCATCGCCCTCAGCATCTTCATCTTCATCTTCTTCCTCCTCTTCATTCTCACTCTCTTTCTCACTATCCGTTTGAGTAGCGCTCTTTTTCTCTGCCATCCCGTCAGATTCAGAGATCACATTGACCCCCTTCTCATCACCACCTTCATCAGCAGCAGCACTTGAAGAAACCTTTTCAGAAAGCGATGCACTACTACTAGATTGACCAAGAGTGGTTGCGGCTGAAGACTTTTCTTCCCCAGGGGTCCCTGGTGCAGAGGATGACAATGACTTCTGTGTGCGACCTCCCGCGCCACGGTTCTGAATGTTGTTCGCAATACCTCCTGCAAGCTTCCTGCCTTCAGATAACAAGGAATCAAACACCTCCTTTGCAAAGAGTCCACGCTGACGATCCACTGGCTCCAACAATCTGAAAGAGGCTGCAAACCCGGAATCAAAGAACTTCTCCAATGTCTCATCTGCTAAAACAACCATGCGGAAAGTTGGAAGTGACATCTGGATCTCGGGTTCTTCATTGCTTTGTGCTGTTGCTGATACTGACCTTGGATCTTCTTCGTTTGTCTTGCCTTCTTTTATCTCTTCTTTTTCTTCCTTACTAGCATGTGCTGTTTCTTTTACTTCAAGTGAAGAAGATACTCCAGTTTCTGCTCCTTCTGTCTTTGTTTCTGCAGCGTCAGCTCTATCTACCAAAGCAGCAGCAGCAGCAGTCTTCTTCTGTGGTAAATCCACTTTCTCTGCAAACTCGAATGCATTGCGAATGAAATTTGATATTGCGCTCAGATAGGTATCACCATCATCAAAACGGAAAATAAAGAGTAGACTTTCAGACATGCCCAAAATCTCATCCCGACTAAGCGTTCCATCCTTGTTTAGGTCATGCATATCAAAGAAAAGTTGTATTTGCGTCATCAGGTCACCATGGATGATGTCGTCAAGACCCGTCGTGACCTCTTGAAGAGAGAGAGTCCCAGTATTGTTTTGATCAAACCGCTCAAAGAGCCTAGAGATAAAATGTCTACCCACAACCTGACGACGTTCACGAGCTGTTGCTGTCGTAGCGTTGGACCCACGTCGACGATGACGAGAAGGAGAAGATCCATTGGCTGAGTTATCATCATTATTCGCTTCATCATCCACTTGAGCCCAATGAGCTATGCTTCCCAAAAAGGACACAAATGTCGTCGCATCCAATGCTCTAGCCTCTCCTTGCTTATTAGACCCACTCCGATTCTGTGGGCGACCATAGAAGAGTGTAGAATAGAATCGATCATAAATCACACTCATTTCATCCTTAGTGAACTTTCCGGGGGAGATGTTTCGTAGTTGACTACGTTTAGTGAAGCTTCCAATATTGTGTACAATCTTGAGCTGATGATTCCTCCGAAGTTCCGCCACCATTTCAGGTGTAATTGATTCAAACTCTCTGAACGCCACTGACATCAACTCATTAAACTTTGTCAATGCGCGAGCCTTGGGATTGGTACTATTCGGGAACGCAGAATCATCCAAAGTACTGAAATATTTTTTCAAAACATCCATGAAAGCTCCATCGTCCTTGGCCGCCAATAAATCATCTCCATTGACCTTTAACACGGCTATAAAAATGCCAATGGGTAAATAAAAAATAAAATAAAATAAAATAAAAAAAGAGATCCTCCATTATAAATCAGTTTACCGGTTCCCTATCGGAGAGAGTGTGATGAACATACCATTTGCCTTTAAAATTTTTCCTTTTTAAACATTCTTACCTAAACTGATTTGAAAGAGAATCTTTGGTCCCTCAAAGAAAAAGCAATCCAGGATTCGGAAGGCATAGACCAATGGCATTGAGTTGATAAACAGACTCAGGAACCATGGTAAACAGGCCACTGATAGTTGGACATCCACCTTTTTCAAATGCTTACTTAAGATAGGCATTGTCTTATCAAGTAGGTGCTCAAGGATAGTTTGATCCAATAATGCGCCATACATCGATGTACTGTAATACCCAGGCAAGAGACGATCACATAAAACATTCAATGTCCAGAATGCTTGCTCCTCACTCTGATAACTATTAATGATAAATAAGGAAAAGAAAAAAAATAAAAAGTACAAAAAAGGGATTGTGAGACAGCTTACTTTTGCCAACATTTCTAAAAGAGAAATAAAGAGTAGGAATATCGCAATTATACCAAAAAAGTAATTACATTAAGATAGCACTGGTGACGATGTTCATTGCCTGGCAGTAACCCAGATCAGGGTTCTTCCAAGCATATGCGCTCAGTACATTTCGAAGACGATTAATGCCTTTAATATCCTGATAAGCTTGATACTCTGGTAATGATCTATAGAAAAGCGTAATACAAAATGGGAAACAGATTGCTTTTAGCTTTTAGTCACTCTACTTTTTTTTTTTTTTTTTTTTTTTTACAGAAATCCAGTTGGGCATACTTGGAATTTTACTGACCTGTTCAAGTCTTTCTCTATTTCTTCTAATGACAAGGACATCTTTCCTTCATTATCCTTCAACAGCCTGGCATATTCACCTTGATTCATCGATCTGAGAAAGAGTGATCCAGAACAAGCTTCCCAAATCTCACCACGCAGCTTATTAGGCAAACCAACACGAATCAGTTTAGGGAAAATGTCGACCTTTGTCATAGTCAAATTGCGTCCATTGTCCTTAAAATATTGGTGCCATAGCTTTGTTTTGCTCTTGTTTTTAAGTCTACAATAAGAAATGTGAAAAAAAGTCAACTTTTAGAGATTCCAGAAATAATAATGACATTGAAAACAATATCCATCTTACTTACTTTTTTGGATCTCCGGGAAACTCAAAAACCCATCCCAACCCGGAATCATTCTCCGCAATGTCAGGACGGTCTGCAAGGAGAGCTTCTGAGAAACATGTAGCGAGAAAGGGCTTCAGTGCTCTCATGGCCCGCACCTGAAGTTTAAGATTGGTCTTGAGTGTCCCACAAAATTTTTCACATTGAGTACGGGGTCCATTCAACCGAAAGATAATCCTCATCTGATGCCACGTTAGGATATTGAGCGCATACGAGGCTGAGGAAGAGTTCATCCTCTCCACACGACGGATGGTGAAAAGTGGTAGAGCTAACACACATGGCTTGGCTTCAACACAAATGAAGCAAAGAAAGGACCCTGACATGTATAATCGTCCGTGATACATATCATTTTTCTCACCCTGAACCATGGTAGCACTGGATTCTTCCATCAAATGTTCAGACGTTGGTAGGTTGAAGCGTAATTGGAAATCCTTGTCTCGTTTTTGTTCCTCAAGACCAAGTCGTAAAGGTCGAGTCGCCATGGCTGGTGAGTGAATAGATTCATTGCTCTCGAGATTGTCTACATCAACAGAAAACACGTCCTTGACATTGTCAGAATGATCACTTTCATTTGACATCCCTGGGGCATGCTCCAGCACTGTATTTCTCAATAAACGCTCCATGGTGAGTGTTGTTAACTGCACTAGTATGTCGTATGTTTCATCTCGGTGGAAGAGATTCGAAAAGAAATACTAATATAAAGAACACAAAATAAAAAAAAACAAAAATTGTAAGCATTACTACTTGATTTGGCTTTGTAGCTAATATGATATTTAAAAGAATAATAATAATAAATCTCCTTACCTCCTGGCCATCCTTCATGACTACACGGATTGCATCAGCAAAGACGCCACGCTTACTCTTTTCCTTTTGTAGATCACCAATGTCTTTTAATTCTAAGAAGATCTTGGTTTCCATCCCAAGCATGAACGAATAGAAACAGAGATAGTTCTCTGAAATGTACATCCAACCCTGATTCATCATCTTGCCGTGATATGAACATGAATAGTAACTGACAAGTCGTTCTGAGGGCAAGACATTAAATGTCTGACGAAAAGCTCGAGATGCACTTCTGACTTTTTCATCCGAGGTGATATCATCCGTTCCCTTGTCTATAATAAAATGTACAAAAAAAGATAAAATGTTAAATGTAAAAAAGAAAATACAACGGTACAACAATTGTTAACGCTTCCTCTTCCTCTCTGTCCCCCTGATTCTCCCGTGACATTAATCCATATAACGGATTGAAGTATCTTGATTTCTTTACCTGCTCGAGTCACAAGTGATCTGATCTTGGTCAAAACCCACTCTTCTTTTTCCTGAGCGTCGTCCAAAACCTGTAATCCAACCACAAAGTTTTCTATGTTCCATGCCAAGTAAAAAGCAAAAGAAAAAAAGGAAGAATTGACAGTTAGGAAGCAATGCTGTATGCGTGCACAATATCAAAAATCAAGATAATGCGCCTCTTTTTTTGTGCGCAGTTACACCGAGCTAGTTTGATTGATTTTACCTTGCACCCAAGTCCAAGCTTGGTCAATGCTCTTTTGAGTCTCTGCCTCGGCGATCATTAAGGCCTGAGCATTAACCTGCCGACGAAAGAGGATCCGAAAAGGTGCTTGCTTCGTATCGAACCTATAGTTTTGAAAAAAGAAAAAAAAAAAAAAAAAAAAAGAATAATAAGTCCATTGTCTGTTATTTTGAATACTATCAAACAAAGTCAATTGGAGGATCAATTGGGGAGTGAACTTACACATTTTGAATAGTACCCAAGAACGAGTTCAGAAACTGGGATTTAGAAGCCTTTGTACGCTGAAGTACAAAGTTCTCTGTGGACTGAACAGTGTCAAAGAGAGGGTTATATTGATCGCAAGGGGTAGGCAAGATGAACACATGCTGCGGTGGTTTCTGATGGTTGGCCATGGCACCAAAATAAAAAAACTTGAAAGATGAACAATGGCCAAAGGAGGAGATGAATGCAATGACACGACCGAGACTGAAAGTGAAGAAAAAGTAATATATAATATCCTCTATATTTCTTTCTTATTGTATGGGATTGTTATTCTATTGATGTGGATTGATGTGTGGCTCTTTTTTAAAAAAAAAATTCTATAACTAGAACAATATGTTTTTTTTGTGGAGTGGAAGGGAAGGGGGATTTGGGTGTGAAGAAGTAAAGAAGTAGAGAAGTAGAAGGAGGAAAGGAAAAGATAAAGGCAGTGCTGCCTTCTTTGCACGCAAGAAAATATCCCGTTGATAAAGATGCGTGAGAGAATGTGTAAAGAAAGAGCGAGGTCCACTTGCATCCCCCAACTTTCTCTTGAAAAAAAACGCAACCTTGAGGTTATGAGGCAGTCACGCATGCATATGGAATATCGTTTTTGGAACATTGATGTTTCTTTCCTTTCATAAAACAAGTTCTATATACACATCAATATGTGGCTGTTCTCTACTGGCGAAAGCGGAATGAAGAGTGAATAAGAGCAGAAAAAGAAAAAAGCCCAGCTAAAAAAGAGCCTTTGTTTTGAAAAATTTCTAAAAATTACTTTTCTTGAAGTTCAATGAATGTCACTTATTATACATGTAAAAGTATTATACCCGGATGTTCGGTCTCATGTTCGGACCCTAATTGCCCGGATATTTTTATCCGTGTTTTTTTTTTTTTTTTTGTGGATGACTTTCTTGTCGGAGAACATGACAAGATTTAATATATCTATCCGCAAAGCTCCTTCGTAACAGAAAAGATAGAGAACTTGATCGTCCTTCATTTTATTCGTTTAAAAAATAAAAATAACATAAGCATCTATATCAACCCCTTTAATTGACTGCACCTTTTTTCGTCAAAAAGATCACGGAGAATCGTCCTATCGACGCGTAAAAAATAAAATAAAATTAAAATAGAACATATAAGGATCCTAAGTCATATGATTTAGCCGTAGCTCCCAATAGGAAACAAATGAACCCATCAACACCACCTAAATGTCTCATTGACCATCGACTAGATCTAACGAACGTGCCTTACAATGAGACCCGACCCACACAAGCAAGCAGCCTCCAGGAGATATCAGAACAAGATAAAGAGCCGAGGTGGCGCCGTTGCTGGAACCAAGGCTGACTCGACTGCAACTAGTGGTGGAGATAGAGGCAGACGAGAAGGTGGTGGACATGGACGTGGACAGGGACGTGGAGGTGGACGTGGAGGATACAGAAATGGAACGCGAGATGAGGAGTCGGAAGATGAGGATAATGTGAACGAAGGTATATACTAAGGTTTCTCTGCCTCATGTCACCAATGATATTAAAGCGCATTGACTTAAGAATTCTAATTGTACACCCCTTTCACATTAGCACCTAGGAAAAGCTACGCTAGACGCAAGATCGTCAGCAATGCTGATCGATATGTTGAGCTAGATGAAGAAGGTACTGTGAAAAGAAATAAAAAAACAAATATGCAGGATCCAATACTAATCAAATGGGAATTACCGGTTAAACACCTCTTCTTATCTCTACACCGTTATAGTTAATGAAGCAGAGGAGCTTGAGCAAGGGATCGATCGACAAACGATTGCATTCCGAGAGATGTTGAAAGACCCTGGTACGTATACATAGTCTTAATTGGTTCATTTGTAAGGATGATTTTTTATTTTTTAAAATTACTTTGGTTTTCTTTGCAGTAGTGTACGCCTATTGACTTTATCTTCCAATATTCCTTTTTTAACTCTTTTATAAACGCACATGCAAAAAAAAAGATCAAAAAAAGACATTCGACCCTACGGCGTATTTTCGATTCAAATCAGAGAAAGAGGTCGATTCTCAGGATCAAATGGAGGAGCCTCAGCAGGTGCGAAAACTGCTGGAGGTTCGTTTAAATGATATTGAGCAGGCCCTCATGACTTTATCCATCAAAGAGCGATTATATTTGCAAGATGCCTCTGCCGAATCCGTAAGTTGAATATATCAGATATTAGCACATATAAAGAAAGAAAGAGTAACACAATATCAAGGCGAAGGCCAACTCTCCAGATATGATCTCTCTAACATCAAATTACTTTTCATTCAGCTTGATGGCGACATGATAGGGAAAGTCTCACTGACTACTGGAAAGCCGATCGTGCCAAAACTTGTCCGTGGTCAAGCAGCCTCCGATATTCTCATCAAATCATCAGCCACATCTACACAAGGAAATAATACTACCTCCTCAATATTAAATCATTCTACTCTTCGCAGCCATTTAGGAAAGTCAAATACATTTAAACAAGGTATGGCGTATTACGTGGATATCTCCTTTTAAACTCACATTAAACATAAAACTTAACTGTAAAATCATTTGATTCACACTGCAACATCTGTAGATGATGGTGAATTGGATGAGTTACTAGATTTTACGAAGACATATGGAAAGGCCCAGCCATCTGCGCCTACCTCATCATCATCGACGTTATCATCAGTCGCGCCTCCTCCTCTCAAGCATACGACTACACCATCAACAGCCTCAGTACAAACTTCTGCACGCCCATCAGAGCCATCCTCTATCGGATCAAAAATACGCCTGCCACCGCCTTCTAAGGGAGTCAGACCACAAGGTAGCACAGCAGCAGCAATAACAACAACATCACCATCGGAAGCAACAACAACAGCGACGCCTAGGAAGGGACCCTCGCCACTCAAGAAGGGGGCCCCTCGCACCAATACAGGGAAGAAGGATGAAGAATGGCTAGATTCTGTTTTGGGGATGTAAAAATAAAAAATAAAAAATAAAAATAAATAGAACTTTGGATCTAAAAATGGGTTCAGGGTATTATAAACAAGTAGAATATGAGCGCGCTTTATTTATGTAAGGTTCTGTATAAGTTCTTCAATACAATCGCGATCCACGCCTCCCTCATGCTTGTTTCTTTGGTTCGGTAGCACAGCATGTTGGCTCTGTCTTTTTTCTTTTTTACCCTCGATTTCAAATATACATCGGGATTTGTACTGACCATTCTCCATGTGGCGATGCAATGGATAGGAACAGATAATAGAATGAGAGCCATATAACACGAAAACGAGAGCAGTAGAAAGTACGGAAATGTTTAATTTCATCATAATGGAGATGGCCCCTACTCCCATTACATATGCACCCTGGCTTGAACAGTTTAGACATCTTCCAAGGCCACAGGAGAAGGACAAGGCTTTTGTTTTCCCTGCAATAACTTATTGTTCAAACAAAATAATAAAAAAATAAATAAATAAAGTAAAAAAAAGAGAGAGGGGAAAAGAAAGTAAGATCTCACGATGGGCAATTAGCTTTCATCATCAGCTGCGTTGCTGTGCGAGTGAAAGGATAAAAAAAGAGAATTCGAGTGGCCCAATAATCAACAATAGAAAATAAAAAAGGGGGATTAAGCTAAAGCGCACAAACCGATGGAGAGAGTGGCGAGTTCATTTTTTTTTTTTTTAATCTTGTAATCTTGTTGTTCCTGAATCCCCTCTTCTTGAAATGAACACCCGTGTTTGTAAAGATGTAAAGATTGCTCAAGACATGGCAAAAAAGCCCTCTCTTTGTACTTCACCCTCGTTTACCCTCGTTTCCTAAACATGTCAACATATTCGCCGTATATAAAAAGGCACAATAAATTATAAAAATTAAAATCAAAAAAAAAAAAGACCTTCTTTGCCCTTTCTCTTACTCTCAAAAAAGTTCGAGAGTGTATATATACTTTGCAATCTCATCGCCACTTGGTCTTGACTTCATCATTCTCTTCTCATTCCTATTCTCATTCTCTCATTCTCTTCTTTTCATTCATTCACTTGTTAGTGAAAGTATTTTTTTTTTGTTTGTACCTATACCTTTTATTTTTCTCACACTTGTATATTAAAAACACATTCCTCAAAAATGTCCTCTACTACTCTAAGTCGCCGATCTGGCATTCGAGCCCCCTCTGGTAGTGGCCGTCCACGGTCAAGACCCTCTTCTTCCAGTACGAATGTCGATCCTGCCAATAATGAAAAACAACAACAACAACGACATTCATACTCTGCCAGCTCTGGATCTGAATCTGATCTATTAGTTCCACCCGCACCTCCACCAACACAGCAATTATTGTTCACAGAAGAGCCACAAGAAATGACAAAAGAGGAAGAAAGAGAGCTAACCAGAGGAGAAGCGAGAGGAGAAAGAGAAGAAAAAGTAAGAGGGGAAGAAGAAGTAGAAAAAGATAAAAATATTCATACTCGCCTCCTCAACGATGATATGTTCACACGTGCGTACAAGCCTAGTTTTTATTCCGAACCTCTGGGTGGTAGTACGAACTACGACAACGGATTTATTGATTATATTACCATTGGTAATAGTAATAGCAGTAATACTCGTAATAACACCCGTCCAGATTCAGTAACTGATGGTTATAACATTAGCAGCAACCACAACAGCAATAGCAACAATAGTGACAACGACAACGACAGCGGCAACACCGAAAAGGCCAAAAGTAAATTCATATCGCCACCATCTTCTCTATCACCATCATCACCATCATCACCCCCTCCACCTTATTCTCAAACTCCACGGGTCAAAACTCCAAGGCCCAACACTGTGCACCAGGACACTCTGATTGGAAATGGTAACATCTATAGTTTCCATGAGCATAATTTCCCAATGCCACCTCGCTCTCGCTCCCCTAACCCTCAGACCAACCCACAAACAGCCCTCCATCAGCAACTGGAACAGCAGCAGAAACCATCTCCTTCATCAATTCCTCCACATTCACCACTACAGGAACAAGGAGCCGGTGTCGTTAACCAGGCTTTATCGCGCTCCGAAATCCCTCCTCGACGCGATTCCATATGGTTGGGACCTCCTGATGAGACCGGCACCGTCGACTCTGGCTCTACTGTACCAGCATTCCATCCAGGGCAGAGGGAACTAGACTATTTTTGTCTGAGTCGAGTAAGGGAGGAAGACGAAGATGGTGATAAGGAGCAGGAGCAGGAGGAGGAGGAGGAGGAGGAGGAGGAAAAAGAAGAAAGAAAAACGGACGATAGAGAAATAATAGTGGTTGTCAAAGATTTTGCAGAGAGAACCAGAAATGACAATCCATGGGATGATGCGGGATACGAACAACAGCCTGTCAAAAAATTTCAGTTACGGGATCCCTCCACACCCAATTTCCGTCACGCACAAGCACAAGCACAGACTCTGATGCATGGGCACAGCCTTCAACGACAATCTGATCAACAATCATTCCCCATTCCACCAGTCCGACCTCGGGTCCGACAAGGTAGAAGGCCAAGGACACCACCTTCACCCATTGATGCGTTCCATAATGAGGATGACGCCGGTGGAGACAACTTTAAACAATATACCAATGAGCTTGAGACCCAAGAGACATTGAAGCGAGAGCGAACGAGGATCCTTCAACGCACAGTCGTAAGCAGCTATCGACAGATCAATTACAAAGACATCACCAATGTTCAACCACTTAAAAAGGGCGGCTTTGGGGAAATCCATACTGCAGAATGGTCGCGCCTCAAGGTGGTCTTGAAGAGAGCGCTGGCTGATGGGATTGAACAATTTGAACAGGAGGCAAGTGCAATAGTCCACAGAAGGATTCAGAAATATATAAAAAAGGAAAAGAAAAGGAAAAGAAAAAAAAAATGATTTGGCTGACTTTTTATCTAACCTCCTTGTGCATTTGTCATGTTGCTTTTCTTTTCTCTTTTTCTATTTCCTCCCATACATAGCTTGAAATCTTGAAGCGTGTGCACGACTATGATTTTATCGTCCCGTTCTATGGTGTCACCATGGACCCTATTGCAAACGTGAGATGCATGGTAATGAAACACTGTGCCAACGGTAACTTGTGTCAGTTTCTGGAAAAGAACCACACTACCTTGACCTGGGCAGAACGATACCGGTTGTCGATTGAGATCACTAAAGGGCTGGAGTTCCTTCACAAGTCAGGGTTCTATCACCGAGATCTCCATAGTGGTAATATTTTGTTGGACGACAAACGAACAGCCATGCTCTGTGATTTCGGGCTGAGTCGATCCGTGAACAAAACTCGTACGATGGATATGACTGCAACTGTGGGTGTGGCGTCCTTTTTGGCACCTGAACGTTTCCCAGCAGAGAGACCTGTTTATTCTGCTGCATGTGATATCTACAGTTTAGGAGTCATCTTTTGGCATATTACCTCTGGTAGGATTCCGTTTGCTAATCGATTGGGAGCTGGGACTGGGGTCGCATTGTTACTGCGTCAGCTCATGGAGGGTCTCCGTGAGGAGATTGAGCCGGATACACCAGTCGAATATAGGAATCTGTTGACTCAATGTTGGGATGTCAATCCTTCTGAACGACCACCAATTGACATGATCATTGCAGTATTGCAAACTCTTATGGCTGAACCTTCAGAACCAGTTCATCTTCAACAACAACACGGCGGCTATCCTTATCATCACCCTCACCATCGTCCAGTCGCAGCAGGCTTCACAGTACCCAGTAGCACTACCTCAGCTGCTTTGCCTGTCCCTCCGGAATTGGATACAAAGATGGCAAGTCTGGAACGCGCTTCCAACACGCTCAATAAGATGGTATTTGACATCACAGACCCTACCATGAGAGAGACAGTTGACTATATCCACCGTAAGTCATACACTATATTTCATCGTTTTTTTTTTTTTTTTTTTTTTTATGTTCTTTTTCTAATTCCACTAATTCATTGGTGTTTCTCACATTAAATGATAGGCATGCGTAGGCGCTTCCGAGAGCAACGAATGCCAAAACAACCATATTCCCTTTCCAACCCACCAACGGTACCCATCTATCTTTGTCCACTCGTAGGGGACATTGAAGGATTTGAATACCATCTTTCAGTCCATGACAAATCCTACAATCCTATCAATGAATCTAGTGAGCAGACAGGTGATACAGCTTTACACTTGGCTTGTCTGTTCCTTGAATCCCCATTGGATACGATCAAGGTCCTAGTCGAACTCGGCGCCGATATTAATCTCGAAAACTTGCAAGGCTATACGCCTCTGATGATCTTGGTCTCCTCAAATACTCAGTACTGTTATGAGGCCCTTAAGTACCTTGTCATGCGTGGAGCGCGTATTCCGGCTTATATCCGTAATCCGATTACACCCTTGGGTAACGCTCAAACCTATGCCAAGGACATCGTTAACGAATCTAGACAACTCCAGATGGATAATTCTGTCAAATATGCTAAACAAGCTAAAGTTAATAGTATTACCCACAACAACAGCAGCAGCAACAATCGTAAACAACGAGGAGGAAATCGGTTCTATGCACAAGGCCGACCTCTTATCCATGTTGTTGCTGCGATGCAAGACGACTATCGAATTCTGGACTGCCTTTGTGAAGCAGGGCTGGATCCGGCGATTACATTTGGAGGTGAGAATGCTTTAGTAGCTGCGGCAGCTCATTTAAAGATCAAGAACATGGAATGGTTATTGAACAATGATCTCGATATCAGTTCGCAAAAGATGATCACGCGTGCTACTAAGGTCGTCCGCTTACTCCATGCACCCGTCCCAACGTCCCCGACCGATATCGGTGGGTTTAATGTCTATGGGCACGGGACTATGTACATCACTGCCAATCATAAACGAGGAGGCGCATCCGGTCCTGGGACAAGTTCAGATGTCATTATCAAGGGTTCTACCTGGGGTCGACTTGACCCAAAGGAGTTTCCTGAAGATATCCGTGAGCTAGGTCAATATTCTTGGGCAGGTGCTGCTTATAAAGGTCGTCAAGGTACAGATCAATTCAACAAGGACATGATTGGGCCAGTATTACAGCTTTTAGAACAATGGTCTGGCCATCGACTGAATGAGGCAAGGAAACAAGTCGCAACCAAGCTGATGAAGGCGCATCGCGCTGCTGTGGCTGCAATGGCTGCTGTGGCTGCAGTCGCTTCGAATAATGCAACGACGAATGCTACTCCTCCCATTCTCCCCCGTTCTCCTTCTCCCATGCGTATAGATACTGTTAGCGCAAGTCACCACCACCATCACAACAGCCCCAGACCTTCTTCCCCTTTTGCAGCACCATCTAGCCTTGTCAGCCCAGGGGAAAGTGTTCCATATATACCTCCTCCACCTGCTAATCTTAATCCTGGTCGAGGTAGTTCTAACATCAATAACGGTTCTTCTCGTCATCACTCCCTCAGAAAGAACCAACGACATTTAATTGATCATGTCTTAAGAGCCAAGGCACCAGTCCGGTACTGAAAAAAATAAAAAAAAGTAACATATACGCCCGATTATCTTGTATCAAGACCTTCCTTTGTTTATAGCCGGAAAAGGCCTTTTTTTGTCTTGTGTTTTTTTTTTCTTGGTAAAAGTACATGCTGAATGCAACTATAATAAAAAGAACGAATGGATTTGGATGTAAACGAGGTCCGAAAATGAGAGAAATGATAAAAAGAAGAGAAAAATAATAAAGCAAACATGTATATGGTTCCTTTAAATGTAGGCACGGCTGTTATGCTTGGCCATATCCATGATGCGAACTCCTCTAGTCAAGGGATTTTTGAGGTTCTCGGGAGTGATGGTCATGACACATGCATAGGTGGCCTCCTCGATAGCATCCTCCTTTCCAAACACGACCTCGCGTGTCACTCGGTTGCGGAAAACTGTCACCTCCTGAGTATTGAAGGAAATGATCAATACAGGGACATCATTCTCCAAGACCTTTGCAGAGACCAACTCTACATTACGCAGCTCCAAGATCTTGCAATCACTGACCAGTCCCTGAGCAATCTGTGCTTGGAACCCTGCTGTCAAGACATTATAGGTCGCTTCTGAGCACCACTCGTGCAACATCTCCGAGTCTGTGTTCAAGACTGCATCCATGACCTCAGGAATAATGAACTCGCGGCACTCCTTCATGAAAGCATCCATCTTGAAGTTAGGATCAATCATCTGCAGAGCTCTGATCGTCTTGGCATTCTCAGTTTCGTCCATCATTGAGACTATAGGGTATCACAGAAAAATAAAAGAGAAAGGACTGCCATTAAGATCAAAGCTTTTTTTTTTTTTTTTTTTTTTTTTTTTCCAGGGGTTGAGAGAAAAGCAAAACAGTCTTTGTGCAAGCAAAAAAAAAAAAAAAAAAAAAAAAAAAAGCCAAAAGGATTTCTAACATACCCCATGCATCTGCAATCTTGTCAGTGACCACACGAGCCCAAGCAACAAAAACATTGTCGCTGTCCTCATAGTTCTTCTTCATACTAAATACGCTTTGCATGACAGGGTTGGTATCCTTGAATTTGCTCCAAGTCTCCTTCCATGCAGAATCCTTATGGAGCACCATAGATTCTCCAGCGCTAAATTAACAGGCAACAAGAAAAAAAAACGAAAAGAGGGAGAGGCATATGTGTTAGATATTGTATCTTGTTACAATGAATTTTCCCTGCAAAGAGAAATGAAGGTGTTATGATAAAATAAGCATTGAGAGGAAGGAAGGAGGGAGGGAAGAGGGAATCAAAAAAAAAGGTAAAATGGGCATACTTGACATCTTCCTTTGTTTCAGGAACAGCAGCCTGGGCAGCTTTCTGTGCATCCTTGGGACTGAAGTTGACATCTAATCCACGAGCCTTTCGACGAGCAGCTTTGGAGATGTATCCTCCATACCTGGACTCTGTGTCCTGGATCACAGTCTCGACAGACTCTTTCACATTCTTGAAGTATTCATTATCACGAATAGGCTTTGTAGTAGAATCCATTGTCTCAGCAAACACCTTTCCAGTCTCTGAGATCTAAATAAATAAATAAAGATACGACTCCACCTGTGTTAGAGATTATAAAAGCGTTCATGAAAATAAAATGTTTACTGTTGTCTTTTTTTATTTCACTGCTGCAAAAAAAAAAAAAAAAAAAAAAAAAAAAAAAAAAAACTAGCATTACCTTTTCTTTAGATCCCTTCACAAACTCATTCTCAGCAGCACCTTTCAATGTTTCACTAACAGTTTCACCGATCTTTTCTGATGCCTTCTTGAAGTGTTCTGCAGTCTGTTTAATCTTTTCTGTTGCCACACTAGAATCCTGAGAAAAATTATGAAAAAGAAAGAAAGAAAAGTTAAAAAAAGGTACAGGATTTGCTAACGATCAAGATCTCAATTTCTGATTGAAACTTTTTTTTTACCTTTGCCTTCTCAAAGGCCTCCTTGGCTTTCTTGAGCGCATCACTCTCTCCAACCTTGCCGGACTCGTCTTGTAACTTCTTGACAGATTCTTGTAGTTCCCTGTTCTTCTTGATCTGTTCCTTCAGAGTCTCAACAAACTTACTGAACGCACTTTGAGATTCATATCTGGCAGAGATCAATGGTGCAGATATATGACGGCTAGTAGGGTGTGCTGTCAAACGTTGTGTGGAACCAAGGAAGGTGGAAGTGGGTCGAATTGCTTTAGCGCCTGTGGAGGAAACTAGAGATCGGAGAGCAGACATGGCTGTTGAATTCGTTGAAGTGAAATTAAAAAAAGATAAAAAAAAATAAAAATAAAAAAAAGGAAGAAAATGGAATGAAACGGAATGAGGATGCGGGGAAGGGTAAAGAGGAAATGGAAAGTAAAAAGAAGAAACGGAGAAAAGTGGGATCTCTTCAACGTTCTTTTGGGAGGGGAGGGGACTGTTGCGTTTACTTTCTATCTTTCTTTCTTCGACCTTTCTTCCTTCGATCGGTGGCTTGTTTTGATGACATCCAAAAAAGGAAGTCTCGGATCAAAAATTGTTCTGTTTTTTCCGTAGCACCTTCTAATTAAACTGAATAGTGATTTATTGTACTAGCCTCCTTCTCACTTTTTAAAATCAACGGAACCAAATGGCAGCTAAATGTCTGTGCGATATAGAGGGAAATATCTAGAAATAAAGACATCAAGGATTGACTCCTTTCTTTCTTTCCTTCCTAGTTCGCTTGCTTTTTTGATCCCTTTGTTCTACCGCTTACTGCTTTACTGCTTTACTGTTGGTCAACCTTCTTATTGATGTCAGCAAGAGTCTTTTCGATTGTCTTTGCCAGTTCAGGATCCTTGATCAATCCTGAATCTACACGAGGCTCAACTGCTTTAGCAATCTTCGGTTCTGCAGGATACTGTTGTCCTGAATTTTCATTTGCCTTTACTGATTCCGCTGTTGCTGTTGCCGTTTCTGTTTCTACTGATGACGATGATGATGAAGAAGGTTCATCCTGTGGCACTTCTTGATCAGTTGGAGCAGAATAAGCTTGCTCCTTTGGCTGCTCCCCTTCCTTCAAGTCGATGCTGGCTTCCTTCATTGATTCAGCCACGGATCGGTTCCTGCTTTCGCCCTTCTTGGCCTTTTCCAATCGTTTCTGTCCAATGCCTAGCTCCTCATTCTCCCAGGTAGTGATCTTCATACCCACACCTGCCATCGAATTCTGACTCAAGAACTGTACCCAACGACGAACTACATCCGGATGTGTGTCCTTAATGGCCAAGAGACGCTTATGTGTCTTCCTCTCAAAAGTCTCCTGAGCCTTCTTGTGAACAAAAGGTGATTTGTTGACAGTCCACTTAGAGGTCTTCACTGGTAAAGGAATTACTCCTGAACATGGCATTTCCAATGCTGCAGCGGTCCGGCGCGCAAAATCTGCAAAGAAATCCAGTCTATCAGGGAGGTAGGATCGAAGATGGAGATGTGCGACTGTGATGTTGTGGGTTGTAGGGATCTGAACAGGCTCACCGTAGACGAGACGATCTTCCTCAGAAAGACTCTCGAGAAGATTATCAGTGGGTGTACTAACATTTTGTCAGGTTTTTTTTTAAAAAAAAAAAAGACGAAGATAATAAAAGGAAAGAAGAAGAAATGGATAGGCCAACGGTTAAATTTTTTTTTTCCTTTGTTGTAAGGCTATGATGCCGCGTCTCCTTCTTTCTTTGTACCTGAAGGAGCGAGTGGCAATAGATGCTGTCCTGGCTGCATTCACTGCACGGGTTGACAACCCGGTCCTGAGCGAGCTCAACATTATTATTTTTTAAATTAAAAAAGCGGATGTCTTCCCGGAAAGGAAATAAAATAAGAAAGACAGAGGCTGATGAATAACAAAAGTCTGTGGAATGTCAGAGTCTTGATGCAAACTTCCTCCGTTTCTGTAACAGAGAGTGAATGGCCTTTCCACGAAAAAAAAAGATCAACAAACAGGGTGGCGCGGGGAATAGGATTATATCGCAGTCACGTTTTGTTTTGTTTTGTCTTTTTTTTTTTTTTTTTTCTTCACTTGGTGAAGGACTTTCTCTTCAACTGTATGTGCTCTGTGCGTCGCTTTTAGTTCTTTTTTGACGAACAACAACAGGAAAGGCTCTTCACTCTCTGTTCATCGCTTCCGCAACTGACTCTATTCTCTCCATTCACTTCTCTCAAAACCCTTATTCACTCGTGCTTTTTTTTGGCTCTACCTTCCAACGCACCTCCCACCTCAACTATCACATTTATCCCTTGCTGACTCTTCCTTTCTTAATAACAAAAGGAAAAGATAGCAAGGACATTGACATAATCCTTACACATCCATCATGGCTCCTCAAGCACCGCCTCAGGGCAAAATCCACTTGAAGACCAGCTTCAAGTCAACACAGACGATCGAATCCATCTATACTGGAGGAAAAGTCTGTATATCTCAGGATGAACAGTATCTCATCACGACGGTGGGTGAAGATATTGACGTGATTGAGATCAAAACTGGAAAAAAACTTTGGAGACTTGATGGAGATACCGAAATGATCACCACATTTGCAGTGACTCCGGATGGGCATACCCTTGTCAGTGCTAGTAGGAGTCTTCAACTCAAAACCTGGGACCTTCGTACAGGAACATTGACAAGGACCCTGAGAGCTCATGAAGCCCCTATCATTGTCATGGCAATCGATCCAACCTCAACCCTTGTCGCCACTGGATCTGCAGACAGTACAGTCAAAGTCTGGGATATTGTTGGTGGATTTTGTACACATAACTTCAAGGGACATGGTGGTGTCATCTCAGCTGTACTCTTCCATCCAGATCAATCCAAATGGTGGCTATGCTCAGGAGCTGATGATTGTACAGTCCGTGTTTGGAACCTTAAAACCAGAAAGTAAGCCTTTTTTCATGCTTTCAAGTTCAAAGGTTTTTTTCTTTTTTTTTATTTTCTTCTCTTATTCCTTCAGTTCTGACTCATTGATCTCTATATTTATAAAAAAAATCTCCACATTTAGACCTGTTGCTGTTCTGGAATCCCATGTCTCGGTTATTCGTGGATTAGCAGTCTCCAATTCAGGGAACTCTTTGATCAGTGGATCTCGCGATAAGGTCGTCAATGTCTGGGATTTAAGAACGATGAAACTTGCGACCACATACCCCATCTATGAGACTTTGGAGACAGTTGGTATCTTACAAAAGTCTGTGATCCAATCCATCGGTGATAAGGACGTCTCGGATCGGGAAATGTTCTATACTGCTGGAGACTCTGGGATCATCAGGATCTGGGATTTAAAATCAGGAGAATTGATTGCGAAACAGAAGGAAGAATTGGGTAGTAAATCTGGGATCACTGATGTCTTGTAAGTATTTATCTAGATTTATTATTACTATTATTTACTATGATAATTTCATCGCAAGTCAAAAAGGATTTTTTTCTTACTTTTAAATATATACCTTTCTCCGGTAATCAATCCATCTAATTTTAGGTATAATACGAACTCCCAGCAGTTGGTATCGATTACAAGCGATCAAAATATTCTCTTCTTTGATATTGCCAGAGACTTGAAGCGTATGAAGCAGATTGTGGGTTATAATGATGAAATCGTTGATGTGACATACATTGGAGAGGAAGAGCACCATTTAGCGGTTGCAGCCAACAGTGAGCAAATCAGGGTCTTCAACCTAAAAGAGTTTGAATGTGATCTCATTTATGGACATTCAGACACCGTTATTTGTCTGGACAGGAGCACCGATGGAACATTATTGGCCTCTGGCTCTAAAGATAATACTGCCAAAGTCTGGACCCTGGATCTGGAGAATGAAGATCCAGATGAGAGATACAAGTGCATTGGAACATGTGTCGGACATACTGAAGCTATTGGTGCTGTTGCTCTAACCAGAAAAACTGACGGACTTTTGCTCACTGGAGCACAAGACAGGACAATCAAATGCTGGGACCTCAGCACTGGCGGTAAAAAAAAAAAAAAAAAAAAAAAAAAATCCTAGTAGATTTTTACATATACTTCTCGATTGGTTCCTTGACAATATAATATGCTCATACTTCGGATCATTTATTGTATTTTTTTTTTTTTTTTTTTTTTTTTTTTTGTTAGACTTGGATGAACCTAATGCAGAACATCGGTTCAAGTCTCATTACACTATCCAGGCTCACGATAAAGACATCAATACCATCGCTATTGCTCCAAACGACAAGGTGTTTGCGACTGGATCGCAAGATAAGCTTGCAAAGATTTGGAACCTGCAGGAGGGTACACTCATAGGCACATGCAAGGGCCATAAACGTGGTGTCTGGTCTGTCAAATTCTCCCCTGTCGATCAATGCTTAGCTACTAGCTCAGGAGACCGAACAATCAAAATTTGGTCCCTGAACGACTTTAGCTGTTTGAGGACATTTGAAGGGCACACTAATTCGATCTTGAGGGTTGATTTCTTGACCTCAGGTCTTCAATTGGTTTCATGTGGTTCAGATGGTCTTGTTAAATTGTGGACAATCCGTACGAATGAGTGCGTGGCAACGTTGGATAATCATACGGAAAAGATTTGGGCCTTAGCAGTACGCAAAGATGAAAATATGGTGGTAACAGGAGGAGCTGACTCGATGATCAACCTTTGGGAAGATTTCACAGAGACAGAGTATGCAGAAAAGAAGCAAGCCAAGGCTGATCAATTGCTCAAAGAGCAAGAATTATCAAACTATTTAATGCGTAAAGATTGGAAGAATGCCATCACACTCGCCCTTTCGCTTGAACAGCCCTTCAGATTATTGCAACTCTTCAATCAGATCCTGCGAGACCGTCCTGAGGATGACACTTCGATCACAGGCTTGGAAGCTGTAGACAAGGTTCTTATGGGTCTATCACTGGATCAAATTGCAAAGCTTCTTGGTTATGTCCGTGACTGGAACACACATGCTAAGAACATGCGCCCAGCCCAAACAGTCCTTCATGCGATTTTGAGGCAACGCAAGGTGCAAGAGATGACTGAAGTGCCCGGAATCAAGGATTTGTTGGACGGTCTTTTACCCTACAGTGAGCGTCACTTCCAAAGGCTTGAGAATCTCTCAGTTCGGAGTTATGTGGTTGATTATACAGTTCAGGCTATGGATTTGATGACCATGATGGGCGATATGGATTTAGTTGAAGAAGATATGGATGAGGATCAAAAAAAGCTTCGTGCACAAAGGAAAACAGAGGAAGAACGTATGATCAAGGAAAGACAAGATGCATTCGCTGCTTCTAGGAATGCACATGTCTCGGGGCCCATGGTCAATGGCACTGCCGTAGTAGTATATGACGAGGAGGATGACGAGAATGTTGACGCTGACGGAGTCGGAGATGGAAATGAAAACAACGATAAAGGAGAGCGAATGGATACTGAAAGCGAAAGTAAAAACATTGAAGCAAGGGAAGAAGACAAAGACAGTGACGAGGATGAGGATGAAGACAGTGACGAAGACATGGAGTAGTATAGATAATCTAGCATCATCAATAGACATTACTTTGCATTTATATTTTCTTTAGTTGTTCCCCTTATGGTTTTTTTTATTTAAAGAATGTGATTTTTTATAATACATACAGCAGAAGAACAAAAAAAAGAGGTGATTTTATGGACTCAAGGAAGCAGGTTGACTGCGATAAGAGAAGCAGCCCAGAACAATATGGAAATATATGAGCACTGGTAATTCTGAACCTGAACTTGAATGGGTATATGAGATGATGAGCCATCAGCCACTTCTACCGGGAAGACACCAGGCATAGGCTTGCTTCCATCATCTCCTTCTTGAAATTGCTCATCAACACTGTCGAAGGGAGTACTAGCTCTGTCTGTCATTTTTGCTTTTGAAAGACGTAACAGTTCAGGATAGTTAAAGTCCAAAGGTAAAGATGACAATGATGATGATGGTGACGATGAAAATGATAATGATTGCTTATGGCCAGTCAATTTCTCTGCTAAATCTAGCAGCTGTGCTTCGCGTTCACGGATAATTTGTTTTAGAACACGTTCTCCTTCTATTTTACAACAAGCCAGATCATGAAAGAGTGGGGTGAGAAGTTTTGGTTATTTTTTTTTTTTTTTTTTTTTTTTAACAATCATAGATTAATGAAGGAAACAGAGAGTACATACCACATTTCCGACGATAATTCTCTTCTGCTTGATGAAAAGCTGCTTTCCAAGTCCTAAGCGACGAAGTCAGTTCATCTACTTCAGCACGGAGTTGTCGTGTCATGTCAATGTCTGGTTGAACATTGATTTCTTGATTTTGATTGCAATGGTGCTCCTCTTGCTGATCTAATCCATTTAAATCAGTGCTATGGTTACGATGTTCACATGTCTGAGGATACTGTCCTTGACCTTGACCTTGACCTTGACGACTCATCTGGTTCATTTGACTATACGCTTGTTGCAGTTGTCGATGCATCAAATCGATTTGTTGCACCAAAAACTCATATCCTTTCTTCCAACCTTCATCGCCTCCATCACCACCTTCCTTTGTCAGCTTGAACAAATATTCATTGACCTTATCCAGTTCTTGCTTCAACTCTTGGTTCGTCTCTGCAGATCGGGTGACCTCCGTCTCCAAAAAGTTGATCCGAGCCTGCAACTGCACCCAATCACGTCTAGGCATAATAACTTCAGGAAGATCACTAAGTTCTTGCCCTTGTCCTTGTTGAAGTTGATGACGGTGATGATGAAGGTGGTCTTGTTGCTGTGATGGTTGTTGTGGTTGTTGTTCTTGGTCGATTGAATGAGGAAGAAGGTTGATATCATCATCCTTGCGATCATATCTCACTTCTTTCGAATATTCATTGGTTTGGACGTCTTTATCCACATCAATATCATCAACAACAACATCGTCAACATCAACATCATCATTAACAACAACAACATCCTCATCAGTATCGTTTTCGTCATTTTGGCCTTCATCATTCCAGTCGACATCAAGATATGGGTCGATATCATGAAAGGATTCATGGGTTGAACCCTGTTCCACAAGGTCTTTATCCTTTACAGGGATGACAGGACAGGCGTTACGAAAGCTGCAATCTTCTTGTGGAGAGAGCGGTGGCGATGGTAACTCGGCTACATAACTCTTTGTTGTACTGATAGCTTTCTAAAACATTAAACAATAAAGCAAACATATAAAAGAAAATTTGTCGGTGTGAGAAATATATCTTGACCATAAACACCTTTTTGAAAAGAGAAGAGATGGTAATAAAAAGGACTAGGGTGTATTTTATACCACTGTTTTTTGCCAAAAGGATGCTAATCTATCAATCTTTCGAGGGTTATAAACCACGTTGTTGTTGCTGTTATTCCTCTTCTTCATGTCAATAAACAAAGTGTTTTAAAATAAATAAAGTAGAAATCTGATGTTGATTGTTCAAACAAACTTTGTGTGCCCTTTGTTGTTTGTTGTTCCTGGGTTCCTGTTCCTGGAAGGTCATATGTGGTTTAAAAAAAAAAAAAAAAAAAAAAAAAAAAAAAAAATTACAGGCGGAATAAAAAAAAACTTTCAAAGAGTAAAAGATGATTATGAATGTGAATGCCATGAGCCATCTACATGACTAGATCATCAACTCTTTTTTTTTTTTTTTTTTTTTTTTTTTCCCAAAAATATCTCGGGCTGTTAATGGAGTAGGAGATCTGTATTTGGTCTGAATTTGGTTGAAAATGATTTATGTCTTTTTATCTCTCTTCATCACCAGAAGCAACTCCATTTGAGCAATTTTTCTTTTGCTAGTCTAGCACGAGCTATTCTTGAAGTTTTTTCCTTGTAATCTTTACTAACTATTGTATATGGAAATACTTACGGAATTGAACGACATATTGCTATGAGAGCCACCATTAGAGCCTGTAGAGATGAGCATCGTTGGTCGATCAGCGTTAATGTTATTTGAAATAATTTTTACAATCTAATATGTTATGCTCCGTGCCGTGTGAGGGAATGGAGCAAAAATTAAATGCAGACAAGCTCCAGGGTCAAGGGTAAAAGGGTCAAGGGTAAAGAGAAAAAGAAGGTGGAAAAAAAAAAAAAAAAAAAAAAAAAAGGGTCTTAGAAAATTGGGGCATAGGTGAATGGCAAACGGACCGATTCCCACGTGTGCTTGTTGCTGTTTTGTTTGTGTACAGATTTGCTCGTCAACAGTGTCAGCAGTGTCAGGCGTAGAACCGTAAAACACAGCAACCACTGATCTTACTGGAAGGTTCGGTAGCATTTTACACATTATACTGATGTAACTAACTAAAAAGGCAATTGTAACCTTTTTTATAAACGTAAAGGTGGCAACTCCCTTCAATATTCCTCCTACTGCTTTAAAGTTCCAGCCGTTGCTTTTTTATTTTCAATGACAATGGTATTATAACTTTTGATTTGTAGCTTGTAAATTCCGAGCATGTGTCCTGCTCTAATGGCTTTCTTCACATGGGAGCCTCAAATGACTATTTACTTAAAAAGGTCCTTCCAAACCACGAAGCTTAACTACTCTAGTGCACATTAACCCCAGACAGTAGGCCCACAGTTGCTTCCAAACAATATACTCCAAATCCAGAGGTGATCATGATGCATAAGCAGACTAGTTCATCAAGACGGCAAGATAGCTTCCAATTGACATTTTTGTAACCGGCTGGTGGAGGAAGATGAGGCATAGGATACAAGTTGGGATAACCATAGGATAGAGGGAAAAAATAAAAAATAAAAAATAAAAAATTGGCACAATGCATATTTATCACCATATCACTTTTACCATTTTGGACAATATCCGTACCAATATTACTGACGAATATGTTTTAATTGTGGTGGTCCGCAAATGCAAAATACGCCGTAAGAGTGTAGACAATACACTGGTGGTTGCTTTTGAAGAAGCAGGGGGGTGTGTTTGGCATCGTCTTGAAATAAGCTCTTAGATGTTAGAGTCTTCCATAGCTTTCCTCTCCGCATTGTTGACTGTATATTTGAGTTCAAGATAAACTATACTGGTTAATTGGCTCTCAGCGCTGAGAATCTCAACCGGGAGCGCAGCAGAACGGGCTGCTATTGAGAAGATGGAGACATCGATGACATAGACACTTCTCGTGGCAGTCAGAAGTATTCTTTCAAAGGACTGGGAGTATCTTTGGTTATATAGCATCTTATTCTCCGGCGTGCTGGTGACTTTCATTAAGCTTCGCCTCCATGGCAGCAAAAGTCTAATACGCCAGATACATAAGCAAAATATACTGAATAGTATTAATCCAGCCGCAACTGGCAACATGCTGAAAGCATATGTACCTTTCAAAGGCCGTATTGAACGCGCTACTCTGGAAACTATTATGGAGTCCTCGCTAGAAAGGTGTCGACAAATACATTTTAAATCAAAAACAATGATTGGATTGATTTGGTGGCTGATTGTCTGAAATGGGAATATCTCAAATTTTAAAGACTCTCTGGCGAAGACTCCATATCGTCGCACAAACATATTATTATTATTATTATTATAATCATTGGTTTTTTGAACATTGAAACTGATGCAAATAATAGTATCTTTCCTTGGTTCACAATGTTACAGAAAGCGCCATAATCACTCTTCAGCAAAATCAAATCAATAGCAGTTCTAGAACTGAGGACGGCTAAAAAAAAGTTTCGCCGCCACATCGTCCGGCAGCTATGCTTTGGGCTGGTTACGAGTGTAATAAGGGCCCTTTAGGTTTGGGGCGCCTTAAGTGTATTCCATTAAACATGCAGCTCATAGCCATCCTATTATAGTAATGCCAAAACAACTCTAACATCAATATAATGTAAACATTTGTATCTTCTCAATGCTCTAATAGCAAAGGTTGTAGGTAACAGACTGTACGTTCTGAACATCTTTGACGAAGATTATGCCTTTCTTCCGATCTCTCTCAGTTTGGTGCTTTGTTAGCATATCGTCGGCGCGTAGAAACAGCTCGCTATGTAGCAGGTCATGAATAGTGGCCTTGATGGGAGCTTGGTTCTTTTCTCGTCGTTGACCTAGCTACAAGTTAGTGGGATATTGAGTCACTCTACATATCATAAAAAGTCTTTAGCTTATACAATTCTAGTCAATGCCTCAGTTAATGAGTAGGCTAGAGATTTCGCGGTAATTAGGAAGAAGCTATTAGTGATTCCCTCTATTCCATTTGCCCAGTACCAAAAAAAAAAAAAAAAAAAAAAAAAAATGGATGAAGTAAGAGTCCTGCTATGAAGCAACGCCTGAGAAAAAAGATTCGCCATCACATCGTCGACGGCTTTGCCACGAGCCTAACTATGCTTCATGATGGCATGATAAAAAGGAGGTCTTGCGGCTCTTTGATAATCCTCTTTTCCATTCCTCCGGTGTTATTTTTAGGTTATTGGAACCTTGCCAAAAATCCAAAAAAAATAAGGAACTGTCAACACCATTTCATGGAGTTGATGCTATACCTAAACTTTCCTTCTCACTGAACTGTCTTGTCCTACAATATACATGGATACTGATACTGTACAAATGTACTTGACAAAAAAATAAAATTGCATGTAGTAAAAAATGCATATGCCCGACCCTTTAAAATTGCTTTTTTTCCTTACTGAATGGCAAGTAGGCAGTGTAACCTTGTCAACTCTAACTTAATCTCCATTCTGTCCCGCTTGAGCAACGTTATGCTTATTGTCCTAGGCCATACAGACCAACCATGCTTGATTATGCAAACTATACAACCATACTATGCAACCTTCGCGAACTATGCAAGCTTTGCAAGCTATCCAAGGCCGATGACGAATGGCCTACATGCACATGTATATCTTTACAGAGCATAGATACTCAAATGATACCAACACGATGTCGCATCAGCAGTTGGAGAGCAACAGTCTTATCCTATTCTGCTCATGCATATGGAGGTAAGAAAAGGCTACTTTTTTTGGTCGGCAGGGAAACAAGAACTACCTACCATAATCCACCCCAAAAGCTTTCTTTTTTTTTTTTTTTTTCACTTAAATACCGCTGTCATTTCTCTTTATTTTCTCTCTACTCATCTATCAGCTTTGTAGCACCTCTTCGCTTCTGACCTCTCAAGCTTTTTAACAGCTTCTCCTAGTCCTAGTCGCACTTCTCCCAATCAATATTCTTTAAAGCTACAAAACAACTATGAAGTTTGCTACTGCCTCCGCTCTCTTTGTTGCCGCTTTGGCTTCCACTGTCTATGCTGGTGAATGCAGGTGTGACGACGATGACAGCAGAGTTACCGCTACAGGAACCCTCACTGTTGGCCCTGTCCCCACTGGCACTGAGGCTTGGTCCTCTGTCTGGTCCTCAACCTGGTCAGATAGTTGGTCTTCTAGCTGGGCTACGAGCTGGACTGTCACAGGATCTGCTGCTCCTTCTGTCCCTACTGATCCGAATGCCGTCCCTTCTCCACCTTCGGTCTCTGTAAGCACCACAACGGTCAGCACTACTGTCACTGTCACTCTCCCTCCTACCCCCACGGCCACACAGCCCTCGGGTGGAAACATCCTGACTATCCCCCGCAAGGCTCTTTTAGCTATCGGAACTGGCGCTGTCATTCTCTCTCAGCTCTTGTAAAAACAACCTTTTCCTTAACCCTTTTCCCTTATATATATATTAACATGTAGCTAGCCTTATCTTAAAAGCTTTTCTGGGATCATTCGCCACTCTTTTTTCTTTATTCATTGTATAGTATGCAGCAGTGACGTTGCCTTTGATCTGCGTATCTCTTCTCTCACATCATTTACAACATGTACTTCAAATAAACGTTACCTTGTCAACAGTAGATTGTTTGTCTATAACTATCATCGTTGTCATAAGACATGTTTTTTTATACTTTTTTTTTTATATTCTTTTGCTTCTTTTACAGCCTATTTATGAAATGAATACGATCATGGCGTGTTCTTATAAAACAATGCTCCTTGTAGAACAATGGACCCTAGCTGTTAATCCCTCTCTTTGTTACGCCATTGTACATTACATGAACTCATTCCCCTTTATTTTATTATTTTTTTTTTTAAGCAGCTTGCTTATCATTGTCACTAAAAATTTTATTACAATACCGACCTTTCATCTTTACTGTGGTGATGTGAAAATTCCTGAGCACGGATATCAAATAGTAGACTTGTAACAAAGAACGGTCCAATTGCCCGGGGAACTTTTTTTTTTTTTTTGTTCATGCAGTGCTTCAACTTAATCAACATCAAAACTTTAAATATTGCTGAGTCGGAGTAACTCCAGAACTCCATGTCATGATATTATAATCCATTGTCTACACATACATGCATAAGATACAGTCCGCATCCGGATTTGGAACCGAACGCAAAACTGATTATTTTCTATCCAATTCATATTTTGTAACCACTTAAGTTCATCAAAAAGTTGTGTGACTTAGCTTCTGATTTGTGCACTCAGCCAACTTTGGTCGCGTCAGCTTGAAGACGAGGGGAGCCATTATATTGGCATTCAATCTGAGATGTTTAAAGGATCCTGATTAAAACTCATTGGTCATCGTAGCGAAAAACGTCCTTGGCATTCGTAATCATAGAGTGAAAGTAATCTTCTGACTCTCAAACCAAAGAGGGCCCGAGGCCTTATCAAGTCTTGGCAGTCCGTACCTTATTCCTTTGGAACCGATCTCTCAAGGCCCGCTTCCTCAAGGCCCGCTTCCTCAAGGCCCACTTTCTCAAGACCATTGTTGAGCTCTGCATATTGTAGAGAACCACAGAGCTTTTGATCAACCAATGAAATCCTTTAGAACCTGGTATCGTCGAACAGGTATGTGCATTGGACTAGTGACCTACTCGACTCGGCTGGGTACTGGTTGTCCAGGAAGCTAGCAACATGCTTTGAGGGCAGCCAATGCCATATCCCCACTCAAGACCAAGGAGTCGACTAAGATGACTAGAATCTCTGTTGATGGTGAGAGAGCCTAAAGGAGGTCAATGAAATGGTCTACCTAAAAGGTATTGAGCTCCTGCATGTCGGCAAAGCAATGCTTCAGTTGAGACAATCGAAATCTCAATAGCTAGTGACGTATCTAGCTTCGTATCTAACCCTCTTAAACAGTTATGACTCCGTTCTTGAGAGTTCTGGGTCTCTCTAGTAACTGGCATAATAGACTGTGTTAATAGCAAGGATATAACTCTGAAATGTCATTACAAAATGTTTCACTATTGGACAAGTTTTCTCTGGACCGATTATCTGATTTGATGGTTCAACGATCACCTACACTGCCAAGGCTTTTAGGCTCAGCCATCAAATCGAACGGCAACCGATTTGAAGGAAAAGCTTTGACCAAATCAACGATCGGTAGCATCATGACGTATCACACCTCTTCTTACTATAACCTGTATCAGTTGGTTATGGGCATACTTCAAAGGGGCACCCCGTAAAGTCGCGCTGGACTTTCAGTGTCATACTCTACTATTATGTAGACATTGCGGTTATTAACCAAAAGTTCATTGATCGATATCCGAACTATAGCTGCAAACAAAAATCGATACATTATTTATGATAATCTGAGTCAAGCATGACCAGACACTAGACAATAAGGATTCTTTGTAAGCAGTACCATATGCGTGTAACTACTGATTTTTGGATCAACGCCATGCAGAGGTGTCAGCTGGGAATACAAAATCCATGGGATGATGGTGCCCACTAATCTGCGGTTCTTTGCAGCCCACGATGCATGTTTTGTTTAAGCATGCACGGTAGTTGCGAAAAGCGAAGAAATACCAAACAAGTATTAAATCTTTAAGAGGAATACAAAGTCATCCGTTGAAATAAAAGCAGAAAGAAAGTCAGAATGGAATTACAATTAGGCCGACATCTGTATATAAAAAGTAGAAACCGCGAATAAACTATCAGTGGACAGACATTTTTTTTTTTTTTTTTTTTTTTTTTTTTGTTTTGAAAAAAGGTTATTATGGCAAATGAAGGTGGTCAACAATCATCGGCGATATTTGTCGTGCTATAGTCAAGAAACAGAGCGACAATGGTTACTTCATGTGGAAGACTTTCCTGGAGGGATGGTGGCGAGTGACCGCATTGATCCCGTATTCCACAGGCTTTCGATCGGCGATATGATGCTGTAGAATGTTCGTGTAGCTTGAAGAACACCATATATCTTCTACTACTCACGTGCCAGAGCTCCCACTCTGTTACGAGCAAGGAGAAATCAGACCATCTGAACTTCACACATTCCCTCAGCTACTTGACCTGATAAGTGAAGTTTTACAGGATAGATAATGCAGTAAGTCAATGGGGGGGGGGGGGGGGGTATCGACAACTACGATTAAACATGTAATAGGAAGCAAAAAAAAAGACATGTCAAGGACTAGGAAGGTGAGACACGGGCCAATAGCGCAAAGGCCAAGGTGACCAAGGTGGTTAGGAGAGTTGTCACAAGAATCTTGACTTATTCCCTTATTTTTCATAATTGTATAGAATATTAATATTTGCAGCAATTCTATCTAAAGTGAGCCCCTTCAAGTGTTGGTACCCCAAACGAGGTTGTGCCTCACGAGGCAAAGCAGCCATCGAAATGCCCATGGCTCCATTCATGACCGCACCAGTCAAGTATTATAAATAATCCAATTAACATTGCGATGTAGCTAATAAAGGGCTCAGACAATGATATGAGAGCTAACAATGATGTGATGAAACATTCAAGCCAAATTTATTTCCACAATGAGATTATTAGATGTATATTTGAACATACCACAAGATCAAGGCCTAAACGTGCTTGTCAGTGGTGGGATATGTACGTCTTTGGTAGGCAATGCATCTGAAGAGACGCGTTTAAATTAAATTAAATGCGAAAAATAGCTTCGTGGCACTGCTCGACGCCATGTTGCATTCTGTATTTTGCTTTCCTTGCCGTTCTACTCTCTCTGTCTCTCTATTTTACAACCGCAATTGCATTGCCGCATTGACCAGCACTTTGACCAACCACAATCATTCTTTTCATTCTACAACACTTTCATTTTAATTCAAACCGGACAAACATAAAGGAACAACAACAGCAGCGACAAAAAGAGTGAACAGATTAATTAATGGCTATGCAGGAAATGAAGATTGGGTCTGCGACGACAAGAGAGCATTTGCTCCGCGCGCAATCTGGTCAAAAGATGAAGCTCAAGGAGAAATTTGTTGAGATTTATGACACATTTCTGAGGGTAAGAACCACCATGTGTAGCATACACGTCTTCCCTCTCTCATTCTCTCACTCACTCTTTCTCTCTTTGGATATTATGATTTCATCAAGCTAAAATGCTGCTTTTTATTATCCCTTCGCTTTTTATTGTTATCATGAGTAGGGTCAGGATCCAGCGCAAGGCAAAGACCCCGATGTGTTTTGGGATGAGCTCTTTTTGATTAAGGTATGCCTTTTTTATATTAAAATCCCTTTCATATCATAGACAGCAGCAAGAGAAAGAAGAGAATGGGACAGACAAGCCATTAAAGGTTAATTCATGTATGTCTTGTTATTTTATCTATAAAAATGAGTAGGTCAATGAGGAATATCTTTCTACGAGTCTTAGGCAAGTTAGTGAAGACCAATTGCTCGCTATCAAAGACAGGATCAACAGCATCTTTTTACATGCTGTTCAAACCATGAGGGACCCATTACCTCAAAGACGACTTCATGCTATGCAGGTACGTGCATTCATTCCCCTAAAAAGACATGACCTTCTTTTTGTGCCATGTTGACACGAAGGGTTATTGAATGCTTCGATTAAAAGAATGCATTTCTATCCAACTCTTTTTATTAGACTCTGACTATTGTCTTAGGAGAAATATTTCAAAAAAAGTTCAACAACTGGAGTTTCGATGTCATTCATTTACTGGTAAAGAAAGATAAATGAGCTCCATGCCATGCTTGAAGATCTAGGCCATGAGGTTTATGCTGTCCATTGAGCTTTGTTTTGTCTTTTGATCACCTTTTCTTTTATAGACAGGACTTTCGCATGCTGACCTTGTGTTCCGGACATTAATCCAAGGATTGAACGATATCCTTGGAAGCAATGACTCATGTATGACTATTGATTGATGTATACAGCCCCATACTCGGATCAAACATGTATCTTAGCGATGAACCGCTGTTGATAACACGTTTTCTTTTATGCTCCTTGACGAATACAATTAGTGGAAATTCAAGTAGCTGCTCTAAGGCTTGCCATAGCGCTAGCGTGCGGTAACGATAACGTGAATAAGAACAGCTTGAACGAATATTTCATGCAGAAGAACATTTTTACCTCATTAATCAAGGTGAGCATTCAAGATCTTGTTTTAACAATACAAACAAAGGCAATTTAGCTTGTGGTCCGCTTTTCAACTCATTCTGCGTCCACTATGCTATCTTATCATAGTTCTTCGTCATGGTGGACTCTGTAAATTTGGCATTCGAGGCTATGTCTTTGTTAGGTTTGCTGGCAAACTATAACAAGTATGAGTCTCAGAACCCATATCTATCCAACTTGGCGGCTCTGAACGATTTGAGCATACTTCAAAAGATGTGCATGGTTATTGTCCATACCTGCGATGGCATGCGGAGGTAATTTTTGAGCTACTAAAATGTCTTCCAAAGTCCTACGGATTAAATGGATCATATATCCTCACTAATACCAAGAACCTCGAAAAATAGAGGATATATTGAAATTATGGATGATGACGAACAATCAGCAGTATCAAAGCTCACCAGCGCACTGTCATACGTTACAGGAATGCTTTGGAATCCAAAGGCGCAAGATAGTTCTGTCACGGATGCTGCTTTTACCACACTGTAAGTAAATTACTACGACAACCGCATCAATTTGAAAATGGTGCTCGGGAAAAATGGATAAGGGACTGATAGACTTTTATTTATAATGTTCTAGTCCGGACGGTAGAGCCTCAATATTGCTGATACTCTATGACCTCATTTACAACAATAAACTCTTCCTTAACGAGTTTTTGAATTACTCCACATCGAAATCAACTACGACTGGCTCACAGGATAAGGTCATAGGAGAGCAGCAGACAACATCAGAGACGAGTGAAATAGCCATGGGGTCATTCTTGTCGTTTTCATCCTACATGTTGCAGCACAACCGAACCCATCGTACCGCTCCTTATACTCATCTTTGTCTGATTATCATGTTGATCTTGGTGGAGGACCCCGCCACATATCCGTATCTATGTAACATCCCACGATCACATGACCCACCATCAGCACTTTTGACACAGGCAGGGGCGGTCCCAGTAAGCTCGATGGCGACTGTACGGCTATGCCGTCAGAGACAGCCTGTACTGCCAAAGATCAAACAAGCCAGGCCAATGGGTGCAGTTCTCTTGGATGTCATTTTGGGTTTTTTGAAGCACAACATGAAAAAGAAAATGCAGATCGACTGCTTCCGGTATGTATCTATGCTTCCGTTGCTTATCATGTGGATTGGCGGATCAAACACAATGCTGTTGGTTCTAACAATAAATATGGAACAATGATAAATTTATTACAGCATTGCCATCGCCGTCATCTTCTCGGTTGCAAGCCGGTTCAAATCACTTCGTGTTCGCTTGCGTAAGTTCTCTAAGATGGATAGTATATGAGACTCTATCGACATTGGAATCAATACATTAACGCATTTCGTTTTCTGTATTATTGGACGTATAGCATATCATTGGGTCGAGATGTGGAATACACTTTTAGGGCTTGTGAAATTCCTGCAATCCAACAGCAAGGTGCTTCAAAACAATTCCGAGGCTAGAGATTTAATTGCTGAAGTAAGAATAGATTGCTAGTGTTTAATGATCTACATAATGGTTCTTAAACAAATACTGAAAGTTTTATTTATTTATTTGGTAGACTATTGATCTTGTAAACTATTTTGTTACCTTTGGAGATCTTATCATGCCTGATCCTGCTAGTCTTTACGCCCTATACTATGAAATTGTGCGCTCAGGAATCGATCCATTCACTGAGCTTACAAGTCAGTGTAAGTTGAGATCAAGCTGGTGTCATCTGGATCAAATCATTGCTAATCCGGTGTTTTAAGTTATAAAACAGTATCATGTTTTCTTCTGTTTTCTCATCTTCTCTCTTTCTCTATAATTATCTACTTAGTTTCGATCTCTGTTCAACCCCCTCTTCCTCCGCCGCTGCCTCACCATGATCTAACCTCCCGTAATCGCCTCAATTTAGCGTCCTCACCCATCTCAAGTCCTTCAGAATCCGCATTGTCATCTCCAATCCCAGCGACAGCCTCTGTCCTGACATCACCGCCTTTATCGCCATTCCAGACCTCCCATAGTCCTTATGGACCTACGTCTCCTTTAAATAACGGCGCAAGTGGTGGTGGTAGCAGACCCTCCCAGCAACGTGTAATTATCATTAATTTGTCTAATATCAACCAAGTCCATACTTTCTTCTTTACACATCTTCTCGCATGGCGGGACGCCAACCCAACAAGAAGTCTTGGACCCGATTTGGTTTCGACTATTATCAAGGATCATTACAAAGACTTGACGCTAGTTCCTATTTCCTTGGATGCATTTCTGAATCAGCGACAGAATATTATCCCATTAGGAGTCAAGGGTTATAATATCAACCAAGGCTCAACAGCAACAGCAACAACAACAGCGACAATAACAGGAGGACCTCATCCAGGATGGGATGGGTATTCTGAAGTGCCTAGTAGAGTACATTTCTTCAGGCAATTGATTCGATGGGTTGTTGCAGATCTAAGGACAATTTCCAAGCAACATACCTCAGTTGCTCGACGGAGTAGATCCCCTTCATCTGGGACAGCAGTACCAATAATAGTTGGAACTTAAAACATGTCAAAGAAAAGTGAAAATAAAATACCGTTGAAAAAAAAAAAAAAAAAAAAAAAAGGTTTGTTGAGTGACGACGACTATTATTATAATATTATAGTTATTTGATCCCATTCTCTACCATGAACTAAAATCGCCAAATCCTCCTGAGACAGTTTTCTTTTTCTTGGCGGGCACTGCTAGAATATTGTCCAAATCATCATCCGCAGTTCCATTAGTTGATGAAGTTGATTCATCTTGATCAGTATTTTTTTTCGCCACGGCTGCGGTTAGATATTTACCAACACCACCACCGACAGCGCCACCACCTTCAACATCTCTCTTAATTGTAGGTCCGAACCAAGTGGAGTGATCTAAAGGGTTTTCTTTCTTGGCAGGGTTATTTTTGGTCTCCTCCTCATATTTTCGTTTCCTTTCCAACCGTTCTGTGAATGTTTGATAAGGATCTACAAAAATAGTCACATCCTGCATCACAATTCCAGGTGGAGAAACAGGAACATCGGTGGCCTCATCCGTCGGTACCAACTCCAGTTTGTCCAATACATCCATACCTCCGACCACTTTTCCGAAAATTGTGTGCTTGCCATCCAGATGTGTGCAGGGTTTGAATGTGATAAAGCTAAGGAGCAAATTTTTTTTTTTTTTTAAAAAAAAAAAAAAAAAAAAAAAACGTCACGGGGATTGTAATTAAAGGTATCCTTGTTTTAAAAGAGAAGGAGTAAGAGAGAAAAACTTACAATTGCGAAGAATTAGTGCCAGGACCCTTGTTAGCCATGCTGAGGATACCTCGTGCATTGTGAGAAAGTTTGGGCTTGATTTCATCCTTAAAGTTTTGTTTCCAGTAAGATTCACCACCACGACCTGTTCCTGTGGGATCACCTCCTTGAATCATAAAGTTCTTAATTTTACGATGGAATTTTACATTTTTGTAATATCCCGACTTGGCTAGCATAATAAAATTATAACATGTTCTTGGTGTCTAAAAATTAAGAATAAGGAAAAAGTTAGAAGAAACAAAAAAAAAAAAAAAAAGAAAAAAAAAAAGAGAAAGTATATATAGATTTTGCGTTTTACCTGATCACAAAAGAGTTCGACATTGATTTTCCCAAAGTTGGTGATAATGCTTCCATAGCCCTTAGCCTTGATCAATGGAAACATATATTCCTCATGACTCAATAGGATACGATCATCGCTTGTGGAAACACTCATGGCGGTCGAAGTGAGGGATCCACTAGTTTTGCCTGAAGTATAGCTAGATGCATTATAAGCCAACGCTGGTTTATTAGACATGGACTCCATTGCTTTACCGACTGTGCTTCCTGTCTGTCGTTGTGCTTTGAGTTCATCCTCTTTCTTCTTCTTTTCGATTGCAGCTTTTTCGATTTTTTCCATGTTGAGCTGCGATAGAATCTTTCCTGTAGATCCTTGTTGATTGATATTATTCATAGGATCCTTCTTCTTTTTCTCTTGTACTGAAAAAGAAAAAAAAAAAAGAAAAAAAAGCAAAGACTGTATGAGATGATTGTGTGTCACAACTGTTAGTTTGTAGGCCATAACTGTAATATGCCTTTTTTTTCCCTAACCTTCATCGATCACAGCGAGATCATTCTTGATATGATGGAATTCAGCCAAATTCCTATTGTTAAGATTATGAGGGTCCTTTCCAAACAAACAATGACAAAAGTTGATTTAGTCTGTCTGATACTTTTTTTTCCCCTTCCTGTTCTTATCTTGGTTACTCAAGCTCTTATTTTACCTGGATGGTGATAATATCTTTCCGTGTAAATGGTTCATCCGTCATGAGGTCTTTCCAAAACTTGGCTTTGATGTTCAATCTCTCCACAGCTTCATATGCAAATACGTTTCCTGAAGGCTTGATAGCTACGATATGCGTATTTTCATTGAATACTCTTAGTGTAATTGGGCAATGATATTCATCTATGGAGGATTAGTTAAAGAAAGAAAGAAATAAAAAATGATCAACATCTATTTTTTTTTATTCATTTTTTTTTTTTTTTTTTTTTTTTTTATCACTTTTTACTTACCATTAGCATTTTTAAAAAAATTAAGCTTGATCAACGATTTTGCATCGAGTTTTTGGCCTGTTGCGGGGTTTGTCCCATACTTTTTCAGGTACGGGACAATGTTCCTATTGAAAAAAGAAGAATATAAAAAGACAATTAAAAAAGAAAAAGATTGATAGGAGATTAGACAAAGGACGACAAAGGATATTCCCTTTTTTTTTTTGTCCAGTTCCAGACTAATATCAAAAGTTTAGATGAGCAATTGAGTTGCAATTGAGTTGCAAAATAATAATAATAATAATAATAATAAACCTTACACTAGATCGAAAATAATACCATCTTCAGTACAGACAGGATGTTCAAACGGCTGTAATGAAAGTGAACAACAGTCGAAAGGTAAACGTCGGAAGATCTGAGTTGGTTTTCGTCCACCTGCTCCTCCAAATGTCATTCCGCCTTCTGAAAATTCATTACTCCATTCGGAGTGTGTGATATACATCTTATCTAGGAACCATTGGGATGGGAGAGTGATATATGATATTTTTTTTAAGTAGTGTTAACTTCCTGATAGTTTTCTTTTTAATGTCATGAATACAAATGAGTCGATTGCTAACCTGTCCCTTTCCCCATGTTGATTAACTTGCTTCCGCTTAAGAATAGGCGCTTGGTTGATTGCTGGGTGAATGTTGGCTATTTTTCTTTAATGTCAATTAATGTAATGCAATGAATAGATCTTTGAAAGTGGACATCATTATTATTAACAGTGATCTAAGCTGGAAGCGAAGCAGCAGCGATTTTTGAGAACAAGCACGTGCTGGTTAATTTTTTCAGCATGCTGGTTCGTTTTTTCAGCATGCTGGTTCGTTTTTCCAGCATGCTGGTTCGTTTTTCCAGCATGCTGGTTCGATATTTCAGCATACTTGTTAAAATTTATTAAAATTTTTAACTTGCTTAACCAAGTGCTCCTCCATGCACTGCTACCTCAGACATCATTCGCATTTATTTTAGAATCTCGAGCATCAATAAAAGCTTGATTACTCACAGCTACAGAATGGATAATCCTCATTCAAACATTTGTCAGTTTTGTATATGCACATGCCTAAAAAAAGATGTCAGCCATAGTTTGGCATCTGTTTTAGAAATTAAGCGTTGCCATAGAAGTCCTTTATTTTAATAAAAAAGTTAGCTGCTACTGCTACAACTCTGTAATTTTTTCAGGGCAGAGACAAAGCTGTGATAAAATATGATGTTACGGAAGTTTTGATTGGTCATTCGGTTTCTGCGTGCAGACAGGATCCATCCGGCTCTGCTGAATAACCTTTCAGAATCATTGGAAGTAGCCTGGACAGAAAGGTATGCTCGTGCAAATGGAGCAATATAATCCATTCCTCTTAATCCCTTGTCCTTTTGCTCCTTCCAGTAAAGCTCAGGAGTAAAAGCAAAACGCGCGATGTCCATCATCGGCGTTCTTGAAATAGACGCATCATAATATACCATATCGACACTAACTATCGAATGGTAATATTCTTGTTCCAAAAGAGGAAGTTGATCCCAACATGCTCCATCTTGGGTGGCGGCAAACTTTTTTGCTGCATCTCTGGTCACCTCTAGAGCTTTCTTCCTGAGAGAGTCACCATTGGTTGTCATTATGTCTTTAATGATACTCAAGGTCACCGGGTTCAGGAATAGCGATATGAGCATAACATCGGGAATGTCATCCACGGCCCACATCGTATTGATAAGCCTGTTAAGGTTTCTCCAGAGCTCCTGTGCCGTCTCGGTGTCGTATGTGCGAGAGTCCGGTAGCAACTCTTTCAACTTCACATACATTTGTGACAGTTTTGGATGGTCGGTACTGCCCACCCATTCAGTGAATTTGACTGCATCTGTCATCATATGAATGATTTCACGGAGAGCTTTGACCTCATCACGATCGAGTAGGTTTGGCTCTAATTCCTTTGCTTTCAACCTTATCTCCCTTTTTTCGGAGGATTCCATGCGATGGTAGGTGCGAGAAATTGCTTGAGAGTAAAGTAGCACTCTATTTGCCATCTTGTACTGGGAGTTCCATCTTGTAATGTTCCTCGACAGCAACTTGGCACCCTTGCCTTCCTGTTCTTCCACTAAGATAGACATCGCCGCGGCATTGCCTCTGAAAAAAACTGAAATACATCTTGGCACTTGTCCAATAATTTCTTAGCGGGCTCGCATAGCTCCAAAGACTTATTGATGCAAAGCTGGATCTTATGTGAGGTGCATGCCAACCAGTGCACCCCCTTGTGATCTTCTTGGTAGAGAGCTATCGCTTTTTTTATATTAGCACCTTGGTCTGTTGTTGCGCAAATGAGTCTTTCGCTCATATCCATGCTATCAATAGCCTCAGCTGGTAAATGAATCAAAAGACCACAAAAAAAAAAAAAAAAAAAAAAAAAAAAAAAAACGTTAAGAACGTTAAGAACGTTGCAATACTTATGAAAATATAAAGATAAGGGGCAGATGTATCAGCATTTCACTTACCAAACTTCCGGTGAATATTTTGGGATGTTTGCACCCCATAGACTTGTTCCATCCCTATTGCAATAGATACTGGCTCGAAATTTGGCGTGAAAAAATGCATTGTAGTCCCCAAGAACTTCCTGTGATCGACGCTTGTCCAGCAATCTGTCGTGACGGCAGCGTAAAGCTTATAATAGGTAATGTACTCTTTGATTTCGCGTCTCATCTCTCGAACTCGTCGATCCATCCTGTCTTGCATAGCCATTGTGGTAGGGATATTGAAATAAGGATTGGTCATTTCAATGATTGATCTGAAGATCGTCGAATTAACTGCATCGAATGCCACTCCATTGGAGGCTATGTGCAGTAAAAGCGTATCCTCGAATGCTTCTTGTTCATGAGGGAGCGGCTTCTTGAGGCTCTCATTAACAATCTCATCTCGTGCGATGTCGAATTTTGCCTTTCTTGGTGGAGCCACGTCAACTTCTTCCGGATCAGGTGGCAGCATGATACCTTTAACCCTGCTCTGGTAATTGCGAAATTCTTGGAGGGCACTATATAAATCGCCATGGCACTGAGTTAAGTGAACAGATCTTGAATATCCACTCCCAGTTTTCTTGTATGTAGTACCACAGATTACTCCATCTTTCAGGACCAGACACTGGAATTCTTCCTTGCTTGATTTGAAAAAATGACCAATCACGCTGTTTTTGCGAAAGGATTTTTGATTTGGAATCAGGGCTAATGCTTTTTGAGAGGGAGGGGCGTCAGAGCATTGTTCTGGCGTAGGAATGGTACCAAAATCCAGTAACTCGTACAAATCATACCATCCGTTTGATGCAAAATGACTATCCCTCAGCTCTCTCCGCCGGTTGGCCAATGCTTCAGCATCAATGGCACGTGTAAAGTCAAAAGAGGGAAGATTAATAGATCTTGAACGCGTAAAGTTAATATTGCGCTGTTGCGTGGAGCTCAATGTAGAAATCGAGGAGACTGAAGATGGGCCTGGTTTTGACTCCCGATATTGGGAGAAGCTGTTGGATGAACGGAGAGATGACAGTGGGGCTTGCTGTGCAGCAAGTAGCGTATGATTATAACGTGATGTAGGCAAAGCTGTTGATGATTGAGAACGTCCAAACGTCCTTGGTCTGGCATGATGAACCGATTGCGCAAATCCACCGGGAGGAGAAGAAGTTTTGATGAACCTCCTCTTTTCGCGACCATTGCTTACCATGGGTCTCATCGTCTGGGATGAAGACGAGATTGGGTTCGCACCAAGATAGGAGTCTAGTACCTCAAGCTCATCACACGGCATATCTTGCGTCTCGAACGATTCGCCATTGTAGGCTGCATCACTAGTTTGGGGAGAATCGATTCTATTTGCTGGAAGACTTTTCTGGAGTTGCATTCTTCGTTCGATTTGATTTCGGCGAGGTATAAGGGTCTCTTCCTCGTCCTCGTCCTCGTCCTCGTCACTGGTGTGCTCCTCCTGATACTCATTCCCCTCCTCGTGTCCATCCTCATACTCATCCTCATCTTCATCCTCATCCTCATACCCCTGTTCTCCATTCTCATCCTGGTGAAGAGGATCATGTGTATGATTTGCCATTATTTCTTAAAGATTTTGTGTGAAAGTAAAACGGGTAACAATGGAAAGAAGATAAAGAAGATAAAGAAGATAAAGAAGATAAAGAAGATAAAGGCAACGTTGTAGCATTCAATTGGTGTTTGGTTTTGTGTAGCATGAAAACCTTTCTGTTCCACCAACTGCAGTTAGCACGCCATTTTTGTTTTTTTGTGAAGAGGCAATGAGGGGTGACTATGGCTGACATCTTTTTTTAGGCATGTGCATATACAAAACTGACAAATGTTTGAATGAGGATTATCCATTCTGTAGCTGTGAGTAATCAAGCTTTTATTGATGCTCGAGATTCTAAAATAAATGCGAATGATGTCTGAGGTAGCAGTGCATGGAGGAGCACTTGGTTAAGCAAGTTAAAAATTTTAATAAATTTTAACAAGTATGCTGAAATATCGAACCAGCATGCTGGAAAAACGAACCAGCATGCTGGAAAAACGAACCAGCATGCTGAAAAAACGAACCAGCATGCTGAAAAAATTAACCAGCACGTGCTTGTTCTCAAAAATCGCTGCTGCTTCGCTTCCAGCTTAGATCACTGTAATTCTAAGGGAATTCGACAAGCTTGACCCTCTGCTTTGCGCACTAAAGATTCTCACGTCACAATGACCCAGAAAATGGCACGTGGCTGATTTGAAAAAAATATTTTCTCACACATCGCCTAACCTTAAAATAAAGGATCAAATTTATCAATTGCAATTGTCGCTCCTTTCTTTCCTTTCTTTCCTTTGCTTCACTTCATTTTTGCACTCTCTCCCTCTTCCTTTACCCTTTTTTTTTCACTTTTTTCATATTTCACCCCAGTTTTGCTCCCATCAATTTTGCTCTTTTATTTATTCCAAGCCTTCATCTATTGCCTTTCCTTTCCTTCTTTTTTTTTTTTTTTTTTTTGCCTTACACATTTTTCATTATTGTTTCCATACCGTGACCACGGGTGAAAGAGTAAGAATATACCTTCGCCTATTTAACCATCATTCTCCCTGCATTTCAACCACACTCAGTTCCACTCATCTTAATTTTCAATGGTCGCCACAAGGAGCTCAACACAAAAAAACATGGCTGCAAATGATTCCACAGAGAGCCAAGCACAAATAAAAATGACTGCAAATAAGCCTGAGGATGCCTCCACACTCAATAAACGAAAAAGAGTAAACCAGCACCCACAACGAAAAAAGCGCGCCATCCCACTGCTGCAGCTGAACTGCGTTGTCGAGGGAGAAGCAACGTCATTCCCAGTAGAGATTTTCTGCGATAAATCGGTCGGGATGCTCAAGCAAGCCATCAAAGCAGAGAAAGCCAATGCATTTAAGGATATTGACGCTGACCAGCTCACCCTCTACAAGGTCTCCATCCCTGACGAAGACAAGACCGTCGTCGAGTCAGAAATCGAGTCAAAAGAGGCTCTCGCACCCGCGTCAATGGAGCTTTGGGAGATACTTAATTCTGAACTTCCAAGGAAAACTATCCATGTTTTTGTCAAGCCACCACAGCGAGGTATATCCTTGGCTCTTGATGGACTGATTGTTGATATTTCCAGCTGATGAAGCTTGGTTTGTATCTTAAACGGCCATGTGCATAATATCACCATTTGGTTTGTGTCTTGATAA